TCAAAATTCAAAGCTGGAAATCCCACTCATTATCCTAAAAATAAAAAAAAATGGAAAAACGTCTGGTAGCTTTCGCATCGTTTGGAAAGGCATACGTGCGAAAATGTCGACGGCAAACAAACTTTTGCTTGGAAAGGGAGGTGCAAGTTGGTTAACACCTGAGAAGAGAACAAGTCACAGAAATTGTAATTACTTTATTCTCGAGTCGCAAGTAGTGCCCGTGCACTGATCACAATGAGAAGCGCTTATTTATTTATCTGCCCGTTACACAAACAGCAGACAGGCCGAGTATGTGCATCGAAAAACACACATACTGCATGGGTGGGTCGGAAAATGCCATCATTTATTCAGTGAGCATTGCCAATGATGATTTTGTCGCTAATAATTTGTTTTACAAAATGAGGACATTAAAAACTTCAATGAATTATGAAATTGACAAATAACAAATTATATTTTTTTGAATTTATTTTATGGATTTTGTTTAAGATTCAGAAATCAGCATTTTATCTTTGTGAATAGGAATTTTGGAATTAAAAATATTAAGTTTAATGGAATTTAAATTTATCTTAAAACCTCTTGAGAAATCTCATATTACGATTCATCACCGCACCACAGAATTTTAAGAAATTTTAGAATTGGTGACTGAATATCCGGACCCACCCACAGACTCTCCTAACTCCTTTCAGCACTCATGCTGCGCCTTGGTAAAAAAAATGATCAAAGTGGCTTGCGCGTATTCCGCGGTGCAATATTATGTATTCCACGCGTTTTCTTATTATTTGACCGACAAAGTAAGAGAGGCCGATATAATGTTCTACTCACGCCGAATGTTGACATAGCGGTGTCATCCTCGTGCAGCAACGCTGACAAAGCAGCAAAGGATGAGAGTCATCATTAGATACTAATTCATAAATAAAAAAACGGAGCAACTCACATTACAAAAATCAAAGTTACTTAAAGCTAATGACTCAGTTAATGTAGTTCTAATGTTTTAAATAAAAATTTTATAAAAGATATAAATTTACAAATGATTTCATATTTATCTTTTTCATAAAATAGAAAAAATTAAGGAAAAGTTTTTGCTGTTTATTGGCCTAACAATTAAATAAGGATAATGACTCGCACCGTTGTTATAGTTTGCCATTGATGACGCAAATTGAGATCAAATTTCCTGGGAGAGAGCCTCACTGACCGTGATCTTGGCTGTTGATCTTCCCCGTAATTATGCAGTTCCTTTTCCTCGTTGAAGCAGGTGTGAGGTGGCGATCAAAATCCCCAAGCGGCTTTAACATTTATTCTGGTTTTCGCATTTTTCCACTGAATCACATTGGTTTGTTTTTCAAAAGTATTAGTTTCTAATGCAGGTTGTGGAGAAACCGCAGAGGTGATACGATTTTGTGGCAAGATCAAATTGAGGGAAATCCATCGCGTGAAAAGGTGCTTGAATTTTGCGAAATGAGAAAGGGAAAAAATATGGCTCCGGAGAAAACCCCAAATGCAATAATAAATTCTTAATTTCAACTTTGATACTGTAAAAAATTGTAAAGCAAAAAGAATTTTGAAAGATAATTTTTTTTCTTTTCATAAAAATGTATTTTTTCTATCACAATCTTGGCTATAAATAAAAAAAGCACATTACCTCAGATTTTTTTTTACATTTATTCTAATAAAAAAAAAATGAAATGATCTGTTCAGATTTCAAAGCAATAAGAATCAAGTGGACATTCAACAGTCAACCATGACCTTGGTAAATGCAGCCAATCGCATCACGTGCGCCCATTCACCTGGGCGACTCGCCACGAGCCGCGCTCTATTGCTTTCGATATCCTATAATTTATGATGAAAAAAAACTCATTTTCTAAAAATAAATAATACCGATCGATAAAAAAATTCAAAACTATTACAACTTCCATTTTGCTCTGGACGCATTAATAATACTGTTCAAGTATCACTGATCTCTGTTGTGACCTTTGATGCATGGCGCACGATTGCAATCTCTTGTTATATGCTCTTCTAATTATTACAACTCTAGTCAATAGCCCAAGCAATCTTGATCGCACCTCTACGATTACATCAACTGCCTTAACGTAGTGGTAATGGGTTCTGCCACCCACTCTATTTTTTTTTTTTTCATATAATATTATATTGTGCTCGTTTTTATTGCGAATATAGATGGATCAAATTGGCTTTAAACGTGGTAGCCAAGATGAAAAACGGCCGTGCACTTCACAATTATTACCATGCATACCTTCAAGATAATATACTAGAGTGGTCTGCCACCCATAACTGTTGTCTCTCCACCATGAATAAATTACACTATGCCGTTTTCTATGATACTTCTGCACATTGATATTTGATTGGGTAAACGATTGTGATTGTTAGCTCATAATAAAGATAAAACAAGTCAGCCTAGTCTATAATTACAGCAGAATTTTTACATTTTATGAACAAAATTTTTTTATATATATATTTCAAGAAATTAACATATATATTGTGAATGACAAAAAAAAGTTGGAAAAGGCAAAATTCTTAAAGGAGACTAATTACAATTTATTGTCTGCGAAGAGCATTGTTACAGAGGCGACTTTATTTAATTTATAAAGATTGTAAAAAATAATAATTGTGTTTATCAAAAAACAATATATTATTGTAACTACCGAACAATAAAAAGTTGTTAAAAACCAGAATTAAAAAATAAAATAAGAAAATAGAAAAATTAGGTTTATTTCAAATATGTTTTCAATTATTATTATTTATTTAATTAATTGTAATAACAAATAAAGAATAACTACTGATAAAAATAATAAATTTTCTCATTCTTAACATATTTAATAGCTGGTTAACTTAATGTAAAGGAATTTCGTTCTTGCAATAAATTTTCTCAACGCACCAACCTCTCAAGAGCAACATAATAAAATTAATGTGCTCAGTACTTACCAACACCAAACGTTAATTGGGTTTCAGCAGTATTCAACAAATGCTGTTCTGAAAATTGTAAAACTTGTATCTATCTTGACGGATACTATGAAAAAGTTGAGGTCACAGTGTCGAAAATGCCTAAAGTGTGATAAAATCTTGCAGTGAACGTTTTATGTGACCTGTGGCCCTGCGCATTTTTCAAGCAAAAATAAAACGTTTGCTCCAAAAATCAATGACATAGACTGGTCAGGGTGAAAGGGAGAAGAGTTATTAACAGATTTTCAGCTAAAGTGCGAAAAAATCTCAAGCTTGTGCTAAATGTGTGAGTCCTTGACCGAAAGCGTTTATTATACAAATAACGTGACGTTATTTAGGAAAGTTTCAAAAATTTTATTTTTAGATTCAAGTTCTTTCGATACACATGCTGACTGAAACGTGTTTTAGACGATTATTGAAAGCAGAGCAATTGACATCAAAATAAGAATTTGTGAGCTATTCGAGATTTAATTCAATATTTTCCTGGTAGGAGCAGGAAAAACATGTGACAATTATTTAACAAAGCGTAATGCACATGTACGCAGACACCATACTTTCAATTTTTCTTCCCAATGTCATATATTATCTGCAAGATTATTAAGGCTCTTTTTAAATAAATGTAGCTTGAAAATAAAAATTCGTCACAGCGCGTTTCCTTCTTGGCTCGGCTATTATATATTTATTTCGCACAAAAAACATTTTTTCGTCACGCTTTTCATTGTCATCGAAACCCTGTCGGCGATTTAATCCGTTTCTTGATCTGTTTGCATGCTCCTCTATATTATATTATCGGCCTGACTCATCTTCCACCTGTGCTTTCATTGCGGTTTAAAAGGGATTCCCCTGATTGCTAAAAAGCCGGCCGGCGAAACAGCAGGAGAGAGGATAGCATTGTTTATAGAGCGACTTTTCAAGTGGAGACGGCAACCTCATCGTCGGCGAAACTAATAAGATTTAAGATTCTTTTGCTTTTTGCCACCTTCTGTTTTTAGCTGCTGGCAATTCACGCATACATGTAATAGTGCATGAGTTGGAAGCATGAAAGTAATAAAATGCACCTCTGTTACGTAACATTCAAGTTTCGAGTTTTGCATTACATAACAAAATATTTCTACAAAATTTTCCCGATTCCAATGTATCTTCGCCAGCAAATTAAAGATAAATTATCTAATAAATAAAACTGAATGGTTTTAAAATAAATCACGTTCATAAATATCCATATTGCTAAAAAAAAAGTAAACTTCTTACATATTACAAGCTTAAAAAATAAGCAGAGTACTCGTGCATTTATCAAAATCTAAAAGGAAAATTCTAAACTTAATAGAAAGTGAGATTTTTTTAAGCTTATACAATAAATTATTTTATATTTAAATGGGTTCTCACAGCTTAATCCATTGTATTCAGAATATTTAAAGCAATTTCATGAATGTAATGATTGAAATAAATCGAAATATAATAGAATTCTATTCAAAATATTTCTGGGGTAACTGTCAATAGAGTCAATTTATGAAAGTAATGATAAAAATTGAATATAAATTAAAATTATTAAGAAGTTTCGAAGAAAAAGAAATAAAAATTAATAATTTTATATATTGACAAATCAGATATTATTGTTGTTTATATTTCCAAATTGTTACTAAAATTTGCATTGAAAGACAATCAATTGTTGTGGAGAAAAGCTTAATTGTTGGACAAAAACTAAATGAAAGCAACGATTTTGCTCAAATAAAAAATACCGTCTCAAAATGATTTGCAACGAGTTTTAAAGTTTTTGAAAAGATAATGCAAATCAGAGTAAAATAATAATCTTCAAGAGTCAAAATGAGACTAAAGGAGCAATTTTTACGACAATCGAACCGGTTTCCCATTCGGGATGGTGCGAGGAAAGCCCGAGCGCGCAGGGGCTGCGGGGGATTTTCCTCTCGCGGGTCCAGGCCGCAGGCCTGGCGAGGCGAGTGGTGGAGGCGGCTGACGCTCCTCGGCAGGGAGGGAGGCGGACGGCGCAGGTGGCGGGGCGGCGGCCCGATATAAGCGCAGGGCGGCCGGCGCTCGGCCTAGACTCACCGTGTGTCACTCATTCAGTCAGTCGGGGGCGACTTGGATAGGCCTAAGAGAGACCCCCTCGCGGTTTGCTTAGGATACCCAGAAGTCTGCAACGCACCTTCCTTTTTTGAGACCGAAACACCCTCAACCCCAAACAACAACTAGCAACAATGGCTCTCGCTGCCCAGAAGAACCGTGAGATGTTCGCCATCAAGAAGTCTTACAGCATCGAGGTAGGATTTATTTTCAACAATTGCCACATTCAAAATTCTTGTTAAGCCGATTTCACGCCGTCTAGTCGAGTTGATTACAATAATAATTCTTCTTTAACGCCTGGAGCAATTAATTATTGTTCAAACTTTCAACTGACGTTATGAAAAGCCTCGGGTAAAAATTACGAAAATTCTCGTGAAAATAGTTTACATGTTCTGCGGGTAATATTTTATTTTTAACATGATAAGTGGTGACGATCTTGACATTGTTAAGCGGACAGTGGGATACGTGTTAAGACGTGCCAAATTAACTGCTTGTGCATGGGAACTTCAAGCAGTTGCACAAACACGCAGAGACATTTCAGTGCTAACATTCAACATGAAATTTATTCCATTTTTAAATTCAATATTTGTACAGAGCCGACAAAAGTACTAAATTTGAATTCATTACAATAATTAGTTTATTTTTCAATCATTACGTCACATATTTTGTAAAATTTTCAATTCCATACAATTAATTATCATTTCAATTGAATCAAATTCAAAATTTTATAAACTTTTTCCCTTATGAGGGGTTAGGGAAATAATTACTTAATTTTAAATTTGCAATTTTCTGCATTGCCTAACATAATTAAAATGATCTTTGACTTTTTCATAGTTCAGGTTGGGCAAAAAATAAACATTTCCATTGTTTCATTGTCATTATTTTATAAATATAAATTCGTACTGAGAAATTTAACCCTCCATATTTGGCCGTAAGAACAGTGATTACTCGTATGAAGCCGTTGAACTCGCAAGAGTAAACACAAGAAAAACTTGACCCGACCACTTATATTAATAAAAATCACGTATGTCAATAAAATAAAAATTATTGTCTGGAGGCCGCTTTGTGTGTAATTGCGAGTGTAATTTGCAGTACATAAAATTAGCCACGGGGCTAATTAGTCGAATTGGACGAGTTCGAATGTAGGAAGTGGCGCTACTCAAGGCCGTTCGCGCCCTACGATTGGAGCGTAAAAAATTATTGTCTCGTTAATTAGCATGTACGCGATTTTTCGAAACGGGAGCTCCTTCAAGGTGATCCGTTTTTTGCCCCGATTTTTCTGCTCTCCGCTCGTAACCTTCGATATTATGCCAAGTCGGTGGAATTCTTGGCGTTTCTCTCTCTCTCACTCCGTCCGCTTGCTCGAAAATTATTCCATTATCACTTTTATTGGTGCAAAAAGTGGCGAGGCGCTCAAGGTTGTTTCCTTTCATCGGCCGCAGGGCACCGCGCATTTTACTCCACTGACCGACGATCCGGACGGTTGCCAGCGAGAGGAGAAAAAATGTGAACGATGCAAATTCACATTCAAGCGTGCTATCTATTTAAATTTTTAAAATTCTATTCTTCCAAATCTGTACAAAATAATAAAATATCTGAACTTCTTACCTATATTTTAAATCTATAATTTCTGCAATTAAAATCTGTTTTCTCAATAAGTGTTTGGTCGTATTTTAAAATTTTGCATTATTTCCTCACTCTTGAAATTTTAATTTTTATGCCATAGTCGGCTTTTAACAAATTAATTTCTACATTTTTGTAACATTTAATCTTTGTTTATTACAATTTTATTTTGTAAATTTTTGGCCAATCAACTTTACACTTTTCATTGATAAATTCTGCTCCGTTGGTGAATGAATCAATATAAACCCTCAGCCATCTTACTTGCGGGTTTACGCAGACTTTGGTGACACAATTTTGCACTTAATTTGTTTTGATTTGGCGCGACTGAGGGGAAGGAAAGTGCCTTTTGCAGCTTTTCGCCTCATTACTCTCCTCCCTCACCCGCCGAGACTCTGGTTTTTGCATTTTAACACCTTCCAAAAACCGGTTCTTTTCATTCGGCTCTTTCCTCCTTCTATAAATTCCCAGGGATTAAGTAAGCACAAAAAATCAAGATCCGAGCTCATTTTCTGCACCCACGCCATGGCAAAAGTCATGAGCTCAAAGAGCCACCAACCCTGCGGCTTCCCCGACTCGGAAATTGAGTTTCTGGAGCGGCCTCAGTTTCCGCCAGATGCTCCTGATCCTCTTGAAATTAATTCAGAATCTCCTTCACTTGACGCGTGTGATTTCCACACACTCTTTGAACTTAATTTTTTGTCACGTACGCATTTATAACCATGTAATTTATTGCCGCTCTTGTTGCGTGAATGCTTAATAAAAGTACATGATTCCCTCGGACGGCTTTTCGGTTGCATAACCGCATAAATAAATACATTGATTGAGCGTGTGGTCGGTCGACGAGGACAACAACAAAGCCGTGCTCTTCGTAATTATAAATTTTACCTATATTAAAACGCAGCGAGTGAAAGTGAGTTGCTTACTCACAAAAACAAAATTGATTTATAAATAAATGTGTTTGTACACAAATTCCACCGGCAATACCAGGAAATGGACAATTTTGTGCGTTAACAAATCCCGCGCGCGGCTCGATCGACTTGTTGAGAAAGAATTGATTTTCTAGCAAAATCCGTTTCTTTTAAAAATTGTCAAAAATTTTTAGAGTTAATATTAAAAATATAAATCTCATTGTCAGCGGAGAAGCTACCGGAATCTTTTGTGTGCTGCTTCATCTTAACCCACAAAGTCAGTCGTCAAGAGTGCAAATATTTGATCGAGACGAATTTCACTGGCTGCATTTTTTGAGCGAGCAGTCACGTAGTCGTCGTCGAGAGCAGCCAGACCTGTTGCTCTAAAGCGAAAAAGGAAAGAGATTTACCCGTCGTACCGTTCCGAACGATTCAATCCGATCTGTCTGACGCGAAAATCAAATCAGCGGAAAAAAAGAGGCATTAACCGCTTCTTACCTTGTTCTCCGGGGACAAAAGGACGCGGGCCGGTAATTGGATTCCGTTGCTGCTCAAGCACCTGCCGACCTAAAAAAAGAATCATTTTTCAAATAAAATTTTTATGTGTTAAAAGAACGTTTGAAATTTATATTAAATTTTTGTTTTTGTCTTTTTCCAGAACGGCTACCCAGCCCGGAGGCGGTCTCTTGTCGACGACGCCCGTTTCGAGACTTTGGTCGTCAAGCAGACCAAGCAATCCGTTCTGGAAGAAGCCCGCCAACGTTCCAATGGTTTGTGTTGTAGTTTTTTATTTTGCAACTTCTGCATGATTTAGACGTTTACATTTAAAATTTTATTATTTTTATTCTTTTATTTATTTTATTATTTCGTTTTTAAATGTGTAGATGGAGAGTGCAACCCCGACAATGTACTGGATTTCCATCAAGATGGTAGGTTTTTTGTTTAAATGTGTTTTTAGTTCAGTCTTTTATTTTTTCCTTTTTTTTTATTTGTCCCAACAGACAGTTCTCCTTACACTGAGGAGTTCTACACGGACAGCGATCCTGAGGCTGATGAGTCCAGTGAGTTTATTTTTATTAAAAAAAATTAGCATTTTTCACTTTAACTTTTTTTTAAGAGTCAATTATTGTTCATTATATTTTAATTTTGCACGATTGTTTAAGTGTTAAACGTTTGCTTGTCTCTGTTTTGCGTGTAGAGAAAGAAATTAACTTGGAGCTGGAGCCTCAGGCCGCTGAAAATGACGCGGAGGACGAAGTACAAGGTAAAAAATTAAAATTGCCGAGACCCAATTACGTCTCGACTGTTGCATTATTCCCATTGACACGCGGCCCCGCTTTATTCTCCTCGCTCGCTTACTCGCGAGAGCTTTCAACGAAAGTCGGCGACTGTAAAAAGGCGGTTTATGGGCGCGCTCGGGAAAAATGGCACTTTATCAAACGCGCGTTTTAAGCGCCCCTCACGTCCGAGAACATTTTTCCGCACTTTTGAGTCGTCGTCGATTTCCTCTGCCCTCTCATACCTCTTCCGTTGCACGTCTCAACGACTCCTTCCACCCATTTCTAGATACTTTTCGCTCAGTCGGTGCCGCAGAAAGGGAGAAAGGAAAGACAAAAAAGTAACAGGTCTTTTATTGGCGTGCACTGCACTTTGCAACTGTCTCACTCCTCGAGATTGAGCCAAATGGAATAGGATAAAAATACCAAAAATAAAGCCTTATTTGAATAAAAAATTTAAAATCAGATTAAAAGAAACAATAGAAATATGAACGTTATTTTATTTATTTTACAAGAAATAAATTAAATTTCCCCAAAATCCGGATTTTTTATAATACATGATTTTTTTCCCGAATTCTAATTTTGCTAACTTTGGTCGATTGCAGACCAGTTCATGACAGAGGAGGAAGCCCTCCTGAGCCAGGACATCGAGCAGCGCGGCAACGAACAGCAGATCGCCACCCTGCTGGTGCGTTTCAAGGACGGCATCGGCGGACTGGCCCGCGTGCTCAAGACCATCGAAAACTACAGCGGCGTGGTCAACCACGTCGAGTCGCGTCCCTCCAAGGACGAGGGCGTCCAGTTCGATGTGCTTGTCCGCGTCGACATGACCCGCCAGAATCTGCTGCTGCTTCTCCGCTCGCTGCGCCAGAGCTCTAGCCTGGCCGGCGTCACGCTGCTCCAGGAGGAGACTAACTCCGTCAGCGTCAAAGGTACGAAAATATAATAATAAAAAAATTAATTTAATTTACTCCGAAATTGGCATTAATTAAATTTATCAATAAATATTATTCCCTTTTTTTAAACATTATTTATTATTTTTTAGATCCCTGGTTCCCCCGCCACGCGAGTGAACTGGACAACTGCAACCACCTGATGACCAAATATGAGCCCGAGTTGGACATGAACCACCCTGGTTTCTCCGACAAGGAGTACCGCGCCCGCCGCAAAATGATCGCCGAGATCGCTTTCGCTTACAAATAGTAAGTTAGATTTTGACTTTTTCCAAATGAGTTTGAATTAATTATCGTATTTTCAGTGGCCAGCCCATTCCCCACATCGAATACGTGCAGACTGAAGTGGACACCTGGAACGCCGTGTTCGGACAGGTGTGCGAACTGGCGCCCAAGCACGCTTGCCGAGAGTACAACATCGTCTTTGAGAATCTGCAGAAGGAGGGAATTTTCCGCGTGGGCGCCGTTCCTCAGCTGCAGGAGATGAACGATTTCCTCAGAAGTGAGTTTCAAAGCTTATAAAAAAAATTAAATATATATTTATTTGAAACAAATTATAAATTTCATTTTATTTTTTTGCAGAACACACTGGATTCACTCTGCGCCCTGCCGCTGGTCTCCTCACCTCTCGCGATTTCCTCGCCTCCCTGGCCTTCAGGGTGTTCCAGAGCACCCAGTATGTGCGCCACCGCACCTCTCCCTACCACACCCCCGAACCGTAAGTGTCCGAGTTAATTTTTCGTCTATGCCTTACTTTGCCGTTTAACATTTTCAATCGCGCCGGTCGATTTTATCTCGCGATGCAATTTTGCTCCAGCGAATGAAAAGTTAATTTCGGCCGGCAAAGAGCAGCACTCTGCCAATTAAGTGCGCGTAATTCGATTGTCGCCGCCTTTGTCATTAATTTCGCGTCTGGCAATTTGCAGTGACTGCATCCACGAGCTGCTGGGACACATGCCGCTGCTCGCCGACCCCAGCTTCGCCCAGTTCAGCCAGGAAATCGGTCTCGCCTCTCTCGGCGCTTCCGACACCGAAATTGAGAAGCTCTCGACGGTGAGTTTTATTTAATTTTTTTGTTTCTACTTTGCGATGAAATTTCAATGTGACGAAACCGCAAGAATAAAAGGGAAAAAGCGCCACGGACGTCTTGCCTTTCTTGGTCCAGTGAGCGCGCGCGTTTGTTTTCATCTCGCCTTAAGAGACTCATTTATCTTTGATGTTACGCTTTTTGTGATCACTCTCGATGTGGATGGCTGACTAGCAGGTCAAGGTGCGAGTCATGCTCCACAGATCAATCAAGGTTAGGAAGTAAAAGTGAATTGCAGGCCTATTTACCTCTTATAAGGCAATGACCATAATAATCTTGGCGGCGATCACGTCAGCCACTCGGTGGGCCGGGCATGCGTGAGTGCCCTCGGCCCCTAAAGGAACTCTCGCCCGCCTTGTACTTGTGCTCACCCGGTTGCATAACCTTGCACTTAAAATAAAATTATTCAAGCTCGCATTGTCCTAAAAAAACACTTTAAATGTGCATCCAATCAATTTTAAATTGGTTTTATTTTTGGATTGAAACCTTGAAATTAACAATAAATTTATCAATATTTTTTTCTACTGTTTTAGGTGTACTGGTTCACTGTTGAATTTGGACTTTGCAAGGAAAACAACACGGTTAAGGCCTACGGCGCCGGTCTCCTCTCTGCCTACGGTGAGCTTTTGCACGCCATCAGCGACAAGCCCGAGCACAGACCCTTCGAGCCCGCACTCACCGCTGTCCAGCCCTATCAGGATCAGGAGTACCAACCCATCTACTACGTCGCCGACAGCTTCGAAGATGCCAAGGAGAAGTTCAGGTGAGAATTTTTTTTTTCAAAATTCCCAACAAACAAAATTATATGATTTTATTTACAAAATTTATAACAAATTTTGTCTCATTTCAGGCGCTGGGTGAGCGACATGTCCCGACCCTTCGAGGTCAGGTTCAACCCCCACACCGAGCGCGTCGAGGTTTTGGACTCTGTCGACAGACTGGACGCCCTCGTGTCCCAGATGAACCTCGAAATGCTGCACCTGACCAACGCCATCAAGAAGCTGAAGGCCCGCTAACCAAATCACCCGCACCTCCCACGCCATCAGAACATCTCCACCACCCCCCACTTTCACTCTCTAATTTAATTCACTCGTCGTGTCGTCCTCCTTGTTATTTTATAATAATATATTATATAATTATGAATGTGTATTATTTTATGTAGGACTTATAAGTGCAAATTTTGACAATTATTTTTTTGCTGTGTTTATTCGCTCTCGCTGATGACAAACGGGGCCACTTCCCATGGCGGAAGTAGCGCCTTCTGAATTTTGTAAAACGTGTTGACTTACGAGACCAGCCCCGATATCGGGTGCATGAATGTTTAATTTTGATCTTGGCTTTTGTTGCCTTACACGATTGTTTGAACTGCACTTCAAATGACCACTGTGTAGAAACTGTCCAAAATAGCGAGTAGCCTCCTCAAGTGAAATAAAACTATAAGCATGGAACAGCAAAAATTTGGTTTTATTTAGTCCTCTACAATTAAGCAAGTGAATGCTAAAAATCATTGATTACAAACAATCTTTGTGGAGTTAACTGATGCAGCAAGGCGGGGTTAATAGTTGTTGTTATTTAAAAATTTAAAGGTTTAAATCAAACTAAGCTGCAAGTCTCTAGTTGAAAGCAGCTTACATGTCACATTTAAATATATAGACGGTTGGTTAAATATTTTTAGTTGAAACCAAATCTATTTTTGGGACATTTATAACGTGTTTGAGAAGCGATGCAAATTCATTTTCAACAATTCACTTCAAAAGAAAATCACGAAGTAACAGCAATTGTTTTGAAAATTTTAATTTCAATTTTAGTAAATAAAAGAATTCAAATTTCACTCTATTTTATTTAATTAATTAATAAATGTTGATAATTTTTATTAATTTTACTTATAGTGTTGCATTAAACCTACAGCATTAATAAAAAATTTTTAAATGTTTTATTAATTAAAATCAATTTTAATTTACATTCTGTATTTTTGCCCTGATAGTTATTTTTGTTTTGGTTGAGTAAAGTTGTAATTATTCCAACTATATAAGCCTATTTTTTTTTAATGTTTTATATTTCACAAAATTTTCATTGACTCTCTAATTATAGCAGATCATTGTAATGAATAAATTCAAATTGTTTCACAAATTAGACGATTGATCCCACCGCCCCCAGAATAAGCATATTTACTGAAAAAATTCACAAAAATAAACGGCCCATCAGAGACAGTAAAGTTGTTTGCAATCCAGCTCCCCAATCCAAAAGGAACGTCTGAGAAACAGTTTTTGGCCAGAAGAGGCTTGTTTTGGATTGCAGCAATTGCGAAGAACTTATCCGAGTTTTCTGAGTATGTAGAGTCTACAGCTGTTAAAGTAGATGAATATATAGAAACGCTTATAAATATTTCATTGAAACCAAACATACAAATGCTGTTAGAAATCATGCAGTCTAATTTGGCCTTTGTATCGATTGTTGCGAGTCGGAGTCCAAATTTGGCGCACTCTGACATAGCTTGGGCCAGAGTGGTTAGCATAGGCTAGCGGAAAAGTTGAAGAAGAATTTTCCTTGAAATTTTAGAAAATATTTTACTGCAGAGGCAATTGTCAGCAACATAAATTTCTTTCCACAAACGGCCCTACAGAGAAGTCTATATGGGGCGAAGTTTGCTTGATCTGCTCATAAGGCATGTTAAAATTATAAATTAGATCATTAATGATTTTTTTTATTACTATTCATGTAATAATAAAAAATATCCCTGCAGGCTTCCTAAATATCAGGTAATTAAAGATTATATTAAATGAATACAAGGTGAAATTAAAATTTTAGAAACGTTTAAAGCATTGGGATAATGATTGGGACATAGAGACTCTGACTGTGGAGGCAACCAGGACTTCTTTTCCTGAAATATTACTTTCAATTACTTAATCCACGAAAAAAATCACAAATTAACGGTTATAGTAACTTCTACAGCGTCGGCAAGTTTCATTGTTTGATTTGGAGATTTCTGCAGATTGCAAGCAACAAAATTGGAAACTCTGCTGCAGCCAGATAGGGACTCTGTGTATTGGAGAAGAATTGTAAGCAAACTGCTATTGAATTTGAAATGAACAAACTGCTTGATTCACTGCATTGGCCAATTGTGTCATACGACTCTTTCATAGCCGAGTCGTTTCCATTTGCAATGACCGGAATCAATGGCAAAATTTTGGGTCCATTCATTTTGCCATTTTGGTACTGTAATATATAAAAATATAATATTCATTTTCAATACTCTATTTCAATTAGATATATTTTACCAAATTTGCATTTTCACTGTAGCAAGTTATGAAACAACTGAATTTTTCACTGGCATTTGGATTTAAAAACGCAAGAGCCATTTCCGCTAAATTTAAAAAAAGCTATTCAAGAAACAATCCTTTCAAATTCTTTTTATAAGAAACCTTCTGTAAGTTGAAAAGCTGATGCACATTCCAGTTCCAGTGCTTTTGTCCCTCTGCTTGCTCTACCCTTAATTATTATAATTTCTCATTACTTTAATCATCAAAAAATAGATTTCTAGCTTTAAAGCTACCTCACAAATGTATCGAAATTTTTTGTCACAGGGTTCGTCGCTTAATGCTGCCATAAAATTGTTTGAATTTACTGCCAGGCAATGCTCATTTTTGGTTGCATTGTCTGGTTGATTGGGCATCCAGATTGTTTCGTTCAAGTTCAAAGTTCTGTTTGTGGCGCAGAAACCGAACTGTCCTGAACAACCAGCGTCGCTTCCTGAAGTCCAAAATTTGCCTGCCTTGATTGATAGGTCTAAAAATTTTACTTACAAAAAAAGTACAATTTTAATTTAACTTTACTTTTGAAAGCTTCTCCAATCGAGTCGAATTTGTATCCTTGATGGAGACTCAACAGTGAAAAATCAATTGCGCAGCACGCTCTCAAGGCTTCTTTGTACTTATTTTTTTGTTATGAATTAAAATCTAAAATTTATTAATAAATTACCGAACGTAAGTCATTTGCAAAACTGAACATAAATGTCCTGTAATTGATTTCAACCCATAGCCCATACTTCTTAGGCTCTAAAGTTTTAAATTAAGTTTTACAAATGAATGTTCAAATAATATTTCAACCTGTTAGATACGAAGCGGAATTTTCCACTAAGTTTGTAAAAGCAGATTCCTGCAGAATAAATTTTTTATTAAGGGAACGATAACCATAAACTTTATTTTTATCAAATTACGTTTTTCGTGCATTTGATCTGGGGGCAAGTTGGAAAGCTGCATTTTGGCGCAGGTGTGGTTGGCCCCTAAAAAAGTATTTTAATTTTTTTAACATACCTCTTTTGAGGGATAATTATATATTTACTACACATGAAAAGACTGCAAGTTTCTGACAATCCACATCATTAAGCTTGACGGTGTCTATATCAAATTTGAAAATTCGAAGCATGACGCAGTTTTCTAATCCATTGACGTTGTTTGGTTGCCCCGTTTCCCACATATTTGAGCTGAAATTCGCTCGCTTGTCATACCACATAAATGAAGTTTTATCCATCCGTTTCCCTGTCGTCCAGTACATGGAACTGTGTTTCCAGTTTGGCCCTTAACGCAAATTTGTAAATCAGAATTTTAGAATTAATAAATTGAAATAAGAAACCATCGATGAATTTTTGCAAGCAAGATCGTTTCCACGCGTTTTCAACCATCAGTGGAAGCATTCCCAAACTACAGCACATCCGAAAATTGTCATCCCAATTCAACTTTAAGTGAATGGAATTTATATTATATGAATCAAACGAAGAAAGCAAATCAAACCACTGTGCTGCCAAAGAGATAAAGGTTGCCGCAAGTTGTCTCCCAAGATCCATAATTATCTGCGTCTGTTAAATGTTTTTTACTTACATTTTAAAGGCCACAAAAAGAAATTGCAAATAGCTTTCATTCTATAGGTTTACTAAATTGTACGTGTTAAGAATAAAAATTGAATGTAAAAATTTCAGGTGGGTTCCATAAAAAAAATTGAAACTGCGGTAAAAAATACAGAATGAGGTTAGGTTTCAATTTTTTGACTCCAAGGGAATAACGTTTATGGATGCAATTGAATTCTTATTTTCTAGAGTACAATCATATCTGACCAATCAGCTGCCCGTCTGATCCAAAAAGAGACTCCTTTTTTAATTGATTAAGCAAAAATTAGCATTTTCCTATAGAAGGATTACATTTTTAACGCAGGCCTGTTGATATGCAGGTCCAAACTGAGAGGAAAGTATTAAAAGCTTGCTGAGCTCACAATAAATATTTTCTGCAAAAACAAAATACCTCGCCAATCAAAGGTACGTAAGATTCGTCCTTAAGGATAACAATCTCTGGTGGCGTTTCTTCTATAACTTCATCAGTAATGTTTTCCAAACTCATATCTGTCGTGATTGCTTCGGTCACCATAATTGATTGCGTACGAGTTTGAATAGCAAGGTTGGAAACAGATATGTTGCTATTTTCGAAAGAATTTGTCTGGGTGGTCGGATTTTGAGTCTCAAGGGTAAAGTTCGAAGATGATGGTGAAGTGGCACCTGTAGTCGTGTACAAGTTTGGGCCGTCAGTAGTTGTTGCAGATTCGGTAAGATTTTCAGATGGAAACGATATTCCGCTGTTGTCGAATGTATTTTCACTAAGAGGAACTCTGGTAGAGAGATTAGCGTCAGAGTTTGTCATTTTAGGCGCAGATGAAGTTCCCATTGTTGAGAGCATTGAATTTTGGGTGAAAGATTTGCTTGAAAGTGCAATTGAAGCCACGGTTGATGTTTGAGGAGTTGTTTCTGGACCACTCTTGATTTCCTTTGCCATAGTTGAGGTTGGTTCTTCATTTTTCAAAGCGTCAGTAACATCGTTGTTTTCTGATTGCCAAACTTCTACAGGATTCGAAGTTCCAGATGTAAGTTTCGGGTCTGTCACAATTGAAGGATGATCTCCCAAGGCAGAGGAGTTGTCCTTTGGAACGTTTTTCTTTTTTCCAATAAAATTAAGGCACGATTTTTTGCCGCAGCATTTTATAATAATTTGCCGCGAAGAATACGATGCTTGTTTCCCTTAAAAATTTTCATAATTCTTAATATTAACATGAATTTTAATTAGCTTTATATATTTACGACTTTTTCTATGTTGTCTTTTACACGCGGTCTCCTCAAACTGCGTTTGAAAAAACGATGGTGAAATTAAAATAGCAGATGATTGGAAATATGCACAAAACCAATTTCATACTGTTAAAATGAATACTATGAGGAGCAAGAGGGACGTTTTTGCGTCCATTTTATAATGCTGGACTATCAGTACTGCTCGCTGCTAGTAAATCGACTTTCACAACGTGGCAGCAACAAGAGCTCATGTGAATTGTTCATCATACCCATCATTCGCTGATATCAAATAAAAAATTATTAGAGGATGTGCACGAGAGGAAGTTTCAATTGCAATTATTATTGTGAAAGCGCAAAATCATAAACAATATTGAAATGAAATGATGAAATTAATTTACTCAAGTGCGCTTTAAAGGAAATGATGATGAAACAATAAATAATAATTAAGTAAATAATAAATTTGAAAATAAATAAAAAATTTTAACTCATGGAGGAACTGAATAACAAATAAGCTACTTTTTTAATAGAAAATCTTTGTGTATCTTTCATTTAATTAATTTCCCCAGCTAAAAAAAATCAAAACAAATCAAATCATTTATTATTATCTTTACAGCTCCTTGATACCTTTTTACTTACAATTAGTATGAACGGCTGTGTATCGATTGAAATTAACAAAGTATTGTGTGAATCATTTAGCACAAAATCTAGATTTTTTTAAATTATTTTTAATACAATTTAATTAAATAAATATTCAGTTAAAAAAGCTTATTCAAACGCAAATCATTGTTCTTCTCAGGAATTTGTTTAAATTTAAAGATAATTAAATATATATGAATTATTTGTACGTTCCAATTTTTATTGTATTATGAAATTAAATATAATTTAAATCAAATGGTTTCACAAATCAGGTGCTTGATTCCGCCACCTGCAGAATAAGCAAATTTTCTAATAAAATTCACAAAAATAAACGGCCCATTGGAGACAGTTAAGTTGTTAGCAATCCAGCTTCCTAATCCAAAAGGAATGTCTGAGAAACAGTTTTTGGCCAGAAGAGGCTTGTTCTGAATTGCAGCAATTGCGTAGGACTTTTCTATGTATGTTGGAAATTTAATGTCCACAGCTGTTAAATAAACATGATTAAAATCTACAATATTAGCAAAATAAATCAAACGTACATATTTTGTTTAAAATCATGCAGTCTAGTTTGACTTTTGTGTCGATTGTAGCAAGCCGGAGTCCAAATTTAGCGCATTCTGACATGGCTTGGGCTAAAGTGGTTAACAAGGGCTAACAAAAAAATTTAATAAAGTAATATTTTTTACTCGCGCAATTTATCAAAATATTTACTGCAGTTTCAATTGACATCAGCATAAATTTCCTTCCACACACGGTCTTAACGACAAGTCTATATGTTGCGAGGGATGCTTGACCTACTCACGAGACAAGTAAAAATTGGAGATTAAAGGTCAGTAATTATTTTGATTACTATTTATGAGTGAATCCACAACATCCTTGTAGCCTTCCTAAATTCAGGTAATCTGAGATTACATTACATTATTAATAAACAAGAAATTTTGACAACGTTTAGAGCTATTGAATAATCATTGGGACACAAAGATTCCAACTTTGGGGGCAACCAGGACTTCTTTTCCTGGAAAGAATTATTTTAAATTACTTAATCCAAATAAAATAAATCATAATCACAGTTAGAGTAACTTCCACAGCATTAGCGAGTTTCATTGTTTGATTTGGAGATTTCTGAAGATTACAAGCACCAAAATTGGAAACTCTGTTGCAGCCAGATAGAGACTCTGTGTATTGGAGAAAAAAATTGAAGCAAAGTTCTATTTGGTGTAAAATAAACGAACTGCTTGATTGACTGCATTGGCCAATTGTATCATACGATTCTTTCATTGCAGAGTCGTTTCCTTTTGAAACAACTGGAATAAATGGCAAAATTTTGGGTCCATTCATTTTGCCATTTTGGTACTGTGATAGATAAAAATAATTATTAATTTTCAATGCTCTATTTTATTTAGATATATTTTACCAAATTTGCATTTTCACTGTAGCAACTTATGAAACACCTGAATTTTGTATTGGCATTTGGATTTAAAAACGCAAGACCCATTTCCGCTACGTTTTAAGAAAGAAAAAAAGTTTATTGTTAAAAATATTTATAATTTTTAAATGCCATCTGTAAGTTGAAATGCAGCTGCACATTCCAGTTCGATTGCTTTAACCCTTGTGCTGGATCTTCCCTTTGTGATTATTAGGATTTTTGTATTAATAGTTTCAATATAATTTTCATGTATTTAACTCTACCTCACAAATGTATCGAAATTTTTGCTCGCACGGTTCGTCACTCAAAGCAGCCACAAAGTTGTTTGAATTTACTGCCAGGCAATGCTCATTTTTGTTTGAATTGTCCGGTTGATTTGGCATCCAGATTGTTTCATTCAAGTTCAAAGTTCTGTTTGTGGCGCAGAAACCGAACTGTCCTGAACAACCAGCGTCGCTTCCTGAAGTCCAAAATTTGCCTGCCTTGATTGATAGGTCTAAAATTTTTCTTAAAAAATGCATGATTGAGCATTTAAAACTTACTTTTGAAAGCAGCTCCAATTGAGTTAAATTTGTATGCTTGGTGGAGACTCAAAAGTTTGAAATCAATTGAACAACATGCTTGCAATGCATCTTCATACTTCAGAAGTTTGAGTAAATATATTTTTTTAAATTATTATTTAACAAATTACCGAACGCAGGTCATTTGCAAAACTAAACATAAATGTCCTGTAATTAATTTCAAGCCAGAACCCATGATTTTTTGGCTCTGAAATTAATAATTTTTTTAATGAAATTTGAAATCATTTTGCAACCTGTTAAATAAGTGGCGGGATTTTCCTTAAAGCTGGTGAAAACGGATTCCTTCAAATGTTCAAATAATATTATAATCTGGGAATTATCAAACAATTTGATTAAATTACGTTTTTTGTGCAATTAATCTGGGGGCAAGTTGGAAAGCTGCATTTTGGCGCAGGTGTGGTTTGCCCCTTTACATAGTTTGATGAAATATTAAAGGTGGGATTATGAGAGGGATATTTAAATTTACAACACAAGAAAATACTGCAAGTCTCTGACAGTTAAGGTCCTCGAGCTTGACGGAGTAATTGTCAAATTTGAAAATCCGAAGCATGACGCAGTTTTCTGATCCATTGACGTTGTTTGGTTGCCCCGCTTTCCACATATTTGTGCTGAAATTCGCACGCTTGTCATACCACATAAATGATGTTTTGTCCATCCGTTTCCCTGTCGTCCAGTACATGGAACTGTGTTTCCAGTTTGGCCCTTGAGTAAAATTTATAAATCAAAATTTGAGATGTAATAATTTTAAAAGTAGAGACCATCGATGAATTTTTGCAAGCAAGAACGTTTCCACGCGTTTTCAACCATCAAAGGAAGCATTCCCAAACTACAGCACATCCGAAAATTTTCGTCCCAATTCAACTTTAAGTGAATGGAAATTATAAAATATATGAATCAAACGAAAACAACAAATCGAACCACTGTACTGCCAAAGAGATAAAGGCCGTCGCAAGTGGTCTCCCAAGAGCCATAATCATCTGCGTCTGTAAAGTTTCTTTAAATAAATTGAGGAAAAGTCTCTAATTTTAAAATGGTCATAGTTGTTGAAAAAAAGTAAAGAAGTTAATATTTTCATTATATTTTCGTTACGTACAACTGTAGAATGCGATTTAGATTAATAAAATAGGTTTTTTTTTGCTTATTGTTAGTCATTAATTTTAAAGAAAAACTCAAGTATTGAATTTAAAGTTAGGGGTAGATAAAAATGTAAACCTTGCTTAAGCATTTTAATCTTCGATATAATTGAATTTTTTTGCTACTGACCAATTAGCTGTCCGTCTGGCCCAAAAAGTGATACCTGTTTCAATTGATTGAACTAAAAATTTCATTTCCCTTAATTAAGGATTTACATTTTTATCACAGGCCTGTTCATAGGCAGGGCCAAACTGAGAAGAAAAAAATTAAATGCACTAGAACACAAGATTCGTTTTATAAAACCTCGCCTGTCAAAGAAGAGTATGAGTCGTCCTCAGGTACAACAACCTCAGGTGGCGCTTCTTCTACAACTGGATCGGTAACGTTTTCCGAACTCATCTCAGGAGTGATTTCTTCGATCACCGTAATCGATTGAGTCTGATTTTGAGTTGCAAGGTTGGTAACAGAAGCGTTGCTATTTTCAGTAGAATTAGTTATTGAATTAGCTGATTGGGTCTGATTTTGGGCTTCAAGATTGAAATTCAAAACTGTAGGGCTGCCAGGATCAGCTATAGTCGTGTACGAGTTTGGGGCATAAGTTGTTGAAGAATCTGTGAGATTTTCCAACGGAAACGTAAGTCCATTGTAAATTTCACTGAGAGAAACTCCGGTAGAGAAACCAGGGTCAGATCTGGTCATTTGGGACGACGCTTGATTTGATGCAGCTGAACCCGAAGCTGAGGTTTCCGTTGAGAGCACTGGAGTTGAGGAATCCGAGCTTGGTTCTTCACTTTGCAAAGCATCAGTAAAGCCGATGCTTTCTGATTGCCCTACTTCTACAGGAATCGGAGTTCCAGACACAAGTTTCCGTTCTGTCAAAATTGAAGGATGACCTTCCAAGGTAGAGGAGTTGCCTTTTGGCATGACCTTCTTTTTTCCAACAAAATTCAAGCACGATTTCTTTCCACAGCATTTTATAATGTTTTGCCGCGAGGAAGACAATGCTTGTTTCCCTTCTCAATACAAAGAATTCATAAAAAAATTTCAAATTTTTATTTGTTGAATACTAACGACTTTGTCCACGTTGTTTTCTAAGCAGTGCCTCTTGAAACTGCGTTGGAAAAAAATACGGCGAAAATTATAAATTATGACAAGAAATTAGATATGTGCCAAAAATAAATTTTACCACTGAAGTGAATAAAGCGAGGAGCAACAGGAACGTTTTTGCGTCCATGTCTTTGTTGGACCAGCAGCACTGATAGCGAGTCAGAAAATTACTTTCACACCGTCATGACAGCGACGAGACTTTAGGTGATTTATGCACATATTGTACGCATCAACTGCTGATGGACATCCACACATAAAAATGTGTGGATGTGCGCGAAAGGAAGTAACTTTACACAGGCCTCTGCAACTATCGCTATGGAAGTGTTCGCTTTCCGCTCAAATATGTGAGTTAATATTGAAACGAGAATATGAAATCTTTTTACTGATGAATTAATGTTAGAAAAAAACATTTCTTGGGAAATCCAATTACAGTAATCTGAATATCAATGCGTTCATTAAAATTAAAGAAGTAAAAATTATATCGTTTCTGTCAGTTTCTGTTTAATTTGACATTTTTTTTTTCAAAAAATTAAAAACAAATAGATAATTATGTAGGGCTGATTTCAATTTATCATGATTTAAAATTATAATATATTATTTTTAAGTTATATTTTTCATAAATTCATCACAATTTTGTTGTTATTTCTCTCTGAAAAAACACAGATAAACTGAAAATGATGAGCTCTCTAAAGTTTGCCTACACCAAGTCACCGGATGTTTCATTTTTCAATGCAAACAAACGCAAAACCTCGTCCTGTTAACAGGAAGCAGTTTGCCATGCTCAAAAACACTCAATTTGACCAGATAATACCTATTCATCTCAAACAATAATTTAAAGTATCCAAATATTAAATATTAATTTTTAAATAAATTTATATAAAACATTGCATAAACTGTGAAGGGACAGGGACGCATGATGCCATGAACTGATTATAAAATCATAAGCGACAATGAATTTCATAAACAAGTTTGGTATGAGTTATTTTGAATAATTACTGAAAAAGCGTATAAACAAATAAATAATATAAACAAATTTTAAAAAAAATCAACGCACACTCTGCTCATGTTTTTCCAATTTGTTTTGGTCACGCCCCTTGACGTACACCAGCATTAATTTAATTTCAATTAATTAATATAGTTCTCTATTTTTGTGTATTGAATTTGTTGATAGTTAATTTATTTATTTTTAAATTTAATCAAGAATCTAAAGAAACAGACCAAAATGCTGATTCCGAGTATCGACCAGCGGTGGCAGTGAGCGCGGTGTCTATTTTCAGATTCGGAAATCTACAAAGTATCCCGCGGCAGCCGGTGTCTTAGTTCGCGTCGCAGATGTGCGGACGCGACCATGCAGCTCGTTTCGTGCTGGGGTCGTCGATAGTGAAGAGTCGTGAGGTAGAATGAACATTCGGCGGAAAAAGTCCGGCCTGACCGAAGTGAAAGTCGCGGTCGTCGGAGCGTCCGGTGTTGGAAAAACAGGTGCGTTCAAATCACTGTTTTTAATGAGCCTTTTTAAGTTTTTTTTTTTATATAATATAATTTCAGCCCTGACTGTACGGTTTCTGACCAAGAGGTACATCGGCGAGTATGATCATCAGAATGGTTCGTTCTAAATTTTAATTTCATAAATTTAAAATCAATAATTATTTCGGACAATTTTAAACTGGATTGCTCCGAAATCCGGTTATTAAGCAGAATTTTATAAAAATTGAGTTTTTTACTTACCACTTTTGAAGTCATCCTGAATCCTCTTCTCCTTATGCAGAGACGCGGTACAAGCACGAGACGATGGTGGACTCGGACACGGTGGTCTTCGAGATCGTGGACACCTGTCCGTCCCGCTCGTCGTCTTTGACGGCCAACGGCGGCGGCCACCAACTGTGCAGCCTCGAGACGGCCTCCTGGGCCGACGGATTCGTGTTTGTTTACGCGATCACGGACAAAAGTTCACTGGACTCACTGCGCCTCGCGAGACAACAAATCAAGGAGGCCAGGGTGACCAGCAGGGGTACCAACTGGCCAGCGCCCTGCGTGCTCGTCGCCGCCAAAGCTGACCTTGTGCACTTCAGACAAGTGTCGATGGATGAAGGTAGGAGAATCAACATTTAATTGTAATAATTTGTTGAACAGGAGCGAAAAGCACTGAAATTTATCCTGAGATATAAAAGATTTTTCAAAGTCCATATAAGTCGAAAAAATAATATTTTTAAAATATAACAAAAAGACAGATAATTTTTTGTGTGGAAATTTTCTTATAAAAATTAGGCTTATATTAATGAAGGAATTAAATCAATTGATATACATTTTTCCACTATAATTTATTTAGTATACTTTTTTAGTTAATTTATTACATTATATATTTATTCCAATATTTAATTGTAATTATTTTCAATACATCATATTACAAAATTACTAATGAATGTCAGGGACGTTTTCGACAATCCAGTCCATATAATTGCCTAGATCAGTATACAGAGAGTAGGATTTTGGGTTGCAGACTCTCTCTATTTCCCCATTCTCCCTCTTTAGATCCAATCCGCGGCCAAAGCTTTCGATGCCTCGCAGGTACCAAATTCTGCCCATTTTCAGTGCCAATCCACCACCACTGTCTCCATTACAAGAGCTGGTTCCTAGGATGGATTAAAGCTATTATGATTTTTATTTTTAAATTTGAAAATTGTAAATTCTCTTCAATTAACACAAAACACAAAAATAACTAAAATTTTAATAATTTTTGTAATTTTTATGAACGATATATTTATTTATAATTATACTTCATTGGAAAGCTACCATTTGTAAAACCAGCACAAAAATTAACGCCAGGCTTCAAATATGTGCCAAAGAATTGTCTTCTGCTCAGGTAGCACTCTCTGTGAGATCGAACTAGTGAATTTGCCCTTTGCAAAATGTCCGACTGAACATACTTTTCATTGTAGCCCCATCCGACCATCTGAAATTAATTAGTTTTGCGAATTTTATTAACTTCTTACTTAACTTCAACTATTAAAAATCAGACAATTCCTCTTGCGTTGACAATTGTATCAATTGAATAAGATCTGCCCCAAAGACAAATCGGCCACACGCTGTTGGTCAATTCAAATCCTAGGTCGAAGAGAAGAATGGCAATGTCATGTTCCTGTGCGAGTGAGTTTGGGTCGAAATCAGGATGCAAAGTTAAATTGCTGGGCTACAATAAACTATTAAATCTCCAACCTTTTCAAATGTGGAAATTTTTCCATACTATTTTTGACTGAATCGAAGGCGAGAAACGAACTTTTACGTCATATAAACCAAGAGTAACAACTAGCTCGTCTTTTTCAAGAAGTATTCCTGCATTGTAGAGACAGTGGGCAGCTTAGAATGGAAAAATATAATTTAAAATAATTATAATTTGCTAATCTGATTAAATTTATACCTGTCAAAACCGCTTTTCTTGAAATAAGAGACCCGCCGCAAAAACCATGGAAATATGGTGTATAATATTGATAATTGTATCTAATTTCTGCGTGCCACGGTTGTCCTTCAAACGAAGCTTCAAATCCATGAACAATGAAGCTCAGGGGTTCCTCGTCTTCGTCCGATTCATCGATGTCTCGCCGACTCCGTCTTAAATTGTTTGTACCACAATTTGGAAAACTCTCTCGATTTTGGCCTCTGAATTCTGGAAATCCTTTTAGTTAAATATTGAAAATTTTAAAATCACCATGCAAACTTCTTCTTTTCTTGACTGGTGGTATTTCCGGCATAATCCACACTCCTTTTGTTTGTGAAACAATTTTGTGAACAACCGGCAGCAAGTCGGAAAAGCCGTGGGAACGCCCTTGCAGTCCGTATTGCCTATGTGTGACTCCACTTAGGAAATAACGACCCGAATGGATATTTAAAAGATAATCCCCGGTTTGGCTAATGTCGTTTACATCTTGAGAAAAAAAAATCGCAGAATTAGAATTATTAATAAATATGCGAATTTAGTTCCTTATATACAATATTTATCCAAGCTCGCACAGAGGATGTGGTTAAAAAATGGGCAGTCTTCTTCCTGATACCAAGAATTCATGCAGTTTTCCGCCGTCATCAACTCAATACGCTTCGTAAAATTCTACACAATTGTGTAGAATAAAAATGTTAGAGAGAAAAAAGGTTTATTTAACTCACCGGCCAAAAGTCGTTGTAAATGAGAAATGATTCGTTTCTATACATGTACTCGGAGTTATTCTGGTTGATTAAGCAAATTGGGTAAATTACGTTTTCGACCAGTTTTGCTTTTTCAATAGTCCAGACATAAATTTTGTTTCGTGGCTGAACATCAATCCGCACCGCTGCCTTCACCTACTCAAATAAAAATCGGAAATTAAATTTTATTTCTATTAATTTGCTTAAGTTTTCATATTTTTTTTTCATCAATCAAACCTGTAGTGCCAATCCCTTTCCATCTTTGATGCAATTGGCGTATCTGTAATTCTCGTAACAATTTCCCAAGTACACAGTTGCATTTTTTCCATCTCTCTCAAATTCAGCCATGATCTTGATACAGTCGTCTAACAACCATGAAATGAACTTTAAATATTTTCAACTCAATTTTAAGAAACCAATCATCTTACGAGTGATGATGTTTGTGTTCGAGATAAGAACGCCCTTGCATCTGAAAGATCCATTGAAGATCCGAACTCTCCACGGCGGTTTGCTTCCATTCCAAAGCCCACAATTTGTAAAACTCAAATTTTCGCCTTCGTTGTAAACTGGAAGAGAATTAGTTTTTATTTAAAAAAAAAATGCGTATAAAAAAAACATTACAAGGAGTTGGCAGAATTTTTCTTTCGGAGACTTTGCACTGAGGCGCATCAGATAAGGTCGATTCAGAGAGAAGCGAAATTATTGCAAGTATCAAAAGCAAGGCTGCTCGGAAATAAGAAGACGTCATTCCTCGCCTGAAATTGATTTCTGACTAAGCAAATTAGCGGAAGGAATAATATTATATGCAGTTTATTTCACTTGCACTTACAGTATTTTTAGAATCGTGGCTCACATTTGTTTGCTAACTTTTGAATGCGCAACTCGAGAAGTGTTTGATAATAAAACTCTGACATTTGACCGCAAAAAGAAGAGACGATCCTATATCTCGAGCCAAAAGTTTATATAGAATTAATTCAAAAGCTGTTTGATTAAATCATTCTGGTGGTCTTTTTGGTTTATGCGTGGAACAAAGCAAGCGAGCGCTGCGGGAATTCCTGACTCACATCCAAGGCACGCGGCGTGCCGTCTCTAAAATAAGCACCTCTCTTTCCCGATGATTGAGTGCTTTTGCTTTGGTGCTAAATTAGAATATGTGGCGCGCGCAAATACTCAACAATATGATGGGTCGTCTCGTCAGCCTCTCATACGCAAATACACTCGCTGTATGGAGAATAAAGAAGACAGGCGCCCTCTACACAGCAATGCACAACGATATAATTTATTATCGGAGACCCTTTTAGCTTAATTATCTGTTAGACCTTGCGAGCAACGACTTCTATTTTCATTCGAGAAATCACCGTCAATGAGGAGCCATGAACTCAAGTAATAGCAAATTTTAAAATAAAAGATAATTGAATCGTAAGTTTTACAATTTGATGGTTGCCAAATTTAAGAGATTAAATTTAGCATGATTTGTCCATGCTCCACTTAGTAAAAGTTGATTTTAATTTAAAGCAGACGGGAGATTTCTCTTATATATTTTTTTAACGCCCAGAGTTTTTATTAGATAAATTTAGCTTTTTGGTTTTTTTTGCCGCAAGGTAAGGAGCACCGGCCAAATCGTTTTAGCAACGGGGTATTCGGCCAAATATAAATTTCCACAAATATTTGGACGAGTGGCAAGGACAGTTTTTCGACTCGGCGACACGTGTTTATAGAGGCAGGCGTGGTGTATTAAAAGTATATAAGGATGTCAAAAAAGAAGGTGTTTTCGTTGGAGCTAGTCGTGTCCTAACAGAAAACGGCCAAGGACATTCACGCTGAAATAATTATATAAACGGGAAAACTTCTGTACCTTCAACAAGTCGTTCGCTCGCGCGCGCGAGACAAGTTGATGTTTTCGCGGTTTTGCCGGAATTGTGTTTATGTTGGCAGATTTGTGTGCTGCGAGATCAATCTGCGCCGAGCGGTGTTACTGACAAATTACGAGCGCAAACAAAATATATACTGAGAGAAATTTAAGCAATTTGGAAAAGAAGTATGCACGTCAGCATTAAAAAAAACCATAAATTAATTTGCGTAATGAAATATATTAGAATAAATCATTATCAGAATTTGCTATTATTTTTTTTAAAGTAATTTAATATTGATTTGGAAATAAATAGAAGCAATACTTTTTTTTAAAACTAAAATCACAATAAAAGCTTTTCTTTACAATTATCAATTTAGCTTTTAATGACTTAGTTGCAAAGTGTCTTTATTGATTTTGTATATCAGAAGGCAATTACTACCCAGGTACAGCATAAATACAATAAATAGATTAAAAAATTATCAATTTACATTATAGAGGAAAAATCTTATGACTTATTAACATCAAATTTCTGTTCGGATGAAAGAATTCATGACAAAGAAGTTGATTTTTTTAGCCATTAATTTTTTTCTGATAACAAACATTTGAAACAAAATATATTTGCTAAAAAAAAATTTGTGCAGAGCACTTTAATTATTGATCTAAGCCAACCTAGCCAATTCATAAATCTACTTGTAACTAACGCTGCTAATTGTGTACTAATGAAGTTAAGTTCATTAGAGTACCCCTGAATAATTTATAGCGTTATGGCCGGCATAACCTGCACTCTATTTTAACGAACTCCATTTCTCATCTCGCCTTCGTACACTTTTGCAATTTGGAGAAGCGAATGTAGGCACCATAGCCATTAGTTGTGCTACATAAAATTAAGGGTCGCAGATTCACATTGTATGAGCGCGGCGTAAAAAAAACGAGGCCAGCAGAGCTTTATTTGTTTATCAAATCCGAAAAGCGCCGGCGTTGCTCCATTGAGCAATGAAGACTGCCTGGCGCCGGTCCAAATATCTCGGCCGCGGCTGCCGAAATTCCGCCGCCCTTTTTTTTTTTACACGCGTGTTAGAAAAATGTTCTTTCAATTAGGCATGCCATTAAAAAGCCATTTGCCATTTATTTTTCGCAGCGGTGGCACTATTTTTCCTTCTTCTGCGAGTTGTCAATCACGAGCAGGCGCCTCGATTTTTTTCCGCGACGACAAGAGATCGCCGAGGAAACTTGAGAAATTGAGTGCGTGTGTTGCACTTTTTATTTTAGTCCTGCGCCGCTTGGCAGCCACTCTCGCTGCCAATTAATCTTGAGCTAGGAATTTTCTATCGCGGGCCAGAGCCACAGGGTGTTAATAACTTTGACTGAAAATTAATTGATTGATGTAAATTAAATAAGTAATAATTTAATTGAGTGCTTTTGTAAAAAAACATTTTTTCATTTGGATTTGATATTTTAAAAAAGTGATCTGCTAGAAAAAAAATATTTATGATAATTTTGAAAAAAGATAAAAAATTCTTTATTCTTAATTTTATTTTATGAAATTTATTTTTGGTTGCTATCATTTTAATTTATAATTAAAATTGTTGGTACATAATTTAACGTTTTTTCTGTTTTGCTTAAAAAAAACTTGCTTTTCAATATACTTGAAATTTCGTTGCTCTTTTTTTTAAAGAAGTTTTTCTCAAGGGGAAATTATACTCCATAAAATTTCAAAAATTCTAATGTTTGCATGTCTTTAATGTTAATTTGAAATTAAATTCCTGGATTTATGAAATTTCAGGGGAGCAGTTGGCTCACGACTGGGAATGCACCTACCTCGAAGTGGCCGCAGCTGAAGAGGTACAATCGTCGACGGCCGTTTTCCAAACACTTTGCCGCGAAGTGCTGGCAGCTCGAAGACGCGGCAAGCAGAGTCTCTTGGACAGAATGTTCGCCTCGGCCAAAAGTGCCACTTCGACAAAAGCGACCACCTCCAACAGCCCCCGATTCTATGCCAGGGGCAAGAGCGACAGTGCCCTTCCTCCGTGAAATGAAGAAAAGGTGATTTGTCCGAATCATTCCTGCAAATTCGGTATGCAACTTGTACTACTGCAGAACCGCGTGTGTTGCATATAGATCCAGTGAGAACTGGTCACTTCTTTCAGTAAAAAATTATATCGCGCTGTGAGAGACTGTTAATTATGAGGATTGTGTACATATTTATATTGCTAACTATTTGTAAATCTGCTGGGCTGCTAAAATTAAATTGCGAGCAATGCTATAAATTTTAATCTCATTTAATTTCATAACATCAATAAACCACTTTTTAACTTAATATTCATTACAAGTTTGGCATGGATTTAGATAATATTTGTTATTTACAATATTTACACAATATATTAAAATTTTTATTTACAATTGACTGAATATTTTTATAATTTCTATAGCACAAATGAACTTTTATTTTTTGGACCTGTTTAGGTCTCTCCATGGTGTCAGGTCCAGTCTCGGAATAACTTGGCTTTGGCAGGGAAGTCTTGGGTTCCTGAAATAAGAATTATTCAATGCTGGTCTCGATTTCATGAATTTTTAAATTTCTTACAACTCAGAATCTGGCAAAAGGAACACAAAATTCTGAACCGTCTGAATGTTGTCAGAATTGTCACAAAGCATTCTGGCAAAAGTCATCCTTTTGATAGACTTCAGTTGGCCTAAAATAATTCTTTTTAAAATCTCTTTCCCAATAAAATCTTGAAATTTTACCTGGTGTGAAGGCGCCTGGGTGGTCAGGATTTTCATACCAGAATCTATCGGCGCGACGAAGTTGCCTAAAGGATCGGCTGATAATGCAGCTGAAAGTTGGTCCAACCATTCCGCCCGGAAGTGGCCTTTCGCATATTCCAGCTGACCACAAATCAACATCGTGGACGCTCCTGAAAAAATTTAATTGTTAAATATTTCTTTGCTTTTATTATTATAAACTTACTCAAACATATGGCTGTACTCAATGGCTGTTACATTCACAGTCATATCTTGAACAAACTCCTCCCAGGTATTTGGCACAGGAAGTCCACAGTACTCTCTGAATTTAGTGTACGAAGGAACACCATGTTCCCTGGCCCTGGCAATGTTGATGGACGCCAGGTCTCGGCCAAACGGGGAGCCGGGTTTGCGGAACAGATGAGTTGTCACCTTTGAAAACAAAAAATTTCATATTAATTTAATTTATAAACTTCTAATTTTTATTTTTAATTTTACCTCGCTTGTGACTGCTTCATCCATGGCTTGGGACACTTGATTGACCATTCCCAGAATTAATTCGTCCATCCTACCGGGTCTGTAGACGGAGAAGGGTTGACGAAGAACAGCGCTCAGTCTAATAGAACCTAAAAAATTAAAATATGATTGAGTTTATTGCTCATAGCGGGGTAAATTTTTTTCCTCACTGATGTATCTGTGGGCCGGAGACCAACGTTCAATGGTACTTGGTAAAAGTGAGTGTCCAAACCGGAAGGCGGCAGTGGCGAAACTATCAGGTACTGCGGGATTAAGCCCTGGCTGATACAAATTACTGTAGCCCTGTTAAAAAAATAATTATTATAAATATACAAATAAAAAATATTTTCATAATTTATTAGTCTTTGTACCGCAAACTATAAGAAAATTATTAATAAGTGATACCTCAGGCTCAAGTTGCAACTGTTCCTTAGCCATGACTTCCTTTCCCAAAAGGATGGGCAGAAATTCATCGAAAGTGATGTGCTGTACAAGGGCTGCCATAATCATGCGAGTTTCCTGGTGAAAATTTGTTATTAAAACTATTTTTTATTTAAATATTTATTTATTTGACATACCTGATAAAGAGTTTCATCTGTCCAGTGAGGATTTAAAGCGGACAGTTCAGTGGCGATTCTGTTGTGCTCGCGGATGAAAATCGTGTGCAAAACCGTCAGCATCAACTGCTCGTTAACCCTGTTATCTCCTAAAAGGTGAAAAAAATAATTTTTTTACAGGGTGATGATTTCTTCATTAATATACCAGCCAAGAAACAAAAGATATCAGGTGAGGGTCGGGTGCAACCGTCGTCAGGGAACTGGACCTTGAGAGGAAGCAAGGGCTTCAAACCGTTGGGCAAAAGGTCGAGGTTGGCCATCAGACCATTTGCTCCCAAACGAAGGGATCTGGCGACTTGGGCGCTTGAGCCGTAGATGAAACTTGCATCAATAGCTGGCGTCAGGTCATTATTCTGCGCTCTCGTACCTTTTAAAATTAATTAAAAAAAAAACTCATATATCGCAAAAAAAAGTCTGAAAATAAAAATTCTACCGAGTTTGCATCCAGGTCGCAGGGCAGGGGGAGTGCGCATGAAGTCGATACATCTTCGGCCGTACTTTGCATAAAAGGGGTCGTCAAAGGGAATGGTCAGAGTGGCACAGTTTGGATTTGCCCTGGGATTATCGCAGCACTGGGGCTCAGTATTGGTTCCAGCGTCTAAAATAACCAGTCAAATATTATTATAAAAAATAAGAATTAATAAATTTTTTTAAATAAAGCCACAAACTCTTTGCTTCTGCTGTGAAAGTAACATCGTGGTCCAAAATTTGACCCCAGGCGAGGAACATCAGGGTGACGGCGTGGTCATGAAGACCAAGGTCACGGTGCACGCGCGACGAGACGTATCGCGCGTTGGGCAGAGGTTTTCCCGTCACTGACCGCCTCGGAATGCCCACGCCTAATTGAAATTATACGTTTTAATATTTTAGGGAAAGTTTAAATTTTTCGCACCATCGGCATAAACTGGAGGAAGCATCCGTGGAAAGGGTTGTTGAGCAGCACCCTGGGCCCAAGAGAGCGGTCCTTCATTGTTGCAGGAGCCGTCGTAAGACCTGTAGCGCGCCAACTCTGGTGGACAGGATCGGCTCAGAGACAACCTGTCCGGGCACCAATCAGCAATTTCCGTTTCGGCGGTGTCTAATAACGGGAGGCCAGCCCAGATCTCATCTTCAGTCAGTTTATACCTATTAAAAAAATTAATAATTAGAACTGAAATTTTTAGTTAATTGAAGATGAAATTGAAGACAAAAAATATTTAAAGAAATACTTTTAATATAATTTATCAACAAATCTTTCTTCATTACTTTTTTCTTACAATGAATCATTTACAGATAAAATGGATAAAATGAGAAATGATCTTATGTAAATAATATTATAATTGGTTTTTAAATTTTTTAATTAAAAATTTAACCTGTCTCTAAGCAATCGTGTAGTTTCCTGAATGGCCTCTGCGAGTAAATCCTCCTCAACTCTCTGCCTCGGTTTTCGAGGAGCACTGAAGATGCCGACCTTTGACCTGGCCAGGCTAAAGGCTTCGTTGACCGCGCTGGCGGTGATGCAAAAACTCTCACCTCCATTGCTGCAGAAACAAATAAATTTTACAAAAGAGAAAAACCAAGTTATAGCTTTTATGCAAAAAAGGCCACTTTGACCTTGGCCGAAATATTTCTGTCAGCGATATTCAAATCAGTCGTTGATTAATAGATGTATCTTTCTTTGCTAGCTTTGCTGCGCGCGAGGTGACTTTAATTATGAGATGCGCATTTTTTCGGTTCGTTCTCACCTTGTGATGTCGTTGGAGGAAGCTGCATCGCGAACCACTTTGAGCACGCAGTCGACAGGTAGGCTGCCGTCGAGCGCCGGCGAAGTAAACTCCTGGCCCACTGAACTCCGCGAGGCCAAGATCAAAGCCCTGCCGGCCAAGGAAACAATGCCGAAATGAGATAATGCCTGATTGTGAAGACATTTGAAATGCAGTGAGGAGCAAAATGAAAATAAATTCAGTTATCTTCCTTGTGTGGAACGGACATGAATAGCCACGAGATTAATTTACAATTGTTTTCAAAGTTGTGAAATAACTCATTCAAACTGCAAAGATTTTATATTCATGAAGATATATTTACAATATTTCAAATAATTTATGATAAATCAGTAAAAATTTGCGAGCAAAATTGGCTTAATTACAATAATTAATAAATTTCATCATGTAAATTATTGAATTTTAAATTTGATTGTATTTATAAATATTAATGATTATTAAAATTTATTGCATCAAATGTTCAGAATTTAAATTTTAATATTTTCAATTCTATTTTAAGTTTTAATTTGCAAAACAAAGCATTATTTGCACTGTAATTACAATCAAAATAATTGAGTTGATTTTTGTAATAATTATAATATAATACATAGTTTTCAATTTATAATTTGCATAAATTATGCAAATCAATGAATATATGAATTTGTTACTTAATAGGTTAAAACAAAATTACATTTTAGTTTCTGAGTGATTGAAATATTGCATAAGTAATGGAGCTTAAAAAATAAAGCAATAATTTTTTTCATTGCGCATAATTTAAGAAAATATTAATTTAGTAAATAATTTATAATAAATAAATATGGTTCATTCATTCATTTCAATAAAAATAAAAAAGCGAATCGTTAAATACGTTTTAATAAATTACATTAATAATTACATGGGGGCTGCAAAGTAGAGCATCGGAAACTTACCATGTAAGAAAGTAATGATGCGGGGCCATTGGAGATCCGAGCACCAAGAAGTGTCTTTAGTCCGCTCGCACAAAACTGCGAACACCTTTACAGAAAAAAGCACTGTGTCCGTCTTCCTGCGGAGGATCAGCGGCAATGACAACTGGGCGGCGAAAACAGCGAGTGATGAGCGCCCACTAACTCCGCCACAGCCCCCATGATTTCACTTAAACAAACAAATAATGCACTTATTTATGATGTGCTGCGTTCGCGCGCGTGCCATCTAGACGAGCGACTTTTTTCAACAGGTTTCACTTTTAGCACTGCTGGACGTCACGACGAGGTTAATTTTTTTTTGCTGCTACTGTTCTGCTGCAGGCGGAACTTGGTGTGAATGAATTAATCGCGAGCGTTTATTGCAATAAGTGTGTTAAGAGTTTTGAATGGTGTAACAATGAGAAGAGTTATCTAATGACCCGCGCAATAATATTTTGCAATTTTTCATGCAATTTTTTAAGTTCACTGTCATCAGGGCGAAAGTGCAATATTTGCAGAATATGATGTAAAAAATTATATATTTGCTAAGCAAGTACTTTGTTTATTAAATAATAATTGGAAATAAAGAAATAAGTATTTTAAATATATAACGATTTCAATATTTGAACACAGAGGGTCTGATATATCTTGTGACATAAGATTAGATACGTTAAATGTTAAATGAGAGCCATTTTTGGTTATTTTAGTCTTATAGTAGGATTTACAATCAATTTGAATAATATTTTGCAACAGATGAAATCTTCATAATCATTTTTCAATTTAGTGAAAAGAATATACATTACACATAACAGATTTAGCTTTAAAAATATTAAAATATGGACTTTTAATAACTTTAAAGATCAAAAATTAAATGCTTAATATTTAAAATTTAAGTAAACATAAAAAACAAAAAGCTTTTAAAAAATTAATGTACAAATAAAGCAAAATAAATTGTAAAATACACAAATATTTAAGTAAGTAAAATAAATTTTTTATTTTTATTTTCTTTAAATCGAAAACCTTACTACTTTTTTCATTAAATTTTGTATTAAATGCTTGAAAATTAAAAAAAGTAAATAACCTTAATTATTAACGGTATGAAAAACAAATCAAATTATTATAGGGAGAGAAACAAATTCTTGCAAAATAAACCAGTGGAAACCAATAGCAAATGTTAATAGGGATAATAGTTTGTAAAAACAATATTACTAACAATAAAAAAATTACAAATTTACAAAAAACAAAAGATATGAACATTAATTGTATTTACTTCTTACCCGTATATATTTTGAAATAAATATTTCCTTAATTTCCACAGTAGTAAAGCTCTTTCATTAGAAAAAATGATAATATAAAATATAAGGAAGACGGGAAATATTTGTGTACCTTTTTTAGAGTGAAAACTAAACGAACTGCAAATTTCACGGGCAGGTCGTGCAAACTAGTAGTGATCTCTCTCCTTTCCTGTCCTAGACTGCCGGCGGCGGGAACAAAGGTTTCGCTTGTTGGCTCCTGAAGTGTGCGGTCGGCGATGATTATTATTTTATTCGCCGAAGAAGAAGGTGGCGGCCGCACAAGGTTCGCGAGCAGCTTAGCGTGACCGCCGTGTAAAATCATAATTCGGACGTGCGCGCTTCTAATTAATTATCCGCTTGGCAATTATATTCGCACACGCTTATCCCCCGCATAATTTGAATATTATACGGCAAGCAAGTGGAGGCCGCCGCGAATAATGGACGAGCTTCGGTGAAACAATGCCGAGAAATAATGTGCGCGATATTATGAGTGAAAATTCCTTGACGGCTTGAATGGTTTGCTATTGCTAGCGTGAATCCGCTGTTACTTTCTGTGGTATTTTATTGTTTTCGTTGCTTTTGTTTGGATCATTAATAGAATTGACGAGAACTCGAAACTCGGCAGAAAAAAACTAATGTAAATTTTAGAAATTTTTTTATTGAACCTAGAAGAAAATGATCTATAAATAAAGTCACTTTGAAATAGGTCAAGATTGGTTCACATTACAAGATCTTTAACAAATATTTTTGTTGTATCAAAATAACGAATTTTGAAATAATAATTATAAAAATTACTTTAATTTGAATTAAGAAAGAAACTAACTTTCTAAAAAGTTATAATTAAATTAAAGACCTAAAAAGTGCTCTAGATGTTATGATATTACAGAGCAATATTCATAATTGTTTTTCTAGGCAAATTACTTTTTATAGACTGTTGAGTGGTTTTTCCTTAATAAAAATTTCTGCACCGCAGAACAAAAGAATCAAAACAAAAAAATTGCGAGTGGCTTTTGCTGTGGCGTGGGTAAAAAGCGAAATTTTCTCCCGCGTCATTTGTAGAGCAACAAGGTCGCGCACTTCGTTTCCTGATGGTATGTGCACCGTTTATTTAGTGGCTCAAAAATTTGCATTATTCACTCTGAAAAATGCTTCTTTTGTACTGATCGACAAAGAATTTATTTGTTCGAAAATAAAAAGTTTAAACCCTCTCTCTTTTCTCACTCGTTCAAATCTCTCCTTTTAGAGGTGCGCTACTTGTTAATAGCAAAAGCTCTTTACGGAGGTTCATTAAGGCAGTTGATAATCACAACGTACTTGAAATAGTCTGTGCAAATATTTTTTCGTTTTTGCTAATCAATACATATAATATTTGTTGGTGAAAAACCGGCAGGGATTTTTCAAGGATGCAATTGAGAATAAAAGGCAAAAAGCCTGTATTACATTATGACCAAGTCTTATTTTAAAATCTTAAAATATATTTTTAAGTAAATTTTGAATTAAAATCTAATAATTTATAATCAGTAATTATATTCAATAAAATTTTATTTAAATTATCTCTTTGATTCTTAAATGTTTATAATTATGACAAATGAGATTCAGTTTGTAATATTGGTGAATTTCAGCATCCAAGGAAGAGGCGCTGAGCTTTGAGAAACGTCCGGCAGCATCACATCCAAGCCCTTGCCCGCAGTATGCCACTGCAACAATGAAAATTTTCCAATTAAACCGCAATTCATCGTAATTAATAGACGGCAAAAGTGGAATTCCCCGCGAATGCGTGAGCAACAAATTTATTACTCATACTTTCACGACCATAGTAACATAGAAATTAGGCAAGGTGATTTAATAAGCTTGTGTAACGAAGGTGTGAACATGTAGACTAGAATCTCTGTGGAAGAAAAGAAAAAATTTGTGACCTTGACTTTCGCGGAGCCGCCGTAGCCGAGGATGAAGACCTCATTGTTTTGGCCAACCTCCGGCCGATGGAGAGTGAGAAGATTATTTTGTGGCCAGTGCAAAACTGATGCGTACACATAACCTTCTCGCCGTGTGTACCTGCCGAAAAATGCTAGGTGGTATAAATCATGTCAAGAATGCGCGCCCACTTGTTAGTGTAAAGGCAGATATTGTGATAAAGTGCGTTTTATGTTAGACGTTTAATTTACAAGGTTTATTATCGTGCGATTTGCATATTTGGACACGCAATAGTTCATCTTATTAAAAGTGGTCTTGAAATAATTACAAAAAACTCTCACCAGACACCGGTTTGAAGTGTTTCATTCTGGTACGTCCAGGGTTTGCTGCCATAAATCGCCTCCCCATTCACTTTCAACCACTTGCCCATTTGCCGAAGTCGTTCTTCGTAAATGGGCATAATTTTGCCCTCTTTCGAAGGACCTACGTTGACCAGGATGTTACCTTAAAAATATAATATGGTTTTTTTAAATTTTTGTTTACAACAAAATTTTTAATTTAAAATAACATTTTTTACTGTTCAATTAAACCAATTACATTAATTGAAATTTCTGCAATGTATCCCCAGGCGTTAAATGGAAATTATGATATAGCTAAATGTATACCTTCTCTTCTTGCTGTCGTAAGTCGTAAGTACACGCCGCAACTATTCTAATTTACACTTTACATCACGTGATACATTGCAAAAATCTAAAGTTAGTTGAATGTATTATGTTAATTTGTTAATCACAGAGGCAATCATTGAGCATACCAGGTTACATAACGAATAATTTTAAGTTATTACAAGTTGAATTTATTTTAAAAAATTGCCGAAAAGAGTTCTTTTTGTACATTGTTGGGTGTGCAACTATGCAAAAAAATAAATTTACATTAAATGAAAAACTTTCAAACTTAATTATGTTTACTGGAATTGAATATTCAGCTAACCCTTTTTATTAAAACTTAAAAATTAAATAAATTAACAAAAGTTAAAATAAATTTTTTAACTTACCGCCGCAGCTGACAGTAGAAACAATTTGCTCAATCAACTCCTCATAAGTTAAAATATCAGTAAATTTGGCCTCTCTTCTGAAGCCCCAGGAGTGCTTATCAATCGTCATCGCATTCTCCCATTTGTGAGGCTGCAGTACACCTTAAAATTGCATTTTTTTATATATGTATCGCATGGAATTTTCAATGTGAACAATACCAGGGTTGTATCTGTCCTGGCAAGTGTAAAAACCTCCATGTGTGCAAAGCGTTTCGTGACCCCAGCGGTCATTGGTGACCACCGTGTCACGCACCGGACTCTCATTATACAACCAGGAGAGGAAGGCGGTCGAGTTCCAGTACCAGTCCGGCGCCTCCCACTCGCCGTCGGACCAAAGCACTTCCGGTGCGTAATTTTCGATCTGTCAAATAATTCACCAAAAGAGAGCTTCGTCTCGATAAAATATAAAGTGGGCCTTGATTATAAATACCAGCTCATGCATTTCCGGTATGATTTTTCCGTGCACAAAATTGTTGGTCTGGAAATCGTTTTTCTTGTCCTCCAACCACAAAGGGTTGAACCATTCATATAGGGAGTGGTACAAACCGAATTTCATCTCGGGATACTGCCTCACCGCACTCGCCAAATCTCCTAAATTAAATATTAAACAATATCAAAGCGATTTTTTTTTTTTAAATACCTATGAGATCTCGGTGCGGCCCTACGTCTTTCGCATTCCAACCAAAGGCATATTTGGAGGGCCAGAGCGCAAAACCGTCATGATGCTTACTCGTCAATACAACATACCTAATTTGAAAATTAAAAAATGTATATTTTTCTAAGTTTTGTTTTTACTTTGCGCCTGCTGCACTGAAAATTTCGGCCCATTCGTCTGGGTTGAAAAATTCGGCTGTAAAGTCTCGTCCAAAATCTTGATAAGCAAATCCAGGACGGTAATTTGCCTCCATAAAATTCTTGTATTTCGTTTGATTTGAATCTAATACACAGGTTTGAATAATGAAAAACGCAAAAAAATTTAATTGAAATATTTGATTACCTATCCAGTTTTTCCAAAACCATTCGGATCCAAAACTAGGCACTGCAAAAACGCCCCAGTGTACGAAAATTCCAACTTTGGCTTGGTCGTACCAGCCGGGAAGGGGCCGGGCGTCAATGCTGCCCCAATTGGGCTCATATTTGGCCGTACTAACAGTCAAAGTAGTCAACAACGATCCGAGCACCAACAGAATATTCATCCTTTAAAAAAATTTAGCAAATATATTTTAAATTTAAGATCTGCTTACTTGGAATACTTTGGTCTTGTTCACAATTCCTTACTAATGCGCAGCCCGTTGATGGACGCTCTTTTATATCACCAGCAGTACCACCATCAGGAGGACTGTATTATCTGTCAAAGTAAAGGGGCGCTTATCTAGACTCGGAGACAAAACAAAACAGTTGATGCGACTGTATTTGGTTAATATGCGCCTTGTTTAGAGCGAGAGCTGAGAGGGCACCGCTAGCAGTTATATGTGTTGCAGTTGTGCCGGGTCACGCTCTGCTTTTATCAGGCAAAACATTTTTGATAAGCATTATTATATCCTTTTTCAATACATAGTCAACCAGCAACCAGCAGCTCACGAATCTAATCAATTTTTTTAACGTTTGGCCTACAAAAGACAAAGCAACTATTTTTCTGAGCTTGTACTTCACCTTCTTCCTAATTTCTTTATGATTTTTTCCATCAAGATAAATTTTTGTTGAATTTTATTAATCTTCAATTATAAATATATATTTTTTTTTAAATTTAGATATAAGGTTTTTAAATGTTTGTGTCACACAAATTGATAAATAGAGCCTCGCGACATATTTCATAATTTGTTGGTCAAATATTAAATGATTGCATAACTTCCCTTCTCCTACTTAAAATTTCCAGCGGACTCGCCTGCAGCTTGAGCACCAACGTGCCGCCGCCGGCAGTGAGCACCGAATTGGAAGTGCAGAGCCATCTGCGAGATTGCCGTTTGAACTTCTGACGCGAGCGGCATGCAAATGAGGCAATGAACACACATCACAACCAAAGTTAATTTATGGCTTGAGAGAGGATAAATTTTGCATAAGAAAAAATTAGTTAACACAATTTATAGATTGCATTTTAATTTAATTAAAATCTCTTAATGGATTTTTATAATTTATATATTGTGAGAGTTATGAGGATGTATTGTGAATATTATTCTACAGTTTAATTGAAGAAAAACAATATCCCCTAAAATGAAACAAAATCTCATAAACAGTAAGTAATGCATGTAAAAAAATTAAAAAAATGATAAATTTTGAAGCATAAAGTTTTGTTCAAAAATACGGAAAATATTCATTCAAATGTACATAACAAAGGAAGAAATAAAAATTATTTTGTCTCTAATTGATTTAGACGAATTAATTCCAGCTCATAAAATTAAATTAAGCTGAAAAAAAAGAAACAAGTATTGAGAATAATATTATTTTTATCTAGTGAATCATACCTCGATTGTAAACTTTTTGAACACTTTTGTCAATACGACAAGGACTCTGATAATGATTGTTGACTCAATTGGTGGTGTTGGATTCATCTAGCAAATTAGTCCCTCTCGCGACTTGGGTCGGCATATTATAAATTGATTTGATATCCGTGGCGGCTACTTTGGAAGCGCTGGTCCCTCTTCTCATTATAGAGCCAAATATTGACCGGCAAGGGGCAGATTGGTGTCACATTGTCAGTCGCAGCCAGTCCTCGAAAATAGTTTATTGTAAAAGTGCACCCAAGGAAATCGGTGCGCTGCTGATTGAGGAGAGAAATATGGCCGGTGGCGACGATTCGATTGTTGTCGATTCCGAGAAGCAGGAGACTGTTTTAACTATTACTAACTAACGACCCAGGGCGGTGCTTTTTCGAGTACAAAGTTATTCTACGCATTGCATAGTGTTGATGCACAATGAAGAAAATGCGACCGTCCAAGAAGGTTCTTTGCAAGCAAATGTCGACCCACTCTCTGCACCCCCTGGTCGGGAAGACCAATTACAAAGGTGAGATTTTTGCATTTTCCTAAAAAAATTACTCTGTTTCCGGCAGTTGATTGAAATTGATTAAACTCAGCTTCTGTGTATAAAAATAAAAATAATTGAGAGTTGAACCGCGCTGCTGACGTGGTGCGCGCGGTCAAAGGGCAAACGGCAGCAGCTTCCAAGACGGATGAAGGGAATCAAGAGTGCAGTTGGTTCTGCTCATTATCTTTTCTTTGTCTTAATTTTCCCCAGACACGAATGACGCACTACTTCTTGCTGCTTCTTTTAAGACCATTTTTAATGTCTGTCGCATCATTTTGAAAAAGATGAAAATAAATTTTGAACCCCTACCGACATTTAATGTGAAGTAAAATAAAAAAAAATCTAGCTCTCATTATACACTGACAAAATCTCCAACCACAATAGTTGGGACGAGTGATTTAGCATGTGATTGTGGCGCAAATGCAAGCCGTTATTATGAGTGTGGGGCTTCAATTGAATTAAATTACTGGCCAGCGAACAAAAAAGTTGCAGAGGGGAATATTTTAAAGGCTGCTTGAAAGCAACGCACTGTATACAAGCTAAGAATATAATTTTTTTGTTATAAATATTTAACGGTGTAGGAAAAATATAATAACTAAATATTGCAATCTGATTTTACTTAATTGAGCAGAAGATTAATATATTAATGTATGTATTTAAAAATGAACAATCAAAATTAAACTATTTATTCAAGCTCAGGAATCGCATCAAGAAAATGAAAATGCAGATTACGAGAGGAATTTACGACTGTGTTATTTATGGCGCCGAGTGTTATTGTTGCTTTCGGGCAGGGAGCAGTACGGCGCAATAAAATTAACAGATCATGCTGGTGGTTTATTTTTAAAAGAATAATATTTGATATTTAATATTTATTTGCTGCAAGAAGTTCCCAATATAATAATGGATTAAAATTATCAATTGTTGTTGTGTAAATTTCAAATGATAAATAATTAAACTTGCTGCTAGTCAAGGCTCATATAAAAATATTTCCGGTACTTTTAGGTTTTCAGATTTTTAACATCACTAAAATCCCCCTTCTGTTATAAGAAGTTTGGAAAAAGCGGTTATTTATTTCAGAAAGTCCACTTTTGTCAACTTTTAATATTTATATCCTGTTTTAACTTTTTCAGAAAAATTAGTTCATTGCATTATAAAAAACTGCTTATTTTTAATACAAAAACCACTACCTTATTTTAACAGTTCCTGGCTTTGTGGAATGATTGTGCATAATTATGATTGTTATTTTGCACATAGAGTTGAATATAAACATATATTAAGATGTTTAAATTTTGTTATAATATTTTAAGTGTTTCCTGCTCCCTGTTTTTGCTATTAAGTTCTCTCGTTCATAGAGAGCAAAATACCGTGGCAAGTTTAATTGGCGGCCCAATGGGAGCACCTCAGACCAACTGCTCTCAAATCCCACAGATCTAATCTGACAGACAGACACAATCAGTCTGCTGCAGCCGGTCTTCTGTTTCGCGCATCAATAATTTCTGTTCCTTTATTCTGGACAAAATAGGAGGATAAATAGGATCTTGAGAGGTGATAAAATTGCTTTTTTCAATTTCTACAAATCAAACAAGTGTAATACAAAATTAAAGGTTTTTTTTTTAATATATAAAAAATGTACTTATCAATTTAAAAGTTTATATGGCTTCGAAGCATATTGAATTTTAAATATTTTAAAGTTTTTTTTCCTTTTTAATATTTTTATATTATTATACTGTGTGTGCACTTGTGCGTGTTTTTATTAATGTTTGTCATGAAGTTAGTACAATTATTGAGCTTAATCATATTATGATGTTATTCAACATGTTTATTTGAGGCCACTGACACCGCGTGGCTATCAGCCTTTCCAATATCCAAAGCTAATAATCAAGTTATTAGTCCAAGTGCACGGATAGATAAGAAAACAAAACACCAGTTCCGTGAAGATATTATGTACTTTTCTGGATCAAAACAAAAACAAACCTTTTCTCCCTTTTGATATTTTTCTAGTCAGCAGCATCCCCATCATCTGTAGGACCTGTAGGTGTCCAAGAGCCATTATGATTGAGCGGGAGGAACTGATCGGGGGGCCACCGGCCGCCCCCGTGGGTACCCCGACGGCGGCACCGATGACGGCCCCCGCGAAGAGCAGGGGTTATCGCGTGGTGGCTGCCAGAGCAGCGAAGGAGACGCTTTTCTTCGCGCACTGCGCCTCCACTAGCCAGACGCTCCGCATGACCAGAGGCAAAGGTAACAAGACGAGATTTCATAGAAACATTAATTAGGGTGCTAGCCTAATTAATCGTGTCATGAGAGTAACCCCAGGCGTTGACTTCCCATCTTGAATAGGGTTTTTAAAACTTCCAGGTAATTTTATTTCTTTTATGATTAAATCCCATTTTTACCTGTTTCTTGCACATCTTTAAAAAAAAAAATATTAAATTTTAATTATTTTGCTTGTTGGTATCATTGTTTCTTGGGTTCACAAAATTCTCTCATGAAATAAATTCTTTCAAAATAAACAATAATAAAGACAACACATTAAAGAGTCAGTAATTTAATAAAAGAACCAAAAAATTTCAATTAAATGTTCATTATTTATAAATCATAATTCATTTTTCAAACCATCACACTTTAAAATCTCCAGGGATAAAAAATATTTTTTCAGCTTATAATGAAGTGACATTAAATTGTGAGTCTAAACAATTTTTATGTACATATTCATATCTCTTCTGGCCACCTTATCACATGCACAGGCGTGATTTCCGAACAATATACGTCATGCACCTCTCTAGTATTTTGTAATAAAGCAAATATTCGCTTTATTCTTGATGTTTGATGAAGTTTTCATTGAAGAAAACCTTGTTTCTAAATTCATAAAAATATAAAAACCTTTCTTGCTCTTACATTGGCATAATTACGAGAGATTGCTTGGGTCAAAGGGTGAGAGCGGTTAGATTTTGCGCTCTCATTTTTAGCCGGTCAAAGACAAACAAATTTTTTTATCATCAGCTTATTAGGGGCATTAACTGTCTCAAAAGCTAACTGTGCTCTAAATTTTTAAATTTCAAGACCATATAGCAAAATTTTGCCACGTTTGTAACACAAAAGCCCGTAATCAATTTGCTAAACTGCGGTTTGGTCTTATTTCTGAATTACACACGACCGCTACTATATCACTAACTGTACAGTTGAATGGCCCTCAGAAACCAGGGTCAAATCCCAATTAAAGAAGGGTTGGTGCTGCAAACTCAATCGAGGTAACACCGAAATTGTACTCACACCTGCGACGACAAATAAGGTGGCGCAATTAATTCGGTATTTGCGCAGCGTGTCTCTGGTTAATTGAGAAACGCACATACTTTTTTATCTGCACGTGAGAGCAACAGGTGTTCAAAGCCAAATGAGGGAGGCGACTCTACTTGCACCACATTTAGATAAATTCTTATCAACAGAGTTTATACCTTAAATAATTAAGTCATTCTTGAGAATTCTGTACATAAAATTTAAAATTTTATCATGTTTAAATTTTTCTGAAATTTAATTTATAAAATTTAATTTTGAATGTGCTGATTAATATCGATGAAAAAGTCATTTTCTTCTTTAAGTTGTAAAGACAAAGTCGTTTTTAAAATAGTAAAAGCTAATAATTTAATTTATGATTGCACTAATTACAAAAAAAAATGTAAAAATTAATTTTATAATTCTTAAAAAATAAAAATAAAATCAGTTACTTGAAATTTGCAATAAAATTTATATCAAATATGAGTAAAACTTAAAATTTAACAACAAAAATTAACATAATTAAAAAAAAAATATATATAAAAAAGTTTTTAATTAATACATTTGTCTTCGAATTATAATATTTAGCTTAACGTGCAAAGATCCATTAATAGAGTGAACTGGAGTGAACTTTCGGATTATTGAAGAAAAAGTAAATATTTTTTGAAAAAGTTTTTCCACCAGTCTAATAATGACTACATATTAATAAATAAAGTTAGAGTCTCTGTTCCAATTTTATCATTGCATTATTTGTCGTTATTGCAAATTCAGATTGAGATAAGCGGCGGCTAGTATGAAGGGACTTGACGCACGTGACTCACAAATAGCATGGGTGGATCAGGCAGGAGTTATTAGTGCACAAAGCGGCATGCTGGTGATGTTTAATTCAGCAGAGTTCTTTCGGGCGTGGGGAAATTCATAAACGGTCCTGTCCGCATCTCTTGATCGACTCCCTATTCTAAATGCGCTGCAATTACCATAGCCTAAACTTCGGCAAATATACACCTCACATGCTTAGCAAATTTTCGTCGAGGAGATAAATTTCATGAGATGGTTGGGCTAATAAATAAATATTTAACACTGCAGAAAAATATTAATTATTATATATTTTGATCTCTTTTAAACACACTGCCGGACCAGAAAATAAAATGTTTATGCTCTGATTTTATAAAATATTGATAAATTTTTGCAATTTTTTTTAGACTTGAAGCAAACTTCATTGGACATGCGTGTGGTGCGGGTGGCCGTTGCGGAATTTCTGGCCACAGCTATCCTCGTGGGGGTCGGCTGTGCCGGCTGCACAAATGCCCTTTCTCACGATAAGGGCAATTTTTCGTCTTTCACGTCTGCCCTAGGATTTGGACTCACCGTCGGAATACTTGTCCAGGTAAAATATTAAAAAAAAATTTATAATAAACAATTGATAATATTTAAAAAATGTATTAAATTAAAAAAAAAAATTACTAAAAAAACTATTTTAAGGTATTTGGCCACATAAGTGGAGCGCATTTGAACCCTGCAGTGACAATTTGTGCTGCAATTCTGCAAGCAATTGAGGCCAAAATGATGCTCGTCTACATCCCTGCACAAGTTTTGGGCGCCACGGCAGGATTTGGAATTCTCAGAGTAAAATTTTCTGAATAAAATATTTTCGATTTCAAAATTGCGGTCTCTAGTTAGTGACGCCTTTGAGTATAATTTTGGAGGACTCGCACCACGAGAATGGTTTCTGCACAACCGTTCCAAACGCCGAGCTTTCTTTATCGGACGCCTTTTGCTCAGAATTTGTGGCCACCGCACTGCTCATTCTGCTGGTGTGCGCGTCCTGGGATTCGAAGAACCCAAACTGCCAAAATCTACCCACACAGTTTGCTTTGGGCATAACAGGGATAGGCATGATATTTGTAAGTTTGATTCTTTGTTTAGCAATTAGAAATAATCGTAAAAATGGTCATTGAAGAACAGTGAAATTATGCAACCTGCACTGCATCAGAGTTCAGCACGATGCCTTTCCATATGTACATTCATCATATTATGTATTTTTTCTTATTGTATAATAATGATCTATCAAATTAATATCTCAATGACGCCCATCCCCAATTTTAATTAAAATCTTGCATTAAAAAATAAAATTTTTATTGTGCTCTTTACATTTTATTTTTAAACTTTATCAGGGCCCTCGGAGTGGTTCCAGTATGAACCCAGCAAGGTCATTTGGTCCCGCCGTTTGGAACGGAGTTTGGACAAGTCATTGGGTAAAAGTTTTACTGTCTCAATGTTTGACACTTTTTTACAATTTATTTTAATATATAGCTATACTGGTTGGCACCAATTTTGTCTGCAATTTTGACGACAACCCTCTACAAAACTGTTTTCGGATTCGGACAGCTTGAGAAGGAGGAGGAAATTGACACAAATGAAATGGAGGACTTGGGAATCACAAACAACCATTCCGAAGCGTGAAATTCTAACTTTTTGCAATTTTTTAAAGCCACATGTGCTACGAGTCGTGGTGTTGGTGAAAAACGTTTTATCTTCACCGTACCAAAATCAAATGTTCGATACGCTTCTGACGCTCTTGGACAGGCAAATGTACGTAAAATCAAAGTTCCAGTGAATATTGTGTGTGCAAAAAATGCTGTGCAAAATTATTAGAAAATTTTGTAAATTGAAAGCAATAATTTTAAGTTTATACTATATTTAATTTTTACTTAAATCTAAAATAATAGTTACCAACAATTAGTTTTTTTATAAATAAATTTAAAGTTTTTATTAGTGAAAGTTGCCCTATTTTCTATGACAGCTCAAAACTGAAGTTTTGAAAACATGTTTTTTTTTATTATTAATTTGCACAAAAAAAGCTGTGAATTTGAGACTTAAACTTGGAAAAAATATGTAGTAAATTGCTTCTAGCTATATTCTAAATTTCTGACGCTGAAGTGTTGCTTTTGAATCTTGCTATGAATCTGTGTGTAAATAATTATATCCTCCTTTGCCGAGCTGAACTCGACCTTAAGAATAAAAATACGAAACCGAAATAAAACTCAATCACGGTCGCTTTTTTGTTTAAATCGATCGTTTGCCCCTCCTCTATAGGCTGGACTTTGCACGAAAAGCGGCCGAAATTGGGTCGAAATGTGCATTATTTGATGATAGCAGAGCAGCCGGCGGCGCGCGCCTCTCATTCATTTTGACTTTTATTTGGCTCCTTGTCAACCAGAGACGCACATTTAGGTCTCGGTGCCCGCAATCTTTCTGCGACCAGTGGGAGGCAATAATTTGAATCTTACACGGTGTTTGCGCCATTGCTTGAATAACGGGGGGATAAGTTGCTGGCAGGTGACCAGAACAACACCAAAGTGCATCACAAGTGCATCTGCCGCGAACAGAGAAACAAGCAGAATCTATATTCAAGTTGAAAAATGTAAGTTAATATTTATTAAAAAAATCTATTTCCATTTTTTTTCTATTGCTGATAAATTTTAAATTTGCAAGCCTTTAAACAAAATGATGGATTCAGGTAAGAATAAGGGATGAATAAATATTGAATAACTGCTTGAAAAAATGCAAAGAGTTTTGAGTGGAAATAATATTTGAAGTTAAGTCATGCTAATGAAGTCGGATATTATTAAATATAAAATCATTATATTAAACTGATTTTATTTTGCTATAAATGGAGGATCAAAGAAATCTGATTTCCAAATTTACTGCTAAACAATTTTTATAATTTATTGTTTTGAGAAAAAAAAATTGAATTGAATATAATAAAATGGGAAAGAAAATTTTAATTTCTACTCTAATTAAATACAGCTACAATTTTTATGCAAAAATCTTGAAGAGAAATTGGTTTGCTTCATTTTCATTTGCCCATTTTTCAAACCACCTTTAACCATTTGTGCATAACCATTAAAATAATTTTGTTAAAACGTTATTATCTGCTTTGTAACGCACTGACTGCGAAAAGTTTTATCATTTTGTAGGATTATGCAATTTCTGGACAGCATGGGCAAGAAACATGTGTATTGCTGCCATTGCAGGTCAATTGGGTTATCAAAAGCGAAGCAGGTCACAATTTTTTTCGGCGTGAGAGGAGACGATCACCACGTCAGATCCTTTTTTTGAAATTCAAAACGTGAATTTTAAAATTACAACTATCTCTTGAAAGATTGCCAACAGCGTACCACATTACTATGCAATAATTCTCGCGGGAAAACTACCTACGTAAAAATAGAAAATAAATTATGCAGTAAATTTTATTCTCCAAGTCGAAGAGCGTGACGTAGCAAAGCAAAAATAGGCGGTGCAATAAGCCGGAATTTTCTTGCGAGCAGAATAAAAGAAAAATAAAGTAATATCTGGTTTCCTTGCTTGCATTTTTTGTTTCTTTAACTTCGAACGCATGCCAGATGTAACTATAATTTTTGATCTTTGTCAGTAGTTAAGATTAAATAATAAGAATAATCAAATAGTATCAATCAAATGCTGATCTATTGCTTATAATCTAGATAAAAACGTAAATAAGTTGTTCTAAAAAAAATTGGGTCATGCTTCATTCTTTAAACTTGGCCTTATTTGCCATTTTTCGGCAAGATTAAAAAAATCTGAGCACATTTTTTTTTTATCAAAGTGTTTCAATCACTTTTAATTATACCCCATATTAATAATTAAAGTATCCACTCCAATTTTAGATTAAAAAAATAGGAGCAAAAGTTGTTTGTTGCAAATGCCACCGAGAATTCGTGTCAAGTGGCTTTTCAAGATAAATAATGCATTGGCCAGCACTGATTCTCTCGCAAGAATTTCACCCTACAAGTCTTCGGCGCCGCGCCGCCGATTGATTTTAAACTTTGATTTGTGCTGATAAAAATTAGAACCAAGCTAGTTATGTCCCTTCTCTTGTGAAGCGCCAGAATTCATTCTCCACGCAAACAAATGCGATAAGATTTGATTTTTTTATCACCACATATTCCCCTCTATTATTTCTTCCACGTTCTTGGACGATTGTTTGTCAATCAGAAGTATCGATGAGCCAGAGAAAAAGTATGCGCCGATCCACTCATCACTCGGCTTTTTCCGAGCGACCAGTGCATATCTATTTGCATAAGGAGCTCCCTCACGGTTGTTTGTCCACTCGTTAGCCTCCGATAACGCATATATCGAGAGGTAGGAGCCACTCAATCTCATTTGCATTCTAATCCTCTCCAGCGATCGCAAGAACGACCAGACAGCTCGCGACCACAGCAGGTACTTGAAAAGTTGTGAAGCTTGAAATTCGCACCAAAGGATATTAGAAATTTGTGTGATAATATGAATTATTTTATGGTTATTTCATCTTAATAATTATGTAGAAATTCCGAAATTCCTTTACTTTATTAATTGTAAATTTTTTTAAATAATATTTATTTAAATTGGTTCAGTTGATAATGGGATTTCTTATGACAAAACGTTTGATAAAAGTATCAAAGCCAAATTACAATACTTTGCAATATTTACAAGTTATTTATTTTCTTTTAATCTTGATTAAATTTATTTATTTATTTTTGCTCTTTATTAGTTGAATATAATCCGTTTTGAGATTGTGTTGTCATTAGAAAAATTCATCAAGCGATTCACTTTTGCAGTCGGCAGAGTTTGAATTTTGATAATTGACATTGTCTTTGCACTTTAATTTCATTTTCCTTTTCTTAAATTTTGAAACCACAACATATTATATTTTTCATAAAGGTTTTGGTGTTTTCAGCCAAAATGAATCGTTTGGAGGCGATTAGGATAGGAGCGGCTGAATTTCTTGGCACTGCTTTCCTGGTGGCCTTTGGCTGCGCCACATGCACGCAAGCCCTTTCCAAAGAAACCTGGACTATCTTCCATGCGGCCATCGGTTTTGGATTGGTCATCGCCACGATCGTTTTGGTAAACTTGGCAAAAGTTTTCTTTTAAAATTTTGAAAATTATGATTATCAGGTCATTGGACACATCAGCGGGGGTCACATAAACCCTGCCGTGAGCGTCGGAGCCGCCATCCTCCAAGTCATCCACCCCAAAATGCTCCTGGTCTACATCCCTGCGCAGATTTGCGGAGGAATAGCAGGATACGGAATGCTCAAGGTACGAAAGTCTATTTCTTAAATAACAGATTTTGCAATCTAGAAATAGGATAAATGCAAACTCACGTCATTTAATCTCAAAAAGTCTTAGAGATAATCAGAATCTTTTAGTGGAATAAACATTCAAGCAATTCTTCGTTGACCAGAGTTGAGAATTTTATATTGCTCTTTGGCCGTGATTGCAAATTATAAATTATCTGTACCCCAACATGCATTAAGAAAGAGAATCTCTGGTGATCCGTTTAATTACTTGAACCACTTGAGAATGTCACTTGCTACAATTATCTTTCTTGTCTTGTAAATGATCATGATTAATGTGGCTTTGCAACCGTTGCAGGTCAATTTTTATAATGTATTTTGTATTTGATTTAATTTATATTGATAACAAGCACGCTCACTTGGGAGTAAAAGTTATTTAAATCAGTGTTTTTTCCATGAGTCTTTTTCTTAGAAAATAATAGATGAAATTTCCAATTTTCATTTTGGATCAAGTCCACTAACTAAGATATTATGCAAAATTATGACAGAAGAAATATTATTTCCCCATTAAAGAGATTATTATAATTTACGTTTACGCATAAAAATTGAAAAGTTTTATTACCAGTTTTATAAAAGGAATTGGAAACCAATGGGGACCCGATGCAACAATGAAATAAATTTTCATTGTTTGAGGGCCAATCAGAAGCGGTACTTTAAAACTAGTACCGCTTCTGATTGGCTTATAACACATTTCATTGTTGCATCGAGCCTCCATTGTTGGAAACAACTGAAAAAAATTGTTTCATCAGTATAAAATTCATTTGAATTATTTGAATTAAATTATGTTGAAAATTTAAAAATAGATGTATAATTTCTCTTAAATAATTTTTTTTTTTTTAAATTTTAGGCAATGACGACGTCTGATATTCTGTCTGCGGACGGTGGCGCGAATGGTTTCTGCGTTTCCTCGCCAAACCCTGCAATCACCCTGACGCACGCCTTCATGTCGGAATTTTTCGCCACAGCCATGCTCATGCTAGTCGTGTGTGCCGTCTGTGACCAGAGGAATCCAAACAACCAAACTGTCCCTCTGCAGATCGGTCTCGCCATCACCGGACTCGTTTTGGTCATTGTATGTTTAAATTAATTTAATTATTAATTTGGATTTTGAAACTGATTTATATTTTACAATTTTTAAGGGTCACCGCAGCAGCGCGAGCATGAACCCTGCCAGAAGTTTTGGACCTGCTTTCTGGAACAGCTATTACGAAAACCACTGGGTAAAATTATCCGGCTTAAAAAATTTAATATAATTAATAAAATATAATTTGTTTGTAGCTTTACTGGGTGGCTCCCATCTCTGGATCCGCCCTGGCCGCGTTTTTCTACAGGACAGTCTTTGGGTTCAAACATGAGCATGAGACCCACAAGCCTGAGCCCATCCCTCTAGAGGACGTTTCCGATAGGAAGTAGTTTTGCAAAGCAAACTCGCCCATTTTCATCGTGTGTTCTTGGATTTTAACGATTACCGCTTGGACTAATTTTGTAGAATCTCTCAAACGCGCAAAATTGGTCGTTGCGTTTTTCTAACAAAACTGTTGAACAGAAAAAGTGTGTTGATTTTTCAGTCACAAAACCGCATTATAATAAAAGAATTGAAAATACTTTTCTTCATTTTAATTTGTACCTGAAATCAATGAATTTTTTTTTAATTTTTTTCAAATCAATTATAGCATTTTCATTACACATTAAAATTTATTTTACTGCATTATTGTGTTTACACCAGTCTCGAATTAGATTTTTTTTTTTTAAACTGAAGTAAAAAATAAATAACGTAACTCTACATTCTTAATAATTAAACTACCAACTTTCAAAGAAGCCAAAACAAATGCAGCTAGAGAAGAAATAAATTTTGAAGCCCTTAATCTTTACTAATCATTTAAGTTTTGTCTATCAGTATGCATTTTAGGGCCAATTCATAAATATCAGATTTAATTTTTAATTCTTTACAATAGAAATAGGCATGAATAACGTTGATATTAATGTATGCGTGGCAAAATCAGCAGAATGGAAAAAAGCGCAGTTAAAAAAATATATAGAATTTTATATTTGATATTAATAATTTAATATGCAATTTTTCCTGTGGTTTATTTGTTTATTTTTACAATATTGACAACAATGTACAATTTTGAAATTAGATCGTTGAAAATTTTCTCATTTTGCAACAATCAAAAATTGATTGAATTCAAATGGCAGTTGAATTCTCAGTTTGAAGTGTATTGTTCGTGTCATTCGAAAAGAATTCTTCACGCCATAGACTTCTGCAGCGAACTAGGTTTGAATTTAGATAATTTTATTTACATTCCTAATTTCACATTCCTTCTTAATTAGAGTGTTCAAACCTCTATAAATTTTAAAACAATTTTAATGCTTTTAGTCAAAACTCATCGTCAGACGATTAGGATTGCAGCGGCCGAATTCATCGGCACTGCCTTCCTGGTGGCCTTTGGCTGCGCCACATGCTCAAAAGCCATTTCTCAAGAACCCTGGACCATCTTCAACGCGGCCATTGGTTTCGGTTTGATCGTCGCCATGATCGTTCTGGTAAATTTCACGAAAGAATGTTTTGAAATTTTGAAAAATTTGGCCGAAAATTCGCAAAAGAATGTTTTAAATTTGAAAATTGATCTTAAAATTTGCGAACATAGGTCATCGGACACATCAGCGGGGGTCACATCAACCCTGCCGTGAGTGTTGGAGCCGCCATCCTCGAAGTCATCCAAACCAAAATGCTCATGGTCTACATCCCTGCGCAGATCTGCGGAGGAATAGCAGGATACGGAATGCTCATGGTAAAAAATTTATTTCTTTAAGATAACAAAAAAATTGCTTCTTTAGAGATGTGAATTTGATATATATTATTTTCCTTTTCAATTTTATAGGCAATGACGACGTCTGATATTCTGTCTGCTGATGGTGGCGCGAATGGTTTCTGCGTTTCCTCACCAAACTCTGCAGTCACCCTGACGAACGCCTTCATGTCCGAATTTTTCGCCACGGCCATGCTCATGCTGGTCGTGTGCGCCGTCTGTGACCAGAGGAGCCCCCACAACCAAACCGTTCCTCTGCAGATCGGTCTCGCCATCACAGGACTCGTTTTAGTCATTGTATGTTTAAAACAATTTCATTTTTTATGTATATATTTACAACTGGATTTTTATTATAAAAGGGTCACCGCAGCAGCGCGAGCATGAACCCTGCAAGGAGTTTGGGACCCGCTATCTGGAACAACCATTACGAAAACCACTGGGTAAATTTATTTGACTGAAAAATTTGCAGTATAAAGTTTATTTTATGAAAATGAGGAAGTTGGACTTGTCCTCGTATTTTTAAAAACAAATTTTCTACAACGAGGACAAGCCCGACTTCTTCATTTCCATGATCATCTCCTTAAGTGTCAACTTGTTCAAAAAAATTTGATTTAATAATTTTCTTTACCAGTTGTACTGGGTGGCTCCCATCGCTGGATCTGCCCTGGCCGCGTTTTTCTACAGGCTGGTCTTTGGATTCGAGCATGAGAAAAAGATCCTGCACAAGCCCAAGCCTGCTCCTCTGGAGGACATAGCGGAGAGGAAGTAACTCGGCAAAAACAAGCTTGCCCATTTTCATCACGTGTTCTTAACTTTTAATAATTATTACCGCGTAGACTTGTTTCCTAAAACGCGCAAAACTGGTCGTTCTAACAAAGCTGTTATGTTGAATAAAATAAGTGAATCGTTATTCATTAAAAAACCGCTTTAAATATTGGGTTCAATGTAAATGACGACAAAATTTTAATTTTTAGTATTACTTCTGACACCTTGACGTTGTTGTTTTGAACGGTTAAAATTAGTAATTTTGCATTTTTTCTATGTAAGAAGCTTTTTAATCTACAAATTTATAAAACTACATTGATATTTTTCCATAATTAAACTGTTTATTTCAAACGAGCATTAATGCAATGCAGGGTAAAAAATAAATTAAGATTCCCCAAGTCTTACGGGTTAAATTTTATAATTTACAATAGATCTTAAAATCGAAGATAATAAGGCTTGAGAAACGTATCGTTGGAAAAATCGTTCAAAATTAGTTCAATTAAGGAAATCATTCACGTGCTACAATAAATAATGATGACTACGGATACAAGTTCAATTAATTAAATTATTGTTAAAAATCTTACCTCCGCTCATTTATGCACAACAAAAATATCGTTATTACATTTTCATTTCCTTTCAATTCAATCTTTCCCGAAGCTTTAAAATTTCACGCAAAAATATCTCATGGCGAATCATCAGACGATTTTGTTATTTAAACTGCCTCTGAAAGGTAACAATTACATGTAATAATAATGCATATTGTAATAAACGGATAAAACGCAATTTGCAACTAAATCACTAAAACTGCAGAAAGTTTGCTTTCTGTACTTACGGAAATGAGATGACCTCGAGTCATCCTCCGTGTCCAGACAGCGGACACTCCTAAAAAGAGAGACAGACATGGATGAGATGACCTTTTGTTGTGATTTCCATCTCGAATTTTTCAGAACTAAGAAAAGCCACGACAAAAAATATATTTGAAAAAACATGGTGATATTATGATAATTAAATAATTTATGTTTTGCGTGGGTTCTAAAAAGGATGAATTATGGTACTGACCTTATCAAAGGGCGCATTAATTGATCCATCTTTATCAGTTTTATTGCAGCCCGTAGACTTGCAGAGCGAGCATTCACTGGTGAAATTCCATTCCTCCAAGGCGACCAAGGCTCATCCACAAATTCCACAGTTTCTCTCTATTTCTCCCTTCTCTGTTGTATTTACGGTATTTACTTTGCACATACAAGCAGCAGAATAAGCAGAATTTGTACGTCCAAAAAGAACAAGTTAGAACAGAACACGCGCATGATGATTGATAGGTTTGGTGAGAGTTCATGCAGTGTACGTGTTGATCCCTCCCTTTCCTTTACCCTCCCCACCTGACCTCGTGCACTATTTTTGTATGTGTGTATTTTTCTATTTTCTATTGCTTGCATTGTGAGTCAGCCAGTCAGGTTTTGCATAGTTTTTGTGAGTGAAGTGCGTCTGCTCACGAAGGGCAAAAAACGATCCCAGACTAAATTTGTGAAAAATGACAACGTTGAGCATAAGCAAACGTTAATTATATAGTGCGGTGTGTGTTACGTGTCGTGCCTTAATTCTGGGAAATTCAAGATGGAAATCGCAACAAAAGGTCATCTCATCCATGTCTGTCTCTCTTTTTCTGGAGTGTCTGCTGTCCGGACATGGAGGATGACTCAAGGTCATCATTTCCGTAAGTATAGAAAAATTAATTTTCTGCAGTTTTAGTGGTTAATCCGTTTATTACAATTTAACATACATAATTTATTAATTCATGTAATTGTTCCTTTCGGAGGTAGTTCAGGTAGTTTAAATTAGAAAATCATCTTTAAAAATGCAAATGATTCGCTATGAAATATTTTTTTGCGTGAATTTTGAAAGTTTCAGGAAGGATTGAATGGAAAGGAAATGAAATATATTAACGATATTTTTGCTTTGTGATTTTATTAGAAAAAGATTTAATCTATACAAATCATCTTCTTCTGCACTTTGATAACCTACAAGTTGCACAAATACCAACAATGATTATTTTCCTTTCACAGTTTTACATAAATAGCGCGTGCTCCATTATCCGACATTGAGCCATAACTATCAACATCTGAATAACATTGTTACATTGTGATGCATGTATTAAGAGTCTGTTACATTTTGAGACATAAACCAAAATTCACAGTTATTCATCTCCAAGATTGCAATTTTACCGTGTCAAATTGAAATTTTTAGCGCCGGAAAACATAATAATTTTTTAATATTTGTACAAGATAGGACTTTTGAATGAAAGGAGAAATTAAATAATATAATGCTGTCTTCAGTCTAAAAAAAAAAATTATATAACATGTTTATGTGATAACAAAAAGCTTATATAACAATTAGAAGATAATTATGCTGCTATATAATCAACAGTGCACATTAATCCGTTTAGTTCAGAGAGCATTATTTTTATTTCCGATTCCCCAAAACGGTCACTTGAAATCAATTACACCAACCTCTGCTTACTCAATAACATCTGAAATTGCAATTTTCACACTCTTCATAGAATATAGATTCTTCATTTTGATTAATTGACGAGCCAAAGTCATCGGTTACGCACAGAAACGACTTTTGTTCCACGGGGTTTATGTTATTTTTATATTCAATGGAAAGTAAAACAAATCAGATCTACTCATTTCCTGGACGTTTGCCAATTTTAAGTGGAGGTTAACAATGATTTTCAAAATTAATCAAGAATGAATGACCGATTCCAATTCCGAATATTATAAAAATAAAAAAAATTGGAAAATAACAGGTCATTAGCTTTCTCCTGAACAGATGAACTGCTCTAAACTTTGGTAAATTGTTCAACTCCACGTTAAAAATAATCATAACTGTCCGTTTACAAGGATGTTTCATAATTAAAATGCAATTAATATTTGTAAAAATCTTTCCAAGTTCTTCTATAATGAAATGATATATTTTAATTATTTGAAATTAAATGCTTACTGATAAAGTTGAAAGTTTCAGGGGAAGAACTCCAAATTTTCCATAAAATAGTATAAAAAGGAGAAAATTTCTCATGTTTTTAAATTTCAGTCATTTTGGACTTTTAAAGGACAAAGGACGCGCACACTAGTGTGTCCAACGGGAACGGGAATTTGCAGGAGTCCCGGGAATTCCCGGGAAAATTGCCTCCCGGGAGCGATTTTGTATCCATTTTTTCAAGGCAGGAGTGAACCGGGAAAATTTTCTCGGGAGCGGGAATTCCCGGGAGCGAAATATTGAAAAACCTTTAGCAAAATTAACTGTTTTTTACAATTTTTCTTTTTTTCAATTTTTCGCTAGAAAAAACCCCGTTTTTTACTCAAAAAAAATCGAATTTTCACTATTAATAAGGAAAAAAACTTATTCTTAATTACAATTTTTCATTATAAAAATTAAAAATAGTAATAACCGGGACTCCCGGGAAAAATTTTTCGGGAACGGGAATTCCCAGGAGATATTTGACACAGAACTCGCTGGGAGTGGGTGGGAAAAGGAGATTTTTTCCGGGAATGGGACTCCTCGGGAGAAAAATTTACTCCCGATGGACTCACTAGCGCACACACATACACTAACATGGGAGAGTATCACACGGGCGGTCGCAAGACATTTGTTTCAGTTATTATTTTTTTAATTCTATCACAGGGTGGCGAACGTCACATTGGCTGCTGTGATTTGCATGGGCTGCAACTGCAGTTGGTCGAGGGCGGTGACGGCGCGGCGGTTGTGGAGGCCGGTGAGCGAAGTTTCTCGCAAGGAGCGCACCTGCAGCTCGGAAAACGCCGTGCCTGGGTGGAGTTGGCCGTGGCCGCCTTTGCTGAGGCCACACTGGGGCACGTGTGAGGCCACCTTGCAAGAGTGGCCCTGGCGTTGCAGCAAAAGCAGGGCCGAGGCGGCCGGAAACTGGGCATAAATTGGGTCGGCCAGGGTCCGAAGAGACAGGAGGTGAGTGTCGCAGGGGAGGGGGCGCGTCAGCAGAGCCACCCTGCGTCTTAGGGCAGGGTCCTCGCCCCCTTCGACGACGAAAAGGTTGGCAGGGTAGAGCAGGGCGTTGCTCATGTGGTGGGCGAAGAGACTTGGCCGGGAAAGGGCCTCCTCGTCTCCTTCAACGCCCACTTCCTCGAGCAGCAGCCACATTTTGGTGGTGGTGCGTTTGTTGTCCACCACCCCTTCGCCCATTCCTCTGGAGTCGTCGTACAGGGTGCGCCGCTCCAACATCACTTCAAGCCAACCTGGCTGCCAACTGGCGGCGCCCATTGAGTGGCCAACCAGCAAACTCATTCGGCGACCACCATCCTAAAAATAAAAAAATAAAAATTAGTCAATTTCTAGATTATTTTTAAATTTTATTTCCTTGATGAAGAAATTCTTCTTATTTCTTAATTTATTTTCAAGTTGTTTCAGTTATCTATTCAGATATAAAAGTTTTTACCTGAATGTAGGCCATCGAGGTGATTGGGAAATAATTTCCTTCAATTCCAATCCTTTCAACCTTTATCCTCTTCTGCATCTGGAATCCATTCTGATCTGTGTAAAATTCAGGTATGGTCCCTTCAGGACCTTGTCCGTTGCTGATGTCGGTGATGAGGCGCATAAAAAGCTCAGTCTCTCTGTTTTTCGGTGGCATGTCAAAGTCGATGTGTGTTTCCATGGAGATTCCTTCACTCAGTGGTCCGGTGGCGTGGTACACCCTGATGACCATGGTCAGCAGTTTGCCGTAGGTGACCGCAATCTCCGACGAAATCGGTCCAGACGTTATGGAAATTTCTTGGCTGTCGTCCTGCAGAATTTCCTTCTCGGGCTCTCTCGAGTTGGGGTCCGGCATGAATAGGTAGGCGCCGCTGTGGAACTGTGCCGAAGGGTAGGCGGCAAACTGGATGGCGCACTGGGTGGTGCGGCCCGTCGCCTTGCGAGTGATGGCCCTGAGAAAGCCTGTTCGGCCGTCAAACAAAAGTTTCAGCTTGTGGTTTTCCAGCTGGATGTCGCCAGGCTGCATTTTGCGAATTTCAAACGGACCCTCTGGACTTGCCTCTGGAATTCCCTCTTTGTCTTTTTTAAGACAGTCAGAACAGTAAACAACAGCTCTGTAAACAAACCAGATTTTTTTAAATAAATTCAAATATTTTTTCAAAGAAAAATATACCTAGTAGGAATATTGCTGTTTTCCGCCACTCTATCCAAAATATAAGTGGTGAGGGCCAAAGGCTGCAAGTCGGCCACCCACTCGATGTCAAACTGGTCCTGCAGCATGGTGCTGGCATTCCAGACAGGGTTCACTTGGCAGGGGATCGCTGCCCCTTTGGCATCAAGGACCCTGACATCAGGAGAGAAAAGTCTCACCCTAATAACCTCCTGTCTCTGCTGGCCCAAGGAGTTGAAAAGGACTACTTTTCGGGGCTCATTGTGCGGAACTAGAATGGGAACCTTCCGCGCCTGTTGCTCGTAGGTTTCTCTATCAGTGTCAGAAAGCAAAACCTGGGCAACAATAAATAAATAATTAATCCGCATGGTTTAAATTAATTTTCTTACCTGTCCTAATTTGTAAGTTGGTTTTTCTGCAGCGTCCAGAGCAACTGGAGGCAATAAAAGGGCGTGGGCGCTCCGACTCTGGATGGCCATGGTGTCCTGAATGCCTTCGAACAGCTTCAGGGCATAATCGTGCATGACAAAAGCTTTCGAAGTTCCAGTTATGGCGTCGTGGTGCTGGAAAAGCCCCAAGCTGCGTCGAGCCTTCACCAGACGCTCAAAGTCTCGCTCCAGAAGCTGGACTGTGCGATTTGCGCCGTGCATTCTTGCCCTTCCCAGGGCCACCGTGTACAGAATTTCAGCCGATCTCAGGTTGGCCTCCAAGTCTCGATCCAGCTGCTTCCAATAGGGTCTGGTGGTGAAGTAACCTGACCAATAGGCGGGTCTGCCTTCGCTGAAAATGTCGCTGTAGACGAAAAAGTCGCCCTTCAATGTGTGGAATTTTGTGTCCAACTCGTCCATTCTCTCTCGAACAGCCTAAAATATTTAGAATAATATTTATTTTATTCATTTGCTATTATTTTTTAAATAAATTTTAAATTAGTTAATTAAATTTAATATAAAGCTTTTTTACCTTAAAGTATTGAGAAGGGGTGCCAAAGGACACCTTTGTGTTTTGGTATCTGGTAGGGTTTGAGTTGATGTAGTCGAATAATTTTTGATAGTTGATGTACTGCTGGTCCCATTCAACATCATGGTCGTAGCGGAAATCGTCTCCTAGAGGCATCAACACCACATTGTGTGGGAAGAGGGAACCTGTCCTTCCGTATTGCTCTAACAGCAGGTCTGCCTTTTCTCGGACATTTTTATCATCAATAGGAACAGCTTTGACTGAGTAGTCTGTGTACTCGCCGGGAACTTTGCGGAAATCAAAATTCAGACACACCTGAAAAATTAATTATTTATTTAAAAAAAAATTTTATCAGACACCTTTCAAGCCAAAGCACAGGTCGGTTGGCAAGGGGTCGTGGATTTATTTGCAAAAAATCAGGTGAAAAGAACACACAATTTGACGGATTTTGGCGTGGAAAAAACTCGGAAAAGTCAAAAGCTTTCCCGGAAAAACGCTACTGTAGTTTCAACTTAAAAATGGAATATCTCGGGTTCTAATTGAGATACAGAAATGCGGCTAGCACCAAAAATTTTCTTTTTACCTCCTCTTCAATCCTGAGGGGTCAAATAATCCAGAGGTCAAAGGTCAAGGTCATTTTTCAGGGGTCACAAGTACAAAAAAAATTCTAGCAAAAATATGCCACCTTCGATTGGGCTGAAATTTTTTTCTAAGATAGTCCTAACATGTAGGGACAACATATTAAAAATTCAGAATGGCATATTCTTTAGTTATTTTATAAAAAAATCACAAAGGTAAAAAAACGTGAATTTTTCGTATTTTGCCAATGGTCGGATATTGATTTTTGGAATTTTTAAGAAATTTTTTGAAAATTTAGGAATTTTTTGTCAATAAATAAATAAATTTACCCATTTTAGATACGTAATTTCTCAAAATAAATTTTTGATCATGAGCAAAATGCGAAAAATTCACGTTTTTTTACCTTTGTGATTTTTTTATAAAAAATCTAAAAAATACGCCATTCTGAATTTTTAATATGTTGTTCCTACATGTTAGGACTATCTTAGAAAAAAATTTCAGCCCAATCGAAGGTGGCATATTTTTGCTAGAATTTTTTTTGTACTTGTGACCCCTGAAAAATGACCTTGACCTTTGACCTCTGGATTATTTGACCCCTCAGGATTGAAGAGGAGGTAAAAGGAAAATTTTTGGTGCTAGCCGCATTTCTGTATCTCAATTAGAACCCGAGATATTCCATTTTTAAGTTGAAACTACAGTAGCGTTTTTCCGGGAAAGCTTTTGACTTTTCCGAGTTTTTTCCACGCCAAAATCCGTCAAATTTTGTGTTCTTTTCACCTGATTTTTTGCAAATAAATCCACGACCCCTTGCCAACCGACCTGTGCTTTGGTTTGAAAGGTGTCATCAATGAATGATGGTGATGAATTTGAGCTAAAAATGTATGTGCAATTTGTGACAGAATGATAAATGGCCCACCTGAGGATGAGGCCCGCATGAGTGTTTGATTGAGTAGATGTCAAAGGGTTGGTTGTGAGTAAGCATGTCACTGGCGGTCATCGCGTCCTCTTCTCCGGCCCAGTTCTGTCGCCAGATGAAATCGCCCATTTGCTTCTGGGCCAGCCACTGCTTCCACGCGTAGTGGATTCGCTGGACGATGGTGGCATTCAGGCCGGACGCCTTCAGCAGATAGGGCACGGTGGCGCCGTGACCAAAGGGGTCGATAGACCAGCCGGTGGAGGGGGCAATATTTAGATTATTTTTTACCCATTGGTGACCTGAAAAAATAATTAAATTTGTGAAAAAATACAGATTTTAGTGAATTTTTGGATGTTAATCATTATTATACTATACTATTTTTATTTACAAAATCTTATATCATCTGATAAAAGAAAACATTATTATTTGAAAAAATTTATTTAGTAGGAAAATTAACTCTTTATTTTTTCTCCTCAAAAAATGAAGCACTTATGCACAATCAGTTAACGTTATTTTTAAATTTTATTGATACACATTTTTTCACCTTCGATTAACTGGTCAACCATTGCGTATAAATGGACTGCGGCCTCATCAGTCATTACCCAGCCGCCTGTCATTATTTCCAGCCGACCCTCGTCCAACAACGTCTGCACGATTTTTCTTTTCGTCGGATGTGCACTGCAGAAATAAGAAATAAAATATATAATAAAGTCGAACCAATTTTCGACAGACCCCTAACATAAAACCTCAATCAGGCCGTTTCATTTATTGACAAACTCATGAATCAGCCAGCAGCATTAAACAACCTCTCATATAAAAGGGCCGCGCACGTGTGCACCCTCTCCATTCAACCCCTAATGCATTATTTCGACAGGGGCGTAATGGGATTCGTGGTTTAAACGGAAAGGAAATCTCGGCCAGGAAATAGGTGAGGTCGAAACACAGCAGGGTAAAATAAATACGCCTCATTGAGCGCTCTACCTCACCTCACTGCACCAACTAACGATCTCGCTGACCGTTCACCGTGACAATAAAAAATTCAGTTTCGGGATATGAAGAGGCCTGGGATAGAAAGTTTTGCGATTATATTCGTACCTTTCCCACCACATGGCGAAAAAGGAAATTTCGGTGTAGATGAAGGTCATGTTGCGGTACTGCTGCAATTTGTCCACCATGTTGTTCAGAATCACCCTCGTTTGGTAGTGGAAGTAGTTCTCGTATGTTTTCAGCCACCCTGGGTCGGTATGAGAATGAGGGACGACTATCACCTGCGAACAATTAACAAAAGTTTTGAACAAAATCTAATTAATTTTCAATTATATAAATAATATAATTATTATTGAAAAAAGTCAGAAATTTATATTTGCAGTAAAAAAATGTTCAAGTTTTTTAAACATTTTGTTTTAGTTCAGCGCAGCTTTTTTTTAAATTTGTATCTCCAAAAGTATAAATAAAAGCTTGTTCGAAGAATTGCAATGTAGTAGAGTTTTTAATTTGACTGCAAATTCAATTCGTTGTTTGTTTAATTCATCATCAGTTTATTATTGACTTTCAAACAGAAAATTCAATCCACAGGCTTAATTGTTTGCTTTTGGGAGTAAATATAACTTTTTGAATAAATATTTGCGTTACATAATCGCGAAATGTTTTGATTTTTGTAATATTTACTATCAGAAAAACTTTATAAGCTTTCCATATCAGCATAAAATATCATCTCAAATGTAAAAATAAATTTCTCCGGGTGCAGGATGACGACGGGAACAAACGGCTAAAAACTTCCGATAGCTTTAAAAACTTTCTGTTCTCTCGCCATTCTCGTTATGCAAAAATCAATATTATCAGCGTCGCCTGTTTGCACAGGGAATCAAAGTCCCTCGGTGCGATCTGAAGGAAAACACCGTGATTTCCACTAACTCTGCGTTGACGATAGAGAAGGCGTTGCACTGCCGGCCGTTGCCATCAACGACGGGCACCAAGGGCACTTTAGCCTTGCCAACCCTGCGGATTGTTCGTTTGAATTCTCGCATGCATAATTGAGAACTGGCACATGTTTGGTTTTGCAAACAATTGCGTGCAGAGTTTATGTACAGTGCTGCTGTTAAGCGAATCGAAAACACAAAGAGGCATTTTATGCACGTCAAAAGCAGTCTGTGTACGCAAAAATTAAACCGCATACAATTAACTTTCGTACGCCTTTTGATGTCAAAAATACATACAGCTGGTTTGATTTTGTTAGAATAAAACAAAAAAGATTCAAATAAAATGTTTTCTGCAATTTTTCGTAAAAATTTATGTAAATTTAGCCCCAACAATGAACTATTTTTTGAGAGCTATTGAAGGATTGATCTATTGATCTGTGCGTTCATAGAAGCTAAAAATTTTAAACAAAACCTAATTTAAATTTTGATACATTTTGAAATTTACCGTTTAAAATAAACATTATTAAATAAAATAATCAGATTCATTAAAATATTGTTTTTTTTTTTAACTTTTTAATCATTTCTATTTTTTAAGTCAATGTGCTCCATTATTAAATAAGGTATCTAAAATAATAAAACGTTGTACGGTCTTGCATTGTGCTCTTTGCCGCATAATGATTATGATGGGTGACAAAATCCTCGCAGCGGCTTCAAATTTTAATCCGAGCAATGGAGCAAAATGCACGTCCCCCGCTTGATGATGATGGTGCTCTTCAAAGCAGTCTGCCTGCTGCTCCTCCATCAGCTATTATCGTGCCGGCGAGAGAAGGGAGCCCGTGAACGTTGACCAGACAAACAGCCTGCCAGAGAGGGCTGGAGAAAGGAAATAAGAAGCGCCGCCGTTCAGTGCGGTCGGAAGATATATACAGAGCGAACGAGCGGTCTGAAGAGCGAGCTTATTGACTCAATATTGCACCCACCATATTGGACCAACCCGACAAACATAGCAATCGTTGAGATTCTTCTCTCAAGAAAAAATTTCCTTCCTTCTACTTTCTCTCTGCGCACTATTTTGCTCCGAGGATTTTATCTTTATTATATCATCTTTATATTATTTTAAAGTTTTAAACTCCTTGGGGAAAAGTTTTAAAAAAGCACATAAGACAGAGGAAGCGAGAAAGAACCGTCCGTGGAAAATAAGAAGCAACCACAAATTTGCAGAGCTTGGCCTGCCTGCGTCGCATACAAATCCCGCAATTTGCTCACTCCCCGAGCCTCTTTCTTTCTGCTAAATCGTCAGAAATGCACGAAACGTAGGAACCACGCCACGATCCTCGGCGAATCGAAAGTAAAAAAGCGGAAGGGAGCGTCGCGCACGCTTTGTGCTCAAGTCTTGGAAGTGTTTCTTCCGCCGTCAAATTTATTTCCAGCCACACGTTGGATAAAAGTGCGTCTTCTAGGCGATTGAAATAAAAGTCGAAGAAAAAAAATGAGGAAAACACACTAATTTTTCTCAAATTTATAGGGAAACACTATAATATTTTACCGCAGTAATTTCGGTTTACCGTAATTTCTAACAGTGCTCATATTTAATTGAAAAATTAAAAATAAAGATCAAGGGACAATATTTTTGGCAAATATGATTGACTTCTTTTATAAAATTTTTAATCATAATTATTGCGCAAATTAAAAAGAAATAATTCAATTCAATTTTTTTGCGATGTATGAAAAATATATAAAATGAAATTAATAAATGTTCAACATTTAAAACTTGCAATTATTTATTTATTTACATTTTAAGTAAGAAATCATGAGAATTTGGAATAACGTCATTTTTGTATAAAAAATGTGTGCTTTAGATGTGGAAGGAATTTGGGAAATTTTTTGGTAAATTTCCATGTGGATTTATTGTACGTGGGATAGGGAGGATTTTGCATATAATGCAATCTGGAGCACGTCTCCCCGCGGAGCAATATCAATTTCACTGGTTATGTACAACAGACGGCAAATTCTTCTTCCTTCCTCGGTCCATTACCAAGGCAAATTGGCAGAGGAAATTTAATTTTGGGCTTTGCGGGCCAACAAGCCGCGGGCCACATGATAAAATATGAATACCCTAGTCTTTTGCAACCCCACACGCTACCTGCTAGGGCAGCAAATTTTCTTTGTTTTTTGCTACCCAAGGAAATGCGCTGATTAAAAGTTTCCCCGGCCCGCAGCACCGCCGTAATAAATTTGGGATTTTATTTGGCTCAGTCGTGACCAACGACAGCGGCGTAATTGCATTTCGGGCAGTCTGTTTCGCCCGGGGAAGAGAGCGGTCGTCGTTAGAAACACTCACGCTCCGCATGAAATAATGCACTAGCAACAAGCCAAGTTGGCGCACGTTTGATTGTTCCACTCGCACCCCAGCAGGGCCTATATTAAATTATTCTTTATCGCCGACCCGACCAAGTTCACTTTTGTCTCTGGTCTCTGTTTTCGTGCTAGTCGGCAAGTTTATAATTAGGGAGGGAGTATGAAGTATGCTAATTTCCTGGCCATGTTCCAATCTCGAGGAAAGAAAGTCCAGATGAAAACGCACGACTCTGCCAATCGATGAGTGCAGGATTTTTAGCTGGTCTACACGCAATTTGCATGTCATTTCACTGCTAACAAGAGGTTTCATTGATTCTGAATAAGGTGAGTGAAGTTATGCTTCCCGCACGACATCCAAAACCTTACAACTTTCCTGGATAGAATTTCTTAAATTTTGTCTTTTTTATGTTGCTGATTAATAATTAGTAATAGGAAATGTAAAAAAATCAGATAATAAATTGAAATAAATATGAAGAATAATTATTATTATAAAACAGCTTGAAATAAAATATCATAATTAATAATTTTTTTTCATACTTTAGTGACTTTATATTTTTGTGGCTTTATCAAAGCGCCGTTCAGCCGAAAGGCACTCTCTCAATTTCCGTTGGTGTCAACCCTTCAAGTGTTGGCACAGGACAATTTCACAGCCTGTCCCGGCGCATCCTCTTCTCAGCAAAAGTCGGTCGTTCGGTCGGTCTGTATTCCTTCCTCTTTTCATTGATCCGTCCCAGGGGCGTGTAATCGTAAACACGTACACAGCCCTTTTGTTCGAAAAGTATTCGTCTGTGTGCTTTTGCCGCTGGAGCCCGAGGCAGGTGAAAGAGTCACCTTATCCAGAAGCAAGCTTCAAAAAGAGACTTTTTGAAAGGGAGAGTCGTTCTATCTTCCTTTCTCTCTCCACAAGCGAAAAGCGAGTGAGAGAAAAGGAACTTGCCCAAGTTCATTTCCCAGCAGTATTAGAGGATAAAAACTTTTCAGTGGGACGTTCTGTCGTACATGCGGACTTTGATGATCCTCTTACTGTCAAAAGAGGCCCAAATTTAGAATATTATCCCTTTTGATTTCTTTGCTTTGTCATTTGAAATCATTTTACAATTTTCTTATTTTTCTTTTCCTCATATTATGTGGAGCCTTTGATTCGCGAAACCTTACGCCGCGTGTTGAGACTCGTGGTTTTGAGACGAGGCAAACTCTGACAAAGGAAACTTCAAAAGGAAGTTCCGAGCCTCTTCAAAAACCACATGAAGCAGCTTTCCCATCGATCTTTTCCACAGGGTGTTGCGGTGGAGCGTGATAACAAATGTGCAGAGGCGGTTCAGTGCCTCATAAATTTAATTGGACTCTTATTCATAAATAAATCGGGCCATTTGAATAATATACCAAATCGATATTCACATATACAAGGCATACGGTTTACTGACATTTATAAAATCATGAAGAAAAAAAAGTTGGAAATTTTGCATTTTTTGCTAAGGAAATTAATATTAATCATAAAAAATATTATTTTATAATTCCATTTGAGGAATGAATTTTTACCTCAGCTTCTAGTGTTTTCAATTTTAGTTGAAACTTTCAACCTTCTTTGGTGTTTTGGCTTCAATTTTCGTCGGCAGGGAACACAAAATTTAGAAGCGGCTTGATTTTCGTAGTGTTATCAGTGGCGGTGTGTTTGGGTCTTTCTTTGATCCAGGCAACATTCATTCACCTGCCAATTGCGCGCCCGCAGCCTGTGCACAATAGTCGTAAACACTATCTATATTATGTGCAACATGCGGGAGGCTGATTGTCCACAAGAGAAAGCAGAGAGTCAAAGTCGATTGCGAATTTCGACAGGTGCCAAAATCTAGGATGTAATTGGAAATCGATATATCAGCCGCACACGGGCTTGTCATCAAATTGATTTGCAGCAGCTCAATATAATATGGCACCCGGAGGTACAGTTCAATGCCTTGTGTATTTATTATCCTTAATTTTCTATATGAATACGTCTATTGAAAATTTTAGTCAATATTTCAGAAAATAATTAATGAAAACTTGAAATGCTAAAAGGAAATTTCGTGAGTTATTTTATTCGGAAAGTTATAAATTGTGTTTATATAAATTTGAAATTCTGGTATTAATTAATTTTTTGAGAGTTAAATAATTTTATTTATATTTTTCCTTCGTATCTTCCAGAATTTATTGTAAAATTTTAGTGGTGTATACCAAAATGTTGTTTTAACAAAATTTTATCAGAAATTTTTTATTTTACCAGCATAATTTGTTTATTTCCATAAAGATTCAAATAATTAATGTTAAAAAAAATTGTGGCTTGTGAAGCAACAAAAATATTAAAAAAATAGTAAGTTCTAGACAGATTCTAAAAATAGTTCCACTTATGCGCGTGGTAGTCGTAAGCTCAGTGTGTAGAAAAAAATAGCCTTGCTTGTCTTGTCCGCAGCTACAATGGGGCCATTATATTATTTTACGAGTCACGCGCCCAAGTAATGACATGTTAGTTCGCTTTGATACACATTTAAACAGCAACGAAAATAATTTTCCAGCACACCGATTGAAATTTCACTCGTTTTAATGGCGCGATGCCTATCTATTGTACACTTTTCAGCTAAAAGGGTTAAACACGCAAACCGATCAGAATCGCAATTAACCGAGGAAACAATTGTCATGGAATGCCATCGAGCGGCTAACCTGCTCAGTGTCAATAAAAGGCCGGCAAATTTTGGCAAACCTCCGGAATTCAGGCGTACGTTCCATTCGCAAACAATGCATTCATATGCCAGGCACCGGCGGCAAAATCAATATGCGGCGCGTCGGCCTTTTGGCGATTTCCGCACCCCTGGTGCCACACCGAATTTCTCTCCTGTTTGTTTGGCAAACCAAAACTTTCAGTAACAGTCCACTTTCAGCAAAAAATCGGCGGGTTTGGACAAAAGCCTTTCATCAGCCAAAACGTGAATCAACATCAAAAGCGGAATTTAATGCAATTATTTTGTTTTGGTAAAGTTGATGATTTGAAGAAATAAGTCATACTTTTTTTAATTTTTAAAAATGAATCTGCCGATGTGCCACAGGAGTTTTAAATGATCTAACTTTAAAACTCTTGGTTCGATGTTTGTTTACAAAGAACGAACACATACTGGGATTTAAAATCCACAACGGTTTGTTATTTCAGCTGCGTTTAAAGTTATAAGGATTTGTTTGCATTTTCACTCACCCGCAGTGGCATTTCAGACGCCTCTGATTTTCGTTTTTTGTAGCGCTCCTCCAAGTGGCTGTCCCAGTACTCTTTGCTCTTCATCCAGTTGGGCTGTGAACACGTAGAGAAGTTTTTGATAAATAAATCCATAAAAATTTCAAAATAAAATTTAAATATATCAAAATAATTTCACGGTACTTTGTTTTGCTGAGTTAAATTTGATTTATTCATTAAATTATGCACCCTTAAATTTTTATTATATTTTTTCATGTTGCTTAAATATATACTAGAATTATATATAAAAAAACGGCAATTAAAATTATTTTCCAATTCAAGAATAAATCTTTTTGGAAAAATGAAATAATTTAAAATTTCTATAATATTTGCCAAATTGCTATTAAATTGAGTAAAAAGATTACGATCTCCAACGCTGTGAAATAAATGATATAATAGTAAGTACATTATCGCATGGATAACAAAGCGCAATGATAATTGATTTTAGGCTCAGTTTATTTCAACTCATAGAGTGTAATTTAAGCCACGCATTGCTGGTGGCCTGCGCTGCTCTGATGGCAGTGGTTCTAATTTAAAAAAAAAAAACTCCTTTTTGTCCCGTCTCGATTTCTGCCAGCTCGCAGATCGCCTTTCAGTCTGCGCCTTTTGTAATTAACAATGCCCAGAGCTCCTCCAACCAACCCCTCTATCACGTCTGCTGCAGACATTTCTGAATACTTTTTCCTGGAATTAATTTCTTTCTCCGTTGACCAGAACTCTGCATAAACTTAATCCTCTTTTTGTTACTAAAAGGAAAAATTATTATATAACGGTGGAACGACTTTTTTCAGCAGGAAATGTAAATGTAAAACAGTTTTGTCGGTAAAAGAGAGCAGTCTGTTTGGTTCTCACTCTTTTCATAAGTAAACAAACAAAAAAGGAAGAGAGAGGGGCGTGATAAAAAATTTAAATGTGTCTCGCTGGGAGCAATTTTTCTCCCTCGGGTTCCGCCGCCGCCGTAAAACCTTACAAGGACAAAACCTTAGAGAAGACGCCGCAGTGACGATTATTTATCTGTCCAAGCGCCAATAAATTATGATATTTTCGTTCACGACCGCAGCTCCATCGTGCCACGCAAAATTTCATTTCTACGACTTCCTCATGGCCGACATTTATTGATGGGCTGCAAAATAACCGAAAATGTCAATCGAGAGTTACAAAATTTTTTACGGCCTTTTTTATTTGCTCTTTATTTTATGTCTCCTATCTAAACTTCAAAGTTGTCGATAAAAAAATTAAAAATTAATGAAATGAATAAATGCGTACAATTTATGGTGATACTGATACTCAAAACACACAATTTTTTTTATATTATATTTCCAATTTATTTACAATTTTATTAGCTTTTTTAATTGAAAATCTGAAAAACAAGGAAGAGCATGGACGGAATAGAAGGAAAACCGTCAATATTTTTATAGCCTTAAAATATCAGTATATAAAATTTAACCGCATAAAAAATTACAATAAAATAAATTGATGATTAAAATAAAATTAGTATTGAAATTTGATGTTTTTATAAATTAACAAAAAGATTTTTGTAAAATTGGCCTTGGTACTTTGCCGAACCAAATAATGACTTAATTTTTGTGAACATATTTTTATAAATTCATTTCTTCTAGAAACAATCCTTTGATGATAGTCTGCAGATTATTTGCAAAGTAAACTTCAATAGTTAAGCCATGAAAAAACAAGCTCGGTTTTTACAATCAGCCTTTGTTTGACTTTGTGGCACAACGTAATGAGTCGTTTGTCACCATGCACACAATTATGTGCACATTGCGGAATTCCGCTTTGTCTGGGCAAACCGCGTGAAACAAGTAAATAATAAACGGTGAGACGAATGCAGGGAGCAAAACGGGCGCACCAGTTCACGTCCCAACACAAGACGAGCATTCATTTTCACCCGCCTGCCGTGCGCCGCCTTTAAAAATAAATGAGGTGGAAACTCACTCGTGTCGCGGATACACCACCATGCCCAAGTGTTATACAGTTATGTGCTGGATCACGACGAGCCGCGCGCAAAACTGCATCACGAACTACCATAGAAGAAATAAATAAAATAATAACGCAGAGTCGTCGCAGAGTCACGCTATAAACGCCCTAAATATTTAGTTTTAAAAACAAACTAAATCTTTCATAATATTTCTCTGATATTTATTTATTGGAAACACAGAGAATGTAAAAGAAATATGATAAAATATTTTAACGTAACTGAATTTTAATTAAAATTGAAACTTTATTTTCTCAAAGAGTAAAAAAAAACCTCTGTTTAAATAAAATATTTTCAGCAAGTGAAAAGTTGAATTCTTTGCGTGGCATATTTTTATATTTTATTTTTTTTATTTATTTAATATATGTCAACTGGTGAAAGGATTTTGATAAGTTAAAAAATTGAAAGGCCTTCTAACTAATTCACATATTATTATAAAAATATAAATCAAAATGATTGTGATGACATAGTTAAAAAAAAAATCATTAAAAAGTACTCTCCCGACAATTTGGAACAGTTTTCAAATACAACCTATTGTAAAAAAAAAATAATTGAAGATAAACGCGTTATTTTTCACTTCCGTTGGAGTTTCCTATTAGAAGCATTAGCACCATTATCATTTTCCTTTTTTTTTTGCATCTTAGCTGTGATTTTTTTTCCATTTCTTTGCAATAAAAAAATTATACCTAAAAAAAAATCCTTTTTGATAGTAATTATCTCGAAATTTAAATTCTACCTTTGCTTAATTTTCTGTTTTACAAGTTGAGAATCAACCGACCATAAAAGCATCAACCATTAGCAGTCTTTGTTCGTTTCATGATCAAGCAAGCAGTCATTTCATTACTTATATGAGTAAACGCACTTCTGTGAAGGTTCTCTCTTCACTGTCGAGTGCGTCCAAGGTCACGCACAGGTAATAAAGGGCACTCACCCTGACTGAGACTGTTTTTTTACAGAAAGAAAGGCGAGTGGGCGGATTCACAAGTAACTATTTTTAACTCTCTAAACAGCACTTTTTAAATCACGTTATTTTGAAGCTTTTTTTTGGAATTTATTTCTTAAAAACATAAAAATTTAGGCTAAAATTGTGGCTACCACAATAATTGATTATTACCGACTCAATTAAACTGATTAAATGTTAAATTTTCAATTCAGGTGATATTTAATATAAAAATGGGTATTTTCAGAAAATTTATCTTTTTTAATGACTAAATGGATTTTAAGTTCTCTGTCAAAAAATAAATGAATATTTTTGAGAGAAACAAAATCAAAACAAAGTTGAGAAGCGTCCTTGTGCACTTACCTGGAAGTCGAACTGTTTGAACGTCTGGACGGTGTCCACATCCGCCGGGGCAGGGTCGAGTTGAACCGGACAGTTGTCTGCAGATACAAAGGAGTCGCGTTCATGCCAATCGGGGGCCTCGCTGGGCCTGGGGGCCGCTTGAACGACGGGGGCCCCCGGCGCGTCAGACATGAATCGGGCCCCGGCTGGAGTCGGCCCGTCCCTGGCCGCGTAATTGGCGTAGTAGACGCCGGCCAGCAGGCTCAGCACCACCGCCCCCAGCAGGAGGTACCGCCTCCGGACAAGTTTCAACATCGCTCGCGCGCCTCCATCCTGCCTCCGACCTGCACTGGCCTCCAAGTCAAAACCAGGCTCAGCTCAGGCTCTACTCCAAGTGTAGTGAGCCGGTTTTTCAAGTGCCAATATTAACTGGCGGTTTTAGCAGACACCGGTGATTGCGGTGAAAAAACCGACAAATAAACCGGTAATTCCGTCGGTAGTTTCGTGACGATTTTATTTGGGAGCCCTTATTCATCCGAAATGCTAAAATCACTAATGATGTTTTCGTCATTTATCTGATTGTGAATATCATTGATCGGAACTCACTTGTAAGGACTCATTTATGCGAAAATGCATTTTTCAGAAGTATTGAAGGAATAAATTTATTTTGTTTATAACATTTATTTATTCAATATATAATTTTTTTAATTAATTATTTACTTCATTAGCATTTGACCTTTTTAAAGCAAGCATCTTGAATGACTCCTACTGGACCTACTGTGTTTAATGCAGTGGTCAATAAGGTGGACGAATAACTTTTAAGGTTATCATGTAAAAAAAGAATGATTTAAAGTGATCGCAAAAAAATGTTCCTCCAACATTTTCTTATATGGGACCGATCACGAATATTTGACCCCTAATTGTTACGAACTTTTGTGTTGCCGCGATCATCACAGTTTTTACATATGTTATTGGGGTCAATGAAAGGAGTCTCTGACTAAATTTTGAATTAAAAATTTTGAGTACTTTTTGAAATATCCGGGAATTTTGAAAAACCCAAAATTGCGTTTATCTTTGCTCCTATTGAGTTTAGAGCAATGCGGTTTTCACCATAGTAGGTAACTTTTTATTCTGAACAACTTTTCTGTAGGCCAAAACGTTCTAGGTCAAAGGTCAAGGTCACTAAAATGCATTTTAATTTTTTAAAGCTATTTTTCTCAAAGAAGCATACCTTGGATTTTTTCCGTGGTATAGGAAAAAATGTAGCCCATTAAGTTTTGCATCTGGTCAGTAAAAATCTCGATGGCCTTATTTTTAGTTTTTAAGATATTTTAACTATAAATTAAAAAGACGCGTTCTCGGCAAAACACGTTATTTTGAATTGTGACAGTTTTGATATAAATAATGTGATTAGAACAATGCGGTTTTCGCTATCCACCTTAATTTTTTATTCTGAACAACTTTTCAATTGACCAAAATGACCTAGGTCAAAGGTCAAGGTCACTAAAATGCATTTTTAGTTTTCAAGACCATTTTTCTCAAAGAAGCATACCTCGGATTTTTTTCGTGGTATAGGAAAAAATGTAGCCCATCAAATTCTACATCTGGACTGTGAAATTCAGAATGGCGTTATTTTTAGTTTTAAAGATATGTACATATGAATTAAAAAAGTGCGCTCTCGACCGTATATTTTCATTGAAAAACATGCTTTTTTAAATACTAATTTAAATAGCTTTCAAACTAAAAATAACGCCATTCTGAATTTCACAGACCAGATGTAGAATTTGATGGGCTACATTTTTTCATATACCACGAAAAAAATCCGAGGTATGCTTCTTTGAGAAAAATGGTCTTGAAAACTAAAAATGCATTTTAGTGACCTTGACCTTTGACCTAGGTCATTTTGGTCAATTGAAAAGTTGTTCAGAATAAAAAATTAAGGTGGATAGCGAAAACCGCATTGTTCTAATCACATTATTTATATCAAAACTGTCACAATTCAAAATAACGTGTTTTGCCGAGAACGCGTCTTTTTAATTTATAGTTAAAATATCTTAAAAACTAAAAATAAGGCCATCGAGATTTTTACTGACCAGATGCAAAACTTAATGGGCTACATTTTTTCCTATACCACGGAAAAAATCCAAGGTATGCTTCTTTGAGAAAAATAGCTTTAAAAAATTAAAATGCATTTTAGTGACCTTGACCTTTGACCTAGAACGTTTTGGCCTACAGAAAAGTTGTTCAGAATAAAAAGTTACCTACTATGGTGAAAACCGCATTGCTCTAAACTCAATAGGAGCAAAGATAAACGCAATTTTGGGTTTTTCAAAATTCCCGGATATTTCAAAAAGTACTCAAAATTTTTAATTCAAAATTTAGTCAGAGACTCCTTTCATTAACCCCAATAACATATGTAAAAACTGTGATGATCGCGGCAACACAAAAGTTCGTAACAATTAGGGGTCAAATATTCGTGATCGGTCCCATATGGGGAATTCTATGAAATTAAAATTTCGACTGATTTAGACCTAGTGGTTCAGCAAATATGAACTTCTGATAATTGAAGCAAACTGATTTATGATTAGTAACGGCGACCCACGGTTTTCAACATCTTTCAAATTGCAGTTAAACCGGTTAATTTACCGGTTACTTCTGATGTTTATAAAATAAACGACCTAGGCGCCACCACCAGCAGTTTTGATGATTGTAGGGACGGACTGAACTGGAATTTCGTTTACTAGGCATGTACGGACTGGACAAATATTATCCAACAACGATAATTATTATCGAAATTTGTATGACCTTATCATTTTAAAATAACATTTATAATAGTATCAAAAATTAAAATTTTATAATTTTAATATTCATAACACAGACTTACTCATTTTCACTCATTTTCCAGTTTTAGATAAACATGTCTCAAAATATTGGGTTTCTTATCTTGACAAAGGGTAATAATACAATAAGATGAAATATTTCATTAATTCTATGATTTGTTTTTAAGCATTCACTTGCGTATAATATCTCCTGAACCATATTTATATTTTTTTAAAGTTAGAAGTAATTTGTTTGAGAATTCTAAAAATAGTGTTGATTAGATAAGATTAAACATATAACGAGGGAAATTTTTAACTGAATCATCTTGCAGAAAAAATTCTACCATGCATAATAATCCAAAATCACTGGGCAAAACCTATTGATAAAACGTAATTTAATGTGGTTACAGTTTACACTTAAGCCTCTTCCTTTATTATGTAGTAAAAAATCAGCTAGCTCACTCATTGTCAGACACAATGCGAGTTCTGCTGGACTTGAATTTCCCACAATACAATTTCTCGGAATTTTCGCGCAGCTCAACCTGTTCATTGCCATAGCGAAAAAAGTGGTCAAATGCGCCTACAATTAGAAGCTTATAGTATGCCTTCCGTGCTGCATTTGCACGTCTTTTGTCGTTTAGTTGCACGATGATAGAGAAAAATGCAGCCGGCGATATTACTCCTGTCAAAAGTTGATATTGCGGCAAAATAATATGGGCATATTTGTGAATAAATTTATTCTGGAGCTGTTTTAATATAAATGATAAAAAGATAAAATAATATGAAAAATAATGTTGTAAAAATCACTGTCAATCAGCGTTTGATTTATTTTACGTCTGTGAATAAATTAATTTTTCTTTCTTTAATTTCAGTGTTCACTTTTCAAAAGTCAAAATAGCTCGTTTAAAAAAATTTTAACGTCATTGCAAAATAAATAGTAAATGTACAGAAAAATTACACAACAAATTAATTCGTTTCATCTTTTAATAAAATACAAGTGAGCAGTAAAGCTCACATGCGCGCGGTCTAATAAATGCTTCATTCTTGGCGTCACCGCCTATCAAGGCCAAATTAATTAAGGCATCTGGAAACAAGAAAAGAGCGACTAAACAGCCTGTTTAAAAGCCTCTTCTCAATTGATTCAAAGCATGAGCCTGCTGGGTGGCGGCCGTCAAAAAATGAGAAGCAGTAAAAGCACATGCCGCGAAACAGGCTCACCATAAATCATCATAAAAGTGACAGCAGCGACCGTGGCAAGGTAATATTTTTTACCTGCTGATATGACGATCTAGCAAAAATCTGAGGCAAGTTGTTAACAAAAATTAAAAATGTAGTGTCAGGGCTAAAATATTTCAAATTTGTTTTGAATATTTACTTAAATTTAGAATAACTGTCAAAAAATATTTATCACGGTACATTTTTTTACACTAAAAAATAATGTTATCAAAAGAGTTTTGATTGCAGCGAAAATGCATTATCTTAAAATAAATTGTACTTTTGCTACTTTAGCACCTCAAGGGTTCTTTTTGAAACGCTCATTAGTTGTGGCGAGAAAATATGAAAGAAATTTTAAATAAAAAATGGTGATTTAATATATAACTTATTTAAAATCTTTTGTATCTGGCTAAAGAGCTTTCGTCTGATTTTTTTTACCCTTTTTTGTGCCGCAAGCGATGGTAAATTGAAGAATTAACTGCTCCCACTATATCAGACGTGCCAAAAGCAAAGGGCTGTTTTCTAGACTTTGTGGCAAATGACTCGGAAAGCCGGCAAAACGCAATGGATGAAAAGATCCAATTAATTAATATCCTCCCAAGGAAACAGTGATTGATGCTCAGAAACAGCAATAAAGAGCAACCAAAGAATGAAATTTACTGAAAATTTTGAAATTAATTTTGTGTGCTAAAATAAATATCGTTAAAAAAGAATGAAAAGTGAACCTGTAGTGCTCACGAAATTAAATTAATATATTTATTTTTCAGATAAAATGTCAAAAATTTCCAGCGAGATTCTCAAGGAAATAAAGTTAGCGACAAAGGCATTTTCTCTCTTATTTGATCTGCATTGTTTTTCCCCAAGGGGATTTGAATTGAAAATCAACTGCAGGAAAGAGAAAAGTTTTCCTCCTCGTCGCGCTTGAACCGGAAAAAGGCATGTCAGAAAGGAAAAATAAAAAAAGTGGGCGAGAGAGGAAAACAATAAAACCCAATCGTGGTAACTGCGAGAAGAGATCGAGTGCTTTTTATTACATTTTCCGCCATTTCCAGTTATCGATCCGACCTGTCGTCTAATTCACTTTTCTCAAGAAAAAATGTCGCCGTGATCAAAATCGGATTCGTGGACGATGAAAAGATCCTCGTTGTCGGCAATGGGGATTGCTGCTGAGTCTGGCTTGTTCTCCGTCAGAGCCAGAAAGTCAATTGCTTTGTGGGTTGGTTTCCAAGACTTTTCCTTTAAAAACACTGGATACAGAATGGTTAGCTTCAATTATTGAACAAACATTTCTGTGTAATTATATTTTGATTAAATCGAAGTTAAAATATGTGGTTCATTTTTTATTTGCAATTCTATCTCACGAAATAAAATAACAAAATTCTAATATTCATTTTAACTAATCTTTTAAAATACCTGAGGGCTCAACTCTTGCATCTTTGATGTCCTGTAGCCATAGCTGAATTTCTTTAAAACTCTGCAAATCCCCTTCATATAAAAAGCTGCAGCCCCTCGTCAAATTTAGCGCCACGAGTCCCAAATTGCGGTTATTTGGCAAGTGTGTCTCACGCACTTTTTCAAACCAATTCGCTTCTCTGAGAACGTTAGCAATGCTTTGGAAAATTCCAATTTTTCCTGACAATATTTGACCTCTACCTTGTGATGTAGGTGAACGCGAGCCACGTTTTCGCCTCGGCTGAGGCGCGTCGAGCACTCTCAATAATTGGCTTCGTGGGCTCGAGTCCCAAAGCGATCACCAGCAACTTTTTTCGCAGGCGAGGAAAATTTTCCGCAGTAAGCTCCGCCTGCAGAAAATAGACACACATGTCGGTATATTTTATGATGACAGCACGCATTGGAATTTACAACTAGAGAGAGAAAAATGATGAAAATTATCCTCTCGGCATCCATTATTTTTTATTTTGAAATATTTGCGGAAATATTAATATTTCAATATTATTAAATAATTTTTATCTCACCATAATTGGATACCGTCGCTGATGAACGAAATTCTTTAGCTCGTTGATTTCAAGGTGTCCAGAATATTTCACGTAAGGATCAAAAGGGTCGTCCATTTTATAAATGCCAAAGCATGGAGATGAACATATAAATTGATTTTCCCTAAAGTTTTTAATTTTAAATTAGAGATGAGGATAAAAATTTTTATTTACATAAATATAGCAGCTTCTCCAGTTAAAACTATCTTTTGCAATTCTAAAACGTTAGTCAATGTTACAATTTTCGAATTCGACAAATCGCCTTCTTTGTTTAAAAGCAAGCCCAAGGTTGGGACGTATTTATATCGCGGGTCGTCCAGTTCTTCAGTCAAGTCACTTAACAGCTTGAAGGTTTTGGTTTCGAATTGGCTGCTGAAACTGAGAGTGAATTTCTTTTCAATTCAATATGAAAAATATTTTTTCTGGCATACGAATAGATCAGGTTTAGAAGTTTCATCCAAGACAAGGATCCTGTGCGGAAAGATTTGAGTTTGTCTGTAAGTTCTAAAGTTGGAAATGTGTGGACGTGCTCGCAGTCGTCTCGGTTGGTGAAACAATCAATTTTGGAAATATTTTTGATGGGCAATGAATCCTGGATTATTTGCAGTCTTTCAAAAGTATTCAAAAAAGTTTTGGAAACGTCATCCCCTTTAGAAAAAAAACGAGGTTATGCAGCATAAATAAGAATTATTTATATTGCTTACAAGGCAAATAGAACAATTTCAGCTCTATAAAATTTGCCTCTGATGGAGGACATTGGTGACGAAATTTTCTCTTTGAGGACTTCAAATCCCATATATATGGTTGATCCTCCCTTTCTTCAAAACTACTTTCATCTATGGCACTCTCCTTCCAGTTAACTTCAAACAGACAACTTATTAACTTTTCTTGATATTTAAGTAAACTCACATTTAGGCTTTACAAATCTTCTTAGGGAATCGGAATGGCCTGAACATTTTTTACTCTCCTCATAAATTATTTGTTCGGAGATGAAGTTTTTCACATTGTCAAGCCCATTTTGAATTACACCTTCTTTGATCTGCAGGACAAAATTAATTAAAATATACTCTCACGAATAAATTTATTTTTAAGAACTTCTTACATTTCCACAAGACCCATTTCTGAAAGGCATAAAAATCATGGACGGAGCTTCAAGTTCAATCTCAGTATTGATCTGTCTAAATTCTCCAATACTGTAAACAATTATGAAAATTGTTCCTCTAAAAGTGACTGCCAAACTTTCAGCGAGGTAGCGGACTCGCATTTTACTCGCATCATCGTAAATTAAAATCAGTTGCGGATACTGGACAGTTCGCTCGTCATCTTTAAAATTCTCCCACTCAACCTACAACTCATTGTTTTAAGTTTTTCAATTTCAAACATATTAAAGTTCATACCCACGGCGGCAAATCGAGGGCTGAGATGAAGCTGTCGAGTTGGCTATCTTGAAAATTGCCCCTAAAAGTGCTGCTCTGGCACTTGTGACTTTTGCACTGCAGCAGCCACAAGTGCACCATCTGCTCCCCCGTCTCGTCCGTTTTGTGCTTCAAGGGACTCGCCAGGGCTGAAGTGGTGAGAGCGAACAGTTTGATATCGCTGTTCAGTCTCCACGCCGTCCGCAAAAACAGGCTGTGTTCTAAATTTTTTTAATCGTTTTTATTTGAATTAAATAAATTTAATCAGAAATTACCGTTAGTTCCGAGGGTGTTGTGGTAGGACAAAATAATATCGCACTTGTCCCTGCATTTCTTGTACAAGTTATTCAGTTCAATTACATTTTGGATTATAGGCACTTTCTCTACCAGATCTAAGCTACATTGGAATTTAAATTAAAAATATAATTGCAACTTTTAGACTTACTGCAAAGCACTAGCAACTATTCCGTTTTCATCATCCAAAGTACTTATTGGGAAAGCCAGTCTTTCTTTATTGGAACCTCTGAAACATGAACACTTTTAACTTGTAAATTTTTTTTCAAAAACCATACTTGAATCCGTAAAAGAATAGTTCAGCATTTTTTCTGGAACAGAGCTCAAAAGACGGGAATTCTTCGCACGATAATTGTCCAAGTTGGATGTCATATGGCTTCAAAAGAGATGCTGCCAAAGCATATCGTTTTACGAAAGGCGCTAATTTTTCCTCAACAGCTGCAAAATGATTAAATATTAAATATGATTTAATAAATACAATTTGTTCACAATTATAAATATGAACCTTCAGAAGTGAGCCGAAGTAGTCTCGCTCTTCTGTGAAAAACAAACGTCCTGAAATCATTTTCGCTGACCCTGCGGACCTCGTCCGAGGGGTGACAAGTGGCGTGGCTTGAGAGCAGAAAAAACAGACCGAGAAAAGCAACAGTTGACGACGCACACACCGCCATGGCTGTCTGCCTTCCCCAATCGATATTTTCTCCAGCAGCTGGACCAGGCAGGCTATTTTGGCCGATTTCCACGCATTACGGCGGTGGAAGCGCCTGCTAGGGAGCGAGTAGGCAACTTGCTCGACTAGCAAGTCGAGCAAGTTGCATGCCAACTGCCAAGTCCCACAAATTACTCGAATTAGGTAAAACTATGCCTGGAAATTTTATAGAATAATGGTGAGTGGAGCATAACAGAAACTTTTTTTTGCCCACATAAGAAACTTCTCAATATAATCCTGTAATAATAAATTATATAGAGCGAACTGAAATAAATGATAATTTCTTGACGCATGAATTTATTTACGGCTTTACCCCGATGAGTTTATTATGAGAAAATAAAAAACTGGAAAATGAAAATATTTTAAAATTTTTTTAATTAAACGCTATGATCATAAATCCACCCTCGATTTTGAAATTCTCCTGCATAATTATTACTTGCTCAAGATGAAAATTAGTATAATATTATATTTTTTCGTCTCATTTAAAAATTGAACCGAGTTTTATGATACGCTGAAAACTATATTTTTGATCCATTTTATTTGCATCATTATGACGCTTATTTCCAAAACAGGACGCAGGATGGAACTGGATGGAACGAAATTTAAAAAAAATGACAAATATTTTCTTGTCTGTCTTGCTCCAGACGGTTTTTCATGTTTGCTAGGATCTGGTAAATATTGTCGCTACATATAATTCATGTTTATACTTAAAAACAGATTCTCATGTATTGTACTTCTGTTGGAACTATGAGCAGGGCTTATATAATATTGGATGGAATTTAAAGCCAAATGCCTATATATAATGAAACAAGTCGTTATGAATCGCATAGCAAATGGTGCATAGAAAATTCGGTCAATTTCCGTTTTTCTCCTTCTATATATGTCATTTACAGCGGCCATACTTCGCACGTTTTCAAAAACACAGGATGACGTTTGACGTAGCCTTGTTTCCGCTGTATCTTGTACCTCTATGAGCAGTTCATTAAAAATTTAGCACATCGCTCTTCTTGTTCACGGATTTTGCCAAACAAGAGTCTGCTATCAATGGACTGTATTTATTGGAGCCTGCTGTTAGTGATCATTTTTGAGGTTATTTTTAAGTTCCTTGACTGTGTTGCTTTTAATTTAAATATTTAAAAATCAGCAGGACTATTTTATCAGTGCAGCGAAACTAAATAATATCAGACGTAAGTTGAACTGTTTAAACGCTTTTCCTAATGATTTTTATTTTTATTTGATGCCATAAAAATAGAGGGAAGGAATCACTCAGCGAAAACTGCGAGCTCCGGTCGCGTGATCAAATGCTGCAGAAATGATAAATGCATCAAGCTAAGTCGCGTGATTAGAAATTCGAGTAGTACTAAAGCTCATGGGGCACGATCGACATCTCTCTTGGAAACTACATTAACGGAAACCCTTCCACCCATGGAAAAAAGCTCTGTTCCATTTTCTGGAAATGATTTTACCACATATTCTGATTCGAGTGTGTCCTACGTTGAAACTACAGAAATTTCATCTGGAATTGAATCACTTCAAACCGTGATGACCAGTCTAAATTCAGAAACAACATTGCCAGAGACTGAAGCAACAACATTTTCTTCAGCTTCTCCTTTGGTTACCACAATAACAACAGATACTTCAGTCGGTGTCAAAACAACAGAAGTAGTAACAAGTACCACCGAAAAAGTCCCAATTCAATCAATTACGACTGAACAACTTGTCGCGACGCCCCTTTTATCAAATCTATCTACAATTTCGACAACATCTTCAAGTAGCTCAACTACACCGACCACAACTACCACAACAACACCTACCACAACAACTACTACTACAACAACAACTACCACAACAACACCTACCACAACAACTACTACTACAACAACAACTACCACTACTACAACGACAACAACCACAATTCCTTGGATCAAGCCAGTTGCAAGCAAACTAACAACTCTAAAACCAAATGTTAACAATGAATTAAATTTAAATAAAAAAGTGTAGATTTTAACTCATATTTTATAAAAAAAAAAATAGATGATTCCAGTATGCCCTACTAATTGCACGAAAAATGTAATTATTTTCACAACGCTTCATAATTGAAATTCTTTTGTTAACCATTTTAATTCAAAATATTCGTTTTTCTTGCAGCCGGATCTTTTCTATTCAAACGGAACTCTGAAAGGTACACATACAATATAAATTTTAGCAGTTGATAACCAATAAGTATTTCTTGACATTAAAAAATTTAATGATGCACGGTAGCCTATTAATAAATGCATTTAATAGATACGACTCAATCATACTGACTTATTTTTTGATAAATTGATGAAAAATCAATAGGGGATATTTAAATGCTAAGTTAGCCTAGTACTAGCTTAGCAAGTGAGTATCCCCCAACATGTAATAAAAAATAAAAATTATCATACCTAGACCCAGAGAGGCACGGTTTTTGGGAATCAGCTTGTGGGGGCATACAGTACCTCTTTGGAAAGAAGATAGTAAGAAAAGCTTATAAATTTGCATTGAGAATAGAGAGTTAAATCCTTCTGCTTTGAAAAGGTCAACTGGGAGCAAAATACTGCTATATGCTGCAGCTTAGGAATGACTCCTATTATGTTCAAGGATGGGCCGAGCTGCTTTAATAACATAATCAATGGTGCTGATTTTATCAAATTAAAAAAAAAAATGATTTGACTCTGAATTCTCTGAAATATATTTATCCAATGATAAGGTTTCAAATGGAAGTACAGCTCACGTTTCTGGACTTCTGGAAGACGTGTCGAGAACTTAACTTTTGAATGGTGTTTCTTGAATGTTTCGAACAGTAGCTCTAATATTCTAGATGGGCAGTGGAGACCTTTTCAACCGGATCATAACACCACACAATCAGACAATTGCGTTCAGTTGTACATTCTTAAAGAACAATCGTCTGCGCTCCTGGATGACAGAAATTGTAATGAAACGTATTTTCTCGCGTGCCAAGTAAATATTATGCTACTTTTGTAAAGTATGGAATAAAATTTTTATCAGGGCACGGCGGCAGCCAAAAAGCCAGCGTGTGTAAAGCCTTCATGCCCAAGTGGAAGCTGTACAAGAAATGTAAAAAATCACAGCTAAAAAATTCACGAACACTAAAAAATTTTAACAGTGGGGATATTTGGCGGGTCCAATATACAACAACTTCATAATAAGTTAGGAGATCTTAAAATAAAATATTTAGAAAATTCATTTAATCATGTTTTCCAGACAAAACGCTGCACGGCATGTGGGGAGAAGTTTCAAATCGAACGTTCCTCTTTAGTTATGAAAGCGATGTTAAAACAGTATTTACCGATTATACATTTGTTAATTGCTGCCATATAAATTTATTATTTTTGAATAGTATTCCGATGCTAATACACAGTGCTGTGGCCTAGGTATGAAATTAGTGAGTCTTCAACAGCCCTTCAAGTATGATTTCTTGATTAAAGCCGCAGAGAGTACAAAAGTTTCATAAAATTAGGATTATTGACTTTTTACCATTTTATTAGATATCACAACCTCTTCAGGGATAAAATTTTGGACCTCAGGTACAGATTTGGACTGTGAAGGTGTTTACAGTTTCTGTCCAACAAAATCATTATTGAAGGATGAGGCTCGGTATTTCATATTTTCTTGTTCTGTAATATAAAAGTGCGTTTAATTCAATCCAAAAGCTGGGCTGTCGGTCAACCGGATGATAAAAGTTCGCAGGCGAACTGTCTTGCAGTGAATGTTTCTTTGAGTTCTGCATTTTTGAGTGATGAAATGTGCACTGCTAGGATGAGATATATTTGCGAAGTTCGAATTCTTATGAACCACATACAATAAAACTTAAAATTTGGCACCAATTCTAGGGCTGGAAAAGGAGTGGGGCAAAGGTCATAGAGCGTGAATGTGCAGCTACCAATGGCTTGTCTGAAAGTAAGCATAAAAAATTTTTTTTCAATAATTTTTTTTATGCCACGGTATTGCCTTCAAAATGATTAAACAGTATAGTAAAAACAAAAGGTTAAAATAATACTAACTGAGTTTTAAGAAAGTACAAGAATTTTTCCCTTTTAAATTCAATTTTTAGATGTCACTGTATGTTTTAATTATGCACTTTTCGCGTGTCTTTCTCACACACCCTTAAAATATAAATGTTCTGTTTTATATTTTAGTTGCACTATGATATCATATTAATATTTTCAAATAGAAGAAACAATTGGAGTATTGAACACTTCTCAACAAGCTTTATCCTCGTCTCAAAAGGGGTTCATGAGATGCTATGCTGAAGCAGCCGGATTGGTAGTTATGCAAATTTATTATAATTGCTCACTTTTAATTTAATAAAATAATGCTAAACAAGATCCTCGACGGAAACATCGTTGAATCTTTACTGCTAGGACAAATGATTACAATTGCTGCTGAAAATTTCACTAAATTAGAAGATATGCTAGACACAATGGATTACTGCTTTAATTTGACAAGTTCAATCCTTCAATTAAAATCACAATGAAATTTTTATTTTAAGTTCAAACCATGTAGAAAACTTGCCCATAAATGATCAACTTGTAGGAATTCTGCATTGCGGTCAGGAAAACGATCCAGAAGCTGTAGCTCAACTACTTTACAACTTTGAGATGTCATTATTTGTGAATATATAATTGAATGTCACAAATTAAATTTGGTGTGTCCTAATTCCTTACTTAATTAGGATGATGTAACTCTTGTTGATCCTCCACCTGACGATTGTCCATTGACTTATCCATGTTATGTTGATGTGGGGCAATTACTTTAGCACATAATTATTGAGAGTTCACTGAAAATTTTTAGGAGGACTCCAGAACTGCTTTTGAAAGGGGACCATGTACACTTCTACTTTATTTTCATTCAATATTTAATTTTCCCCTTTATATTTTCTGTTTTTAAAGGGGATACTTTGATTTTCACGCCTCTCTATGTATTTTACAAGACGGTTTCATGCGGCAAAACGTATTTAGTAGTACAATCTCGACGAGGAATGGTAAATATCTTATTTTTGAACCTTCTATCGATGATCATTTAAAATTTGAAAGGTTGGTGCCCCACAAACATTTTACCCCTACTGCTGCAATTTTGGTCTGCGGATGCTTTCATTGGACAACAAACCTAAGCTGGATTGCTTATTGCCTTACTTTATACCTAGTAACGGTATATATTTATTTTTTTGTTAACAGTTCAAATTAAAACGTTTAAATAATTTCTTTGCAGCTAAAAATTTATTCGGCTCTGTTCCGGGGCTTCAATTCACAATTGGAGCATCAAAAATAGTTGTGAATCAAAGCGCTTCAATTTTTTTGGCAAAGGATTGCTTCACGAATAATTATTTTAACGAGTCTGATATGCAAGCCACAATGGCTAATTCAGGTTTCGGTAGAATGGTGACTTTCATGAGCAGACAGCTTACATACCACGGAGCGTCAGGTTATTTTGTTTGCGAGTATCCGTAAATATTTGAGAGATTCACATGGAAATTTAAACTCATAAATTCTGATTTGTTTGATAGGGGATAATAAAACCCAATAATAATTTTATTTTTTAAATCATGCTTGTGGGTCAAAAATTTTATTTTTAAACTGGACTAGTGTTTATAATGTTAAGCAATTTTCATGAAACTGCTTATCAAAAAGCATCAGCAAAAAATAAAAGTGTCTAAGTGTATAAGTTAATTATGATCTTTTTCTGTTTCAAAATAATAAAAAATATTGCAAATTTTTATTCGTATTAGCCAAAAGGAGAAGCAAAAATTCCCTTTTGGACGTTCAACCAAAATCAAAGGTGGTTCTTATAATTTAAGATTTAGCTGGTTGGTCTTCGTTATTTTATGAATGTGTGTTTTTCTTGGTTTAAGGCGTAAGAATTTCTTTCTAACAAAAACTGAAATAACGATCTATATATTTTCTGTCAAATGCAGCTTATTGCTGTATTAAGATTAAAAAACCTTCCCTTCTATTAGGCCATATAGTGATTGGAAACCACCACATTGACATTATATTTATTATATATAAATATAATAAATTAAAAGGCAATGAACCTTTGAGAGAATTAAAATTGTTTACTACAAACTACTGGCTATAACAGAACAAGTTTGTGAGAGAGTGACGGCTGTGAATTATTTTATTCATGTGGATATGAAAATATTAAAAATATATGTTGTATTAATTTAATCATTATTATTTTAAATTTTGAATCCAAATGTTTATGCGCATCACCCAATGCTGAATGATGTGATACTATACCTCCGTTTATACTATACATTTGCGTGCTTTTCCTGACTATTCTAATTAATTAAAATATAAAAGATCATGCATGTTAAGTCGGTATAAGAAACGAAATAGTCAAAGCTTAAATATCATTTTCGTTAGAGTTAAATTCTTGTATTTTGAACCGAGAGAAGAGAAAGTATGGTACATAAAAAAGTAAATTTTTCGTGTAAAAATGTTGCTATGAAATGCATGGGAATGGTGAATATAGAAAACAGAAATTTTAGAGTTAGTTTCCGTTTTTCTCCCTAATATGTGTGTCATTTTCAGCGGCCATACTTTCCACAGTGTTTTCATAAATACAGGATGTAGAGTCATGTTTTAGACCCCCCCCCCCTCCATAGTTTCGAAAATTGAGAATTATCACCAGGCATTCTGTACCAAAACTTCAATTCTCTAATATCGCTATGATATTAAGGTTTAGCTAATCACTCTTTATGTTGTTGTAATTTCCTACACTCGCAATGGACTGTAAATATTGGATTCTGCTACTTATTATTCTTGTTGAGGTTTACATACATTTAAATTAATGTTTTCTAATTTTTTTCATTAAATATATAAAATTCATCAGGACTACCACAGTAGTGCAGCAAACCTAAAAAATAGCATACGTAAGTTAAACTGTTTGCGCTTTAAAAGAATTTTTAACCAACTCTTTAAAAACAGAGGGAAGGAATCACTTAGCGAAAACTGCGAGCTCCGGTCGCGTGATCAAATGCTGCAGAAATGATAAATGCATCAAGCTAAGTCGCGTGATTAGATATTCAAGTAGTACTAAAGCTAATAGGGCACGATCGACAACTCTTTTGAAAACCTCGTTAACGGAAACCTTACCACTCCTTGAAAAAAGCTCAGTTGCATCTTCTGGAAATGATTTGACCACATATGCTGATTCGAGTGTGTCCGGCGTTGAAACAACAGAAATTTCATCTGGAATTGAATCACTTCAAACAATGACGGCCAGTCCAAATTCAGAAACAACATTGTCAGAAACTGAAGCTACAACATTTTCTTCTGCTTCTCCTTTGGTCACCACAATTACAACCAACAGATACTTCAGACGGTGTCAAAACAACAGAATTACTAACAAGTACCACCGAAACAATTCCAAATCAATCAATTACGACCGAAAAATTTATTTCAACGTCGCCCTTGTCGTCAAGTCCCCCAACAATTTCAAAAGCGTCTACAGGCAGCTCATCTACAATGACCGCAACTTCTACAGCAACCACAATTGCTTGGATCAAGCCAATTTTAAGCAAACAAACGACGCAAAAACCACAGGTTAGCAATAGAAATTGACAAAAAATAATAAAAAATAAATGTAATTTTTTTCAATCAGATGAAGCCAGTATGCCCTACTAATTGCACGAAAAACGTTAAGTTTTATTTTCGCAGAGCCTCCAATTGAAATTCCCTTGTATAATTTTAATTTATATTTAACGTTGTTCTTGCAGTCGGAACTTTTCTATTCTAACGGAATTCTGAAAGGTTACTAAATATTAATTCATAATTTTTTTAAACATAAATAATACTTGACTAATAAAACAATTTAATGCATTACTCAAGTCAAGTAATTGATGTGTTCAATTGAGTCTATTTAAGATATTTCTAACTTGTTATAATGTGCATTAATTTTCTATATTATAGAAAAGTAATTAAAAGTTAATTATTAATCCTAAACCCAGAGAAGCACGGCTTTTGGGAATCAGCCTGCGGCGGAATACAGTACCTCTTTGGAAAGAAGCTAGTATGAAGTTTATTTTAGTTACAGTGGTAATAGAGATCGAGTTAAATTCATTCTGCTTTGAAAAGGTTAACTGGGAGCAAAACGCTGCAATATGCTGCAGCTTAGGAATGACTCCTATTATGTTCAAGGATGGGCCGAGCTGCTTTAATAACATAATCAATGGTGGCAATGAAATAATTAAAAAATATATAATATTTATATATTTAAATGACTGCAAACTATTAGGCTTCAAATGGAAGTACAGCTCACGTTTCTGGACTTCTGGAAGACGTGTCGAGAACTTAACTTTTGAATGGTGTTTCTTGAATGTTTCGAACAGTAGCTCTAATATTCTAGACGGGCAGTGGAGACCTAATCAACCGGACCATAACACCTCAAAGTCAGACAATTGCATTCAATTGTACATTCTAAAAGAACAATCGTCCGCGCTCCTCGATGATCGAAGTTGTAATGAAACGTACTTTCTTGCGTGCCAAGTAAATATTATGTTGCCTTTGAAAGATGTGGAATGAAAATTTTATCAGGGCAAGGTGACCAGAAAGTCAGCGTGCCTTAAGCCTTTATGCCCATCAAGTGGAAACTGTACGAAAGATGTAAAAAAAACCTGTCGAAAAATTCATATGAATACTAAAATGGTTTTGTAACAGAGGCGCCTTTTTTCACCATATCCCAACTACATAATTAGTTTGGAGATGTAAATAAAATATTGAAATATAATTTATACGTTTTTCCAGACAAAATGCAGCACGGCATGTGGGGAGAAGTTTCAAATCGATCGTTCCTCTTTAGTTCTGCAAGCAACCTTAAAACAGTATTTTAGATATTCATTTCATAAAAGTTGACATGGTTATTTTGTTATGATTAAAATTAATAGTATTCCGAGGCTACTTTAATATGCTGCAGCCTAGGTATGAAATTAGTGAGTCTTCAACAGCCCTTCAAGTACGACTTCTTGATAAAAGCCGCAGAAAGTATTTAATTCCTATATTTTCTGTATCATTTTACTTTGTCAACTTTATTAGATATCACCACATCTGCAGGGGTTAAATTTTGGACTTCAGGCACAGATTTGGACTGTGAAGGTGTTTACACTTTCTGTCCAACACAATCATTACTTCAGGATGAAGCTCGGTATTTCATAATATTTTCTTTTTCAAAATAAAATTTTCTTAATTAAAATAAAAAAAGATGGGCTACTGGTCAACCAGACGATAAAAATTCGCAGGCTAACTGCCTTGCAGTGAATGTTTCCTTGAATTCTGCTCTTTTGAGTGATGAAATTTGTACTGCTAGGATGAGATATATTTGCGAAGTTAGGACTCTGAAAGCTAAAAACAACTTAACTTGAACTTCACACCAATTTTAGGGCTGGATAAGAAGCGGGTCTAAGGTCATAGAGCATGAATGCGCTACTACCAATGGTTTGTCTGAAAGTAAGCGTCTTAATTGTTACCTGATCCCTTTATATAATTCAGATATAATCAGTTATGAATCACATTATTGGTTTCAATTGTTGATGAAACAGCACAATAATATCCTGCAAATAGTTGTAATTAAATTTTTTTTCTGTAGTTAAAAATTTTATCATTAATTTTAGTGCATTAATTCGCTTTGATAATATGAAAATAATTTTTTCACATAGAGCAAACGAAAGGAGTTTTAAAAACTTCTCTGGAAAGATTATCAGCGCCTCAAAAAGAGTTCATGAGATGCTATGCGGAAGCTGCTGGATTGGTATCTCTTAAAAAATTATAGAAAAATTGTTTATTAATTTAAAAAAAATATATATATTTTCAATTTTTAAAAAGATACTGGACGGAAATATAGTGGAATCCAAATTACTTGGACAGTTAATAACAATTGCTGCAAACAATTTCACTTATTTAGAAGATATGTTAGAAACGATGGAATACTGCTCTAATTTGACGAGTAAAAGCTGTAAATCATTATGAAAATGTTATTTTATGTTGCGAAATCATTTAGAGAATTGGCCTGTAAATGATCAGTTGGTGGGAATGCTACATTGTGGTCAGGAAAACGCCCCTGAAGTTGTAGCTCAACTACTTAACAATTTTGAGATTTCGTTATATGTTAATATAATTGAATACAAATTAAGATTAGTATATAAAGATACCCTTACACTATAGGACGATATAACAATTTTTGTGCCTCCCCCCGACGATTGTCCATTGACTTACCCGTGCTTTGTTGATGTAGGACAATATTATATTAAACATAGTGTTTAAAAATGATTAAAGCTCTATTTTTTTTAGGAGGATTCCAGAACTGCTTATGAAACGGCACCATGTAATAATTTATTCTATTTCAATATTTAATTACTCATTCAATTATCTGTGTTTAAAGTGAATACTTTGATTTACACGCCTGTCTATGCATTTTACAAGACAGTTGCATGCGGCAAAACTTATTTAATTGGACAATTTCTAGGAGGATTTGTAAAAAATCAAATATGTAGAGTCTGTTTTCAATGATAATACTCTTTAAAATGCGATAGGTTAATTCCCAAGTAAACTTTTTCTCCTACTGCTGCAATTTTGGTCTGCGGCTGCTTTCGTTGGACAATAAACCTAAGCTGGATTGTTTGGAGCCTTACTTTACAGCTGCTGATGGTATTTTTTTCCTAGGATCAAATTATTTTTCTAACGTCTTTGTAGCTAAAAACATTTTCGGCCCCAATGCTTCGAATCTTCAATTTACATTTGCTGCAGCAAAAATAGTTGTGAATGAAAACGCTTCTGTTTTCCTGGCAAAAGATTGCTTCACGAATAAATATTTTAATGAGTCTGATTTGCAATCCACTATGGGCAGTGCGACTGGAAACAGATTGGTGACATTTTCAAACAGAAAGCTGACGTACCACAGAGCATCATTTCGTTTTGTGTGCGAGTAAAAAATTAATATAATTGAAAGTTTTAAAAAACTGCAAAACAGTCAATTCCAAACCGTTTTTTAATAGGGTGAAAATAAAACTCACTAATTTACAATTTTTCTTTATTTTTTAAACATGCATGTGGTTCAAAAATTTGATTTCATTGTATCTCACATTGAAAGAAATATTAAGTCATTTTTCATGTCATTATTAAAGTAAATGCATCTCAAAGCACCAGAAAATTGAAGTGCCTTTCAATGATTGTGTATAAATTAATAATGGTTTTTGTTCTATTTCTGCGCTTCAAAAATATCATAAAATCTTCCAACCTGTTATTGTGACAAAAAATGAGCAACAATAAAGCTTCCCTTTTGGACGCACAACCAAAAGTGGCTTTTTATATTGAAAATTTGGCTGGATGGGCTTCTTTTTTGATTGTGTACATGTCTTGATTAAGGCGAGTATTTCTTACTGACAATAATTGACAGAACTATCACCAAAATTCGCTATTTGCTGATTAATTAACTCAGCTCTCTGATATTTTAAAAATATTCGTTCAGAAAGTAAAATCTATTATTTATCACTTCTTGGTTAAAATCACTTAAAAATTAACTAAGGCTTTGTCTACTTAAATAGTAATAGCTTTAACACAGAAATGTTCACAGAGTTGGTTGCCGTAGTTTTACTCAAAATACCTTGAAACATTCTGCAGAGGAAATTGATAAAATTTAAAACGCCAAAAACAAGCCTTGCATGTGAAACCTTTCACCGTAAAATTTCGATTTCAAATTTATAAATTTCACAACATCATATGTACAAAATTAACACTTAAGAGTTAAAATTTCAACGGCCAACGATGACGCTAATATTGAAAATAATACAACGATAAATTATAAAAAAGGGAAACTACTCAAAAGTAATAAGGTACTTGCACTACCAACGTGCTACGCTTCAGATCACTCTCTGATGAGTTTACTTATTTTATATACTCCTTATACTTATAGAAAGTACGCATATTATGATGTGACTTGTCAGAGGGCGAGAGAGTGTTGTTGTTGATTTAATTTCCTTCCTTCTACAACTCCTGACCGAAGCCTGCGACGATTTCCTCGATGCTCGTCCAGGTGCCGGTGACAAAGCCGAGCACTCCAAAAGCCAAAATCGCCACGTTCTTGATGAGGCGCCACCTGGGGCCACTCGTGCTGGGACCACCTGCAGCCACAGTAAATTAAGAAGTCGAGCTAAATGAATTAAGTGGATATACGCACCGGTCGACTGTTCCCAGAACGTGACGACTTCGATGATAGCGGGAAACATGAGGCCCAAGGTGGAGAGGCATACGGCGCCCACCAGCGAGATGAAGGGTCCTAAGTTCGGGATGGCAGCAGCAATGCCCACTAGAAATTAAATTAAAATTAAATTATCATCAAAAGGAATTTAAAAAGAAATGGTTATAAATTTCTTTTAATTTTGACTATTTATATTTATTTTAAAACTTATTGAGCAAAGCCTTTTGCTAAAAAACGGCCCTATTTATTTTGATGTTAATTTTTCTCTATGTTAGCATTAATTGATTTGTAGACGTCACATCCACACAGACATTAAAAGAAAAATTTAAGTCATATGGAGAGAACTGAATTTTTGAAATGTAATATTGTCTCAAATGGGAAATTTATTTAAATAATTTTTTTTTTAAATGCATGGCCCATTAAAATTGATCAATTTTACCAAATCATGATCATATCACCCCAAATAAGTTAGCAAAATATAATCAATAGGTAGATCAACAATAAAATTTGCATTGATCTTGTATGAAAAGGTTTGGTAAATTTAATTTTAATTAAATATGCTGTAAGCTCCTCATTTCTGATTAAAAATCTTCATGACTTTGTTAGTGCTATGAAGTTAAATTCAGGATTTTTTCTATGCTCATTGGGTCCAATTTTTAAATTAATATCTTTAACCGGAATAAAAAAAATTACCTGTGCATACGACTAGAAATATCCTCAAAGAAAACTCGACCACCATTTCATTTTTCTTGAAATGCGGTTTAAGATTACGCCAGATGATCTCAAAGGGCACATAAAACTGCAGAGCGTATGTGAGGAAAATGGCGACAGCAATCATAATCTTGACCGATTGCGCCAAGCTGTTGAATTATTGAATTATAATTAATAATGAGTCTTCCCTAAAATTTCTCTTACATTTCGTCTGTGGGCAGGTTGAGAGTGATCGAACCCTGGGTTTCCTCGCCGTACTTCAGGTAGCCGAAGAAACCGACTGCGCTGTACAAAGTGACGACGACGGTCATGCCAATGTTCAGGACTCCGGGGCAGCCGATAAAGTGCTGGGGGGTCTTCATGTTGTTCTCCAGGGGCATAACCTTAATTAGATTTCAGCGTTAGGCTTTCGTATGAATTTTCTATTGACAAAAATCGTACCACGCCAATTCCCTCAAGGGCGAAGATGACGGTGCCGAAGAACAGGGGCAGTTGGTGGAAGGAGGAGAACAGGGGTCTCTCGGACACGTTGGGCACGTCCTGGAAAATGTAGTAGAAGGTGATGGCCATGCCAGTGGCCATCAGGAGGTTGGCAATCATGGAGAAGGGGGCCATCAGCTTCAGGTTGCGGATCATGTTGAGTAGAATGAGGGGCACCAGCAGGCAAACCATGTAGATTCGAATGTCCCAGTCAAGTTGCCAGTAGTAGTCAGCCACCTAATATTATTAATAATTTATGAAATATTAAAATTAATTCTTCTGATCTCAGTTTTTGGTATGTAAAAAATTATTAAAAATTCACAATAGAAGTTTGAAAGAATTAATTAAAAATAAAACTTCAATCTGTTTGAAAATTAAAATATGAAAATATTAAAAAAAAAAATTGATTATTTTTTTAATTCTTAACTTTTAAATTTTAAAAATTGTCTGATCACTTAAAATTTGTATTTCTAATTTGAATATTTTTCAACGTCATTTTTAGTTGCCTTATTTATTCTGATTCATGTTTCTTTATCTGTAATTTTACGTTCGTTTAATGTTTTTGTTAAATTTATTTTTGATAATTTATATTAAAATCGCCTCCAACCTGCTTAATGTTTGTGGCCACAAACACAATATAAACGCAGCAGCAACCGAGCAGATCCACAACAAGGAAGGTGTTTATTGTTGATCTAAAAATTGACCAATAAATAAAAGATTCAGAATTTTTGCCTTTTAAAATTAAACAAAAGAGCGATTTTCCATCATCTCTTTCCATAAATTTCCAATCGTATAGTTCAGAATAAATTTTGTTCAACACAAACCTGGCTGCTGCCGAGAATTTCCTGAGCTGGGGTGGTCCATTCTTGAAAGCAACTTCGGCGACGTCGGCAAAGCCAAGGGCAGGCGTTCTCGTCCGCCGACACAACTCGTGGGCACATTTGACCTGAGGAGGAAATTTAAAAAATTTTGCTCCACTGAAAAAAGTGGCGGGAAACTTACCAAAACGTGCACGCAATAGGTGCAGATGAAGCCGATGACGAAAGTGGCCACCAAGCCAAAGGCCAAACCTGCGTTCAGGAAGGCCAGGGGCATGGCTAGGATGCCGGTGCCCAAGCTGCCCTTCAGCAGGTGGATCAGGGTGTCGGCATTGCTGAGGCAAAATCATTATGAAATTTTTTTATGAAGAAAAATAATTGGAAAAAATTACGTTGTAGGGTGTTCTAAGTTGCGGTTTTTGAAGGGGTTGTACTCCTCCTGGGCACCACCCAGTTCCAAATTGGCCGCCTTTTTCTCCATGAGAGGGCGATTTTCGTGCGGTGATCTCGACTGCTCTCCTCTGCAAATGACAAGTTGTCGAATTAAGAAATGGACAATTCGCACGTGCGAATCAAAAGTATGATTGATTGCACGTTTGCGCGTCATGCACGTCGAGCTGAATGAAGAGGAGAGGGTCAGGGTCAGCAGTTCAAAGGCAGCTGTGAATTAAGTGACGCTCTCGTCACACAATTGATGACGCCGCAATCGGGAGAGGTGAAAGTGATTAGATTTTTTTACGTTGCGTAACGGACTCAATTTATGAAAAATGACGGCTGTCAATCACGCTGGGAGTTGGGGGAATATTTATAATGTTGGTACAAATATGGAGATTATTGACTGTGCCTCAAAATTGAAGGGTGTTAATATAGAAAATTTTCTATTAAAATAATATAAGAATCTTTAGCATGGTTACTGAAAAACTACATCATATTTTACATTTTATAATCATAAATCATAATAAATTAATTGAAGGGATAATTATCATATTTAAATTATAAAAGAAACCAAATTAGGTATTTTTTTTTTAAAAACAAAAACAATTTAGCACTTGTAAGGTGTGAAGTGAAATGTTTCTTTTAAGCTCAAGGTTTCGCGTAGTTTTCGCATTGCGACTTTGCTTGCTTTTTGTTAACAAGCCCTTCTGCAGTTTATCGCGGAAACTTTGCATGTCGAAAGGCCCTAATACTTAAGTCTTTAAATAGATGGACGACTTTTTAAACAAATAGGAAACTGCTTTCCATTAGGCGGTTGAAGTTTAAGCTTTCTTCTGGTTGTACTTAAAAACAAAAGTGAATGTTTTTAATTACACCAAAATTACAGAAGCAGTGAGGCCGCGCTCAATTTCAATAGGTACTCTAGATATCGTGATTGATTGTGAGATAATATATCATACAAGGACTTGTTTTCACAAATCTCAGTTAAATTATCTATGTAAACCTTCGACTCTATAACTGTGATTTTAGATAAGAAGTTGAATAAAAAAATTAGCAGTTTTTAATAAATGGAAACACAGTAACAACATTTAAAGAGGTATATTGTGTTTTTATTGTTTTTTTCCCAATAAAACAATTTCAACAAAAATAAGCAAAATTTATCTTTGATTTTTACCTTCGACGAGCTCGAAAAGATTTCTTTTTGCGAAAAATCTTTCTGATTCGAAATCGAAACCTAACAAATATATAAATGTTGAATGATTTTTTTTATAGAATAGCTCAAAATTACATTTTCTATGCGTCCTTTTGATGATTCAATCCCTTTTTTTACTAATTAAACAAAATAAGATTGAACGAAATTAGAGATACTTACAAAGGTACGATGACAGTTTTGAATGTGCCTCCCTTGTCGTTGAAGGTGGTGGTTAGCAAAGTTTTGTCCTGCGGAAAGTGCAAAAGTTAATTAATATTGCCGCTAATTGCTGGTTGGTGTCAAGAAGGTGGTGTGTGCGTGGGCGCTGCTCGCCGCGGAATAAACCCAGAAAAGATTTGATTGCGATAGTGGGAGTGCTGCTGGACGCACAACAAAGCCACAAACAAAAGGCTAAAAGCAAAAGGCTGACACCCGAGCAAACAGAAAAAAGACACCTGCTGAATTAATGGCTATTCAAAATCCAGGCTCGCGCGCGCGTTCCGGTAATTTTCCATTCAAGCTCTGTCTCGAGTTTCTCTCGTGAGCAGTTTTTTAAAAACGTGTCGCTCTCAGCATTATGCGACGGATTTTTGACCGATTTTTTTTCATATATACGTGATGTGTGTGCGACTGCGTTGGGAGATGAAAATGCTGCGCCCGTGTCACATATATGCACGTCCGCTGGCCTTCAAACACACATGATCACCGTGTCAGGAGCAAGGGCTACCAGATATTTGCAAGTGAACCTGATACTTTCAAAAGGCAAAAGTTGCAGTTTCCTTTGACATCTACTCTTATCGTCTTATCAAGTTAAAATATACACATAAAATTATAAATAACTTTGCTTAGACCGGAAAGTGTTTAAGAAAAGATAAAGTGTCAAATAAATTTTACTTAAATTTTGTTATCGAAGAAATAAGAAACCTTGTAAATTTTTTGGTATTGCTAAATATGTAATAATATAGATTGACATACACATCCAGTGTTGTTAGCACTTAGCTTACAATAATATAAAAAATATTCATCAAAAATTCATTTTTCTTTATTATGTTGATTTTGTCAAATAGAATATTAAATGATTTTCAAAATCTTTATTATAATATCGTTTTTCAAACTTCTCAAGATTCTAAAAATAAAAAAGATTTTCATTTTGAAACATAAATTTAAAGCATCTCACAAAATAAAGCCTGCTAAATGTCTTATGACTCTTATGAGAGAGTATTTTTTCTGCATTATTTAGTTTTTTAATTTAAATGTAGGAATTAAGAATGATAACGTTTTTAATATTATCTATGTTCAAAAATCATTGCATCAGAATAAACAGGATAAAATTTGAAGTCTTTAATTTTAAAAATATCTAACCCAATTCAACAAAAGTTAAGTACTTTCGTAATTCTAATTTCTTCAACTTTTAAAACTACAGATTAGGAACAAAAGCTAAAGTTTTTACAAAAATTGTGATGTTAATTGAAAGCATTAGATTAAATCAATATGAAAAAGTGACAAATAAATATTATTTCATCCAAAATTATTTTCTTGTTACAAAATATAATAATTTGCTTCTGTTAGGTTCCGTGAGGTGGCGCCAGATAACCTGCACTCCCGTGAGCACCAAAAGCCGCTCAACCGCAGGCTCCACACAAAATATGTAAGTTTTAAGATAATGATTACTGTCAACAGTGCGAGTGTTTGAAAAAGTATAAAAAGAGGGAAAATATTTATCTTTACAATTTCAACACTCAGAAAGTAAAATTTATCTTACATTTAATGTGCATTGAAAAAACGTTAAGTGCGTGGAAAGAGTTTTTAAATTGCTATTTTTATCAGAGTCAATTTATTTCTGTGGCGCAAATCGTGCGCAGACAATTTAAAACTTTTTATATAAGCTGCGCACTCCTCTTCAGGCATAAATCACTCAAGTTTTAACGCTAATTACCGACGCCAACGCGAAACAAAAAGTTGAGAGCAAAAACTGACGAGGCGCAATCACTCGGCAGTAAATTAGGTCCTTTATCGAGTTGAAAATTGCAAGCTGCGAGAGTGATGAAGCGCTCGATGTACACTCGACAATCAAATCCTATGGGTGCCCTCTCGGCCAGCAAGTTTGATTTTTTGATTGTGCGCTCAGGGGCACGCTGGCGAATCAGGATGTTGCAAATTACGCGGGGATCGCTGCTATTGAGCCGGAGAATTCAATTGCGCGCACACCCCATACATATTCGTTGTTCTCATCGAATTCAAGGCCGCGCTTGAGAAAATTTGGAGTTAAATTGACTGGAAACTGAACTTGTTTTTCAAGTCAGCGATCAAGGCTTTTAAGGAGCGTCCGTACTTAGAAATGTGACTTATCGATTTTGCTTCGAATTGCTTAAAAAAATTAACTAAAAAAGTTACAAACTTAAAATATGTTGACTGAAGCAAAATTTACTTAATTTTATAACCTTAATATCCAAATTAGCAAGCAGTTTAAATTAAATATTTTTTACACCTATAACTCCATGAGTGAGTTTTATTTCCTCTTTCGATCATAATTAAAATTGTAAAAATTTTAAACAGTATTTCAGTTATTTACTTTGGTGCGACCACTGAGAGAATTAAATCTTTATTAATTTATTTTTCAAAGCCAAGTTGATATTATTGGTATTGGCCAGTTTTATTTTCCTAAATAGAAATAATATTTTTATTTTTATAAATTTCTTCTTTGATAATTTTCTTTTACTTTACTTTTCTTAGAAAATGCCACTTTTTTTTCTTATTATTGTTTTAATTTCAGCCATTATTTGTCCTGAAGCGTTAGTACTTTAACAATTAAACAAAAAATATCTACCAACATAATGTGTCTCGCCTAATTTTACAACTTTTAATAAATTAGATTAAGCAGTAGCAAGAATAAACCACGCTTTATGCGTTTTTGATTGACGCATCGCGCATCATTCAACCGCCGCGACGCCCATTATCTATTTTTATACTTGGCTGCCCGAATATGCAAACAAACAAACCGGGATGACTCTTTTAAAATTAGATTGTGTGGCCCGAATAACAAAACTGCTCGAGGGCAGAATTTAAGAGAGACCCTGCACCATAGCAGAACAATCACACGCGCGGGTGTTGCAAATCGACTGTCACATTGCCAAACTCGAGATCTTCGCGAGACTCGAAGAGCAATTTACGACAAGCGAAGGTCCGTGTCTATTTTTAGGGCCACGAAATTGATCCTCAAGTGGCTGAATTGCCTCGGGATTGGGTTTTTGTGTGTGCGTGCCCGCGCGGTAATTTGCCTTCATTAGCCTCCCAGGGCAAATTACATTAGAAAGAAACAACACGCCAAAAAGAGGCTCAACTCGCGCCGGGGTGCTGCCGATCGGAGCTCTGGACTCGGAAGGCAAATAAATAGTCCTAGGCTTCTATAATTAGGAATAATTGCTTTCAACTTGGCAATTTTCTTCTGCTTGTTATTCTGATCGAGGAAGCGGAATCGTGCAAAAAATCCCAACACAAGATTAATTGGAAATGTGTTCAACTTTGCAAATAATTAGTTTTGATTACAAATTATTTATTCAAATAATATTTAGAGTCTTTTTTATAACGATTGGGATAGTTGGGACTAAATAACGATAAGAAAATTGATTTTTTTAAATCAATTATTCCAAAAATTATTTTTTTCATTTTTAGTTTTAAAACCATGATTTGAATATTAAAATATTATTTTATAAACATTAATTTTTTTCTTTCAAAAGAAGACAAATATAATACATAATCAAACCAATATATTATTGCTGAAAAATTTGTAAAAGGAAATGCTCACCTAGTTAATATTTGTCAATATGCTCAACCTGCTATTGATTGGCCTCACAATGGCACTTAAGTTTTGTAAAACGTTATTATTATTTACTGTTATAAATTTAGTTCTTCTTCATTAAAAATGCAACCTGCACAACGCGAATGGCAAGAAGTTGCCTAACAATAAGATAGCAATTTTTGGTATGCAATTCCTCTACATGAGTGTCCAGCAGGTTGCATGAAAATCATTTTAATTGCTATCTGTACCAGTTAAGTAAAAAAAAATACGGCAATTCTACTTTTGGTTGAAACTTTGCAGATATCTTGCAAAATTTATATGTTGCAAAAATATTTTTCTTCATATAAATTTTCAAGATAATTTCAACAAATTTATGCAAACATTTTTAAAATTCTAATTTTCCATTCCATAAAAGGAATAATCATGGTATATTTTTAATTATACGCCTATCTGCAGAATTGAGCCATGGGCAGGGATTTATTTCTTTCCATAAAAGGTGAACACGCTTTCACAAGCAAGGGTTGCCCCGTCAAGTAATTTGCATAATCAAATTGCCTCGCGGCACCCGATGGGGCTGCGTGTCTTTTTTTGCTCAGCGTCACCAAGAGGAATTTGTACAAAGCACTTCGCTGTAAAACGCATCAACGCCTGACGATAAAATTTCCATTTCGGCCAGGCAGGCTCTGATTTTATTCCATTTCGCTGGCGTGACGCAATCGTGCACAATTGCGCCGTGTATTAAAAGTAATCATCTTGTTTCTGTACGCAGACCTAGATTAGAACAAGAATAGGTAAAATAAAAATGGAAAATTATGTTCCTCCGAAGGCCTCGGAAGGGGGGTAGTCTGCGAATGCGGCCAAACTGGATCTCGGGCGCCACTAATTATAAACTGCTGGTAAAAATACCGATGAAAATATTTGCGGATTTTTTTAATCGCTTTCTTGTCAGGATGCTTTTTTACGGCGAATTTTATGGCCCTCCACTTCCTTGACTTTTATATTTGTTCTAGCATTTTTACTGCTTTAAATCACTCTGGGTGGAGCTCATAAATTACAGGAATGTTAAAATACTTCAGGTGAGGAGAGGAGAGCCTTTCAAATCGGCAGATTTACAAAGTGAAAAATCGTGTACTGCATTTTAAGTTGAGAGTGCGATAATTGCTGACTTGAGCGGAAGTTTGTGGGTTTTCAAAAGTTGTATCTCATTGTAAGTCACTTTTTTTTGTATAAAACAAAGAGTTTCAATTAAATTATACATTATTTTGTCAGTGAAAGGATGCCAACATTTTAAAGAGAACCTGGTTTAAAAAATTCTGCCAAAAAATTATTTAACATTCTTTTAAGCTTCTAATATTCATAATCTATAGGCAAAAAATGAATTTTATAAGTTTGCAAATGAAGGCGCCATCAAGATATTTTATTGCCAACAAAAAGTTGATTCCGCTCCAAGCCTTTGATATATCCGAACACAAAACAAAGCTCCCCTCTTTAAACACCTCTCAGTCTTTAAACCGAAACCAAACAGCCGATTCATTTGTTTTTATGTTTTTACGCAGTTACTCTGTTTCGGAATTCTCACGTAGTCTGTACCAATGTTTACATTTTCAATTGCCGCTCGTTTTTTTCTGCTTGCCATTCACATTTTCTTCGTGATAAAAAAAATACAAGACTAGAGGCGGCCGTGTTAGCACATTTTTTAGCACGCGAACGCATATTTTTCTCACTCTATTCGAAAAGAAAGACGCCGCCTCTAGGAAACACTTATTTTATGTTTATTTTCACACTGGCGCACACACAATGGGCCGCGTTCTTTTCTGTTGGCTAGGATAGGACTTCGTAATGAAATGACAAGGCTCTGCCAAAAAATAATTTGATTCACCTCCAAATAAAATTAAGAGATTTAGCAGCTCGAAAATTGGCGCGGAGCCCAAAGTGTTGCGAAGATTTTAATTAAATTGAAACATGTTCATAGATTCTCATTCATCATTATGTTTGTTGACGACCTTTGGTTGACTATAAAGTGATATTATTAGATTAATCCGGGGCCAAACTCCTTCCGCAATAAAAATTTTGTTTGAAAGATAAGAGATTCTAGACGTTTGACCGCGGTGACTAAACTTTTGTCAAAACGTAATTTTGTCGTCACTGGTGATGCAGGTAATATTTACCAAAATCCCCTGACTTTTTATCTCTGCTTTTTTTTCGTTATTTTGTGACACATTTTTTACAGGAGTTTGTTAAACAAAGGAGAGCGTTTACAAATTTACTGCGCAGTTTGCACCGAGTTCAAATATTTAAGTGCTTGCAGGCGCTGTGCCCGGATTCCTTCTTTGGCAAAACCGGGTTCGAGAATTAAATTGAACTGTCGTGTATACAAGAACAAGAGAGATTCATTAGGAATTCAAGGCACCACTCATTACACTACTCGCGGTGAATAATTATGTGCGTGTGTGTTATTCATGTACTCTCGATTCAGTCACAAACGTGAACGGCGGAGACTTAAAAGGTCACCAAAATTTAAATTACTCTTTAATGAGATTTTTATTTATTTGGCCAATTTATTTATGGATTTTCTGTGTAAAATGAGGCAAAAGTTAATTTGTAATAGATTTAATGGGAAAATATTTGACACTTTTCTGCATTAAAATTTGATTAAAACATCCGATCTGAAATTGCAGAAATTCATTTGAGTTGAGAAAACATCAAAATAAGAGCTTTTGCCGATCCTTTTGGTTTCCGAAAAAGGTGCGATTGTAATTATTAAGAAATATGATTTGCCTAAGAAAATTTCCTCACCAAAAGCTGAAAGTTTTTATGATGACAAGAATATTGTGAAAAGACACAAAAACAAAAAGAAGTTTATAAGATTTATATGCCTTTGTTTCAGTTTTTTCTCTCTCAAATTACGTCATCTCATCTTTTCTTTTCTTTACAAACGGTGCATTATTACTTCCTTCTGACGGATTTCCTTGATCTTGTTTCAGTCTCAAGTGAGTTTATATATAATTGAAGGGTGGAACTCAAGACGACCGAGTCATAGTTTATCATATTTTTTTTTTTAAATAATTAAAAAGCCTGGCGCGATTGAATGGAGTGGCGCCAGGTTATTTTTGCCCGAGCGACTTGGTCTGCTCTCGGAAACCTGTTGAGCGCGGAGGCAGCCAAGCCGTAAAACAATCAACTGTAAATCAAGTACACCTGCAGTATCGAATCGCGGCACATCGAGACATAAATAAATAAAAATACACCACTCCTAGCTGGGCTAAACAACACAGAGCCTGAAGAGAGAAAAACTTCTTTGAAAAGGAACTAATTGGAAGAATTAAATGAAAATATTTTCCATTCTTCCGAGTTGACTTCTCCGATTATATAATAAATCACTTATTTCTGAGTTCAGCGCCTTCGGAATTGGAAAGCATCGAGATCTCCTTTGATGGAGTGGACAATGAAAAAGGCAGAGAGAAGGACAATTATTGTTGCGATCGGTGGACGCTAGGTCAGTGAGTGCGAGAAGGTTAATAATTAATTCGTCCGCTTGCCGCCGCAAGAAATAGATTAGACCTCTGCGCTGCGGTCGTAAAATTAATACGTACCTGAAAGATCGTTTTACACCGAGAAAATCTTTATTTTAAATTAGCAAATAATTATTTGTCCTTTAGCTTAATTTAAATCCGTTTTTGAAGGGTATTTATTTCGATAAATGAAAGTTTTAAAACGTATCTGCAAAATTCAAATGTCGCCTGCTGCAGTACATGACAAGAAAAAAAAGAAGGTCGTATATAAAAAAAGAAGATTTTTGAAACGCTGAGACTTGTTGGAGAGATTAGGTTTTTAAAATACATTATTTTACGCCTGTTGAGCGTGGCCGGGAAGGCGAGTTTTTAGCCTCCAAGCCACTATGTAACCGCAGAGGAAGATATTAAATGTGTAAATATAAAAGTGAAGTTAAAAGGGAAATAAAATGCGTGGCTCATATAAAAAAGTAATCCTTTTGGCCTTCATAACTGAAATATTTATTTATGAAATGTAAGATTAATAAAATCGATTTGCATATTATGTTTACTTATATACGTTAAAATTTCTTTCAAACAGTTAAATCTTCTTGATAGTTTTACTTTCAATTGCTTATTATTTTCCCAATTTTTTTTAGTGAAAAGTTTAATTCTAATCATTTCATCGCGGAAACAACTGGTTTTCTGCCAACCGTCCGTGTATTATAAACATGCTGCCAACAGGTCAAAAGACTCTCGTTTCTTTCGATACTGTTACGCACACTATCTCTGATCTAATATTCCCTCTCATCGAGCCCATAAAATATGTGTCATTCTGCCAACGCACACACACACACGCCTCTATATCTAAGTCAAATAAAAATTTCCGCGGCACCAGCTGAATGAACAGAGGCGTGTGTCTAACTAAACAGTGTGATTTTCCCTTTTGAAAAGTTTTCATTGAGTTCGCTAGACTCATTCAGTTGGAGAGAAAGAGAGGAAAAAAGAAGGCCGGCTGCACAGAGCAGCAAAGTGGCAAGGTTCAATTTTTATATTGCTTAACTTTCACCCTCGGCCGATCATGCAAATTATTTGCACTACTTTATTTAGCACTGGATTAAATGTGTATCTTACAAAATATTGATAGGGTTTTTGGAACTCGATGCAGGAAAAAGTGAAGATAAAAATTTATGCGGCGTCAACATACTGACAAGTTGATAAGGGGATATTATAAATTGAATTTTTTTTGGTAACAAAATCAGTATGGGAATTTTTACATAATTTTTCCCATTTCCTCGAAAGATTATTATTATTTCTAATTAACCATATTAAATACAATTAAGTTAATTTCTACCCTTTTTCCAATTTTTAATTATTTTATTTTGACCAAGAAGAATAAATAATACAAAATAATATATAATTATATTGATTTGTCAAGCTATAAACGAGCAGTTCAAATTTGAACTCTGTTATGGAATTGAAATCCATTCGAGTAATAAAAATCCGTCTGCGCTCCGCGAATTGGACGCGCATTGAATTAATAAACGCCCGGCGTGTGAGTGAACGAGATTCAATTTCACGTCTCACGATTCCGCGCCTCAATGGAAAATTCCACGCGCCGAGCACCAGACCAGAGCCCCAGGTCTAGAGAGACTGTAAAAAAGGTACCACTAACCTGTTGCGTCGCCATGGTGAGGTTTCGACGATTTCAACTCCTCGCGGTAATTAATTTTTTTTTGCCAAAAAAAAAATTGGTAAAAATGTAGTTTCGCAAAAATTAATATATAGGTTGAGTGGTACAATTGGGCGAGTTCGTCGACCTGCGGAAGGTGCGTGTGTTGGATGTGTCCTCGCGTCCGGCGCCGAGCAGCGTCTCCGGCGGCGCGAGCACGCGGCCGCGGCTCCGCGGCGCGGCGACTTCCCCCTCCGCCACCCCACCTCGCCAAACCGCGCGCGCCAACGAAACCAGCAGCGCAAAAAGTGGCCACCGGGCGGAAACCTGTTCGCTTTGGCGACTCTCACTCCCGCTGACCTGCCCCTTTCTCAAGCCTGCGCCCCGCCGGGCAGTCCCTTGCTTTCAGTGGGATTAATCAGCATTATCTCCAGGCGGTGGAACGAACGTGTTTGGCACTGGCGCCAAGCACAAAAAATCGAGACAGACTACAAAAGAACAAAAAAATTAGAAAATACGATTGCTCTGTTAATTAATATAAAATATTTAATTTTTTTATGTGACCCATAATCTATTGTTCAATTCAGGAAGTTTCGGTACTTTTTCCGTTTCTGAACGAAGACAATGATAGATCCAGTTAAGCAAAAATTAACTTTTTTTTTTTTTTTTAATTATTATTGTTTATTATCTTTTCTTAATTTTTAACTTGCTTCCAAATAGATTCGCAATCAACAAATCACAAATTAATAAGAAAAATTTGAAAACAAAATATGCATTAAAACTCTGACTGGAATATTAAAAATTGCAAAATATATTTTCTATTTAAAAATTAAAATTACGAATTTTTAACTTATTATAATTTATTTTTCTCAGTTGATACAAAAATTGCTATTTGAAAAGGAGCGGAGAGGGTTTATGAATAGAAAAAGCAAAATGTAGGCAAATGTAAAAAAATGTCATTGTCAAATGAATCACTTTTACTTTTTTATTAATAATTTAATGCACGAAAATTGAGCTTACAATTTCAATTCAAAGTTCCCACAATTTTTAAATGAAATGTTCATTATTTATTTCATATTATAGTGTCATATATTAAAAACAGAACCTAATGACACCAATTGATATCTATCAATATCACGATACGAAAATCTGTTGTCAAAATCGTCGTTGATAAGACAGGTTTGTCTGGAAAATTTAAGCTAATTGTGACGTGCATAAGATGCCAAATCTTTTATCAGCATTCTTCAATGGATATAAAATTTTCTGTGATAAAACTTCGAATGAATGAATAATTTTGCAATTGCAGGGCCTCCTCTCACAATCAGTTTTCTTACTAGAATGTTCGTCCTCGACCATAACCTTCGTAGGTCAGCAGGTTTTGCAAAAGGTGGGCGCGCAAGTTGGGCTCCAATAATCTGAAAACTCGTTCCAATATGTAAGATGGCAGCTTTCTTTGCGTAGGGCGGAAATTCCTTCAATCGAAAAGAGGGAGAGAGTTGCTTGAAAAAAGTGTCTCAATTCAGACGGAACAAATATTTGAATTAACGTTATTTAAATAAAAATAAATAAATTTTTTGGATTTTTTTTTGTTTTTAATTGTTTTGAAAATTTATTTCAATATCCACACTACTTTATAATTGAGTTTGAATGACAAATTTAAATAAGGACAATCGTGGCTGGGGACGGAAGTTTAATATTCGTAGAGATAACAGCCGGTTTCCTTCTCTATAGTTAATCTATCAACGTTGGCAGTTTTCGCTCAGTCAATTTTGATAAAAAGTTTCCATGACGTAACATCAAAGGAGCAAAGAGCGACGGCTTTCAACAAAGCTAAACTCTCTTTTTGTGCACTTTTTTTTTCTAAATAGTGTCACGATGTCTAGTCTGGGGAAAGGTCAAGTCTTCAAGTTCAATTGAAGATTGACAGACAGGCGGGCAGGCTGATGAATTTTAAATGCAGTAATACTGGCTTCCCACCTGATGCTAATTAAGAGTTTGTTGTTTCTCAAGGTTGAGGCAAAATTTGCACAGGTGATGACTGTGGGCACAAGAATTCTGCATTTTTTTCTATTTAAACTCCAATATAAGAAGGATTAAATTATTTTAAGTTTAAAATAAATTTGATCAAACAGGGAAATGTAGGTCAACATGACATTTCAGAAGCATAATAACTTCACTAACCGAAGGAAATCCCTATTGAGAGTTTTTATTTTCGAGTGATAAAGAAAATTGATCATTCCGGCTGATCGTGCAAAAACACAATTTTTAATAGTGTCAAATTATTAATCTTATCTTTTTATAAAATTTTAACTGTTCCCATTAATTTGAAGATTCTGAAGTGAAAGACAGTTGGCACAATTTCGCGTAATGTTTAATCTTTATTTTCCGCATGTCAACAACCATAAATACTTTTGTAACATTGCTTTTTTCGAACACATTTTCTCCCTTTCGTTCTGTTTTATCCATTCTCACAACCAACAGCAATACAACATTTTATCATTTTTATATTAATATACGCGCAGAAACTCTATTTTTTCTTTCATCTTTTTCTTTCGTGTTTGGTATGACATTTATAAGTTCAGCCTTCAAAAATTGCAAACATTCATATTTTTTCTTATTCCAACATGTGACACAATAATTACAATTTTATGACAGCACACTTCACTTCCGTTCGCGGATTAGCAACACACCCATGCATGCAAATTTCAAACATCTCACGTGATTTCGTTTTGATGTTTAATTAAAATAATTTGCGAAATTATCTTCCGAGGTCGGATAAAAAATAATCGTACCGATTTTGGCGTCTCTATTTGAACTGTTATGAAGTGGTGTGTTCAAGCAAATTAGATTTGGCATTCAGCGATCAATCCGCCGGCCTTTCTTTCGTGTCTCGAGTCGTGACGCCTGCAAGTCATTGCTTGGCGTACTTTTTTGTTAACCTCACGGTTTTATGCCCCTCAGCAATAAATACCGAAGGAAACTGCGCAGTTTGTTTCAAAAGTCTGCCTGCTCTACGTCTGCAGTGTGCAGGTCATCAAAATAAAAAATATTTATATTTACTAGGCTAAACCTGTCACTGAACCTTCCTTCACATTCTAACACAACATAAAACTGCGTCCGCCGGCAGAGATCACATGCATGAATGAACTGGTTTTTAATAGTGTGTAATTTAACGCTGATTAAATTCTATAGATTTAAATTATTTATAAAATACGAATGATTTGTTGGTTTTAAATATAACATTATTAAATGTAAATTGTATTTTCAAAATACTGGACCAAATGAAGGAATTGTTTAAAACTGAATATATTATAAAGCTAAAATACTTTAAAATTATCATATAATATTATTAAGCGTCACTGATACTGGATAATTTTCAATTTTAATTTCAGTTCAACATCCACTTTTCCTACAAGCTTTTTTCTAAAAAATGAAATATGTATTAATTGCATTCAATTTCTGTAGATTTTGTTACACACTGTTGAGTGTTGAGAGAATTGATACATAATTTTTTTTTTTGTAAGCACGCCTACAAAATATAGTAAGTTTTTCACGCTGGTTCCTGCTTGTCGTATCTAAAAGAACACATTATTTGTATCATTATTTTTACATCTAATGTACATTACATAAATCCCGAGGGACTTTTCTTTATGGGCAGAAAATCATAATTTCATTATGTCAGATTAAAATGCGATCTTTTTTTATTGTCACGCACGGAACGATTTTTTTATCCTTAATTATGCATTTTAAGAATCAGTCTGATAATTACATTAAATAATTTAATAGCCATTAATTAATACAAACGTAATTTCGTTCCGATATTTTTTATTGTCGAAATGAACAGTCATAACGCTAAATTGCTACTTAGTTTATATTTTATACGCCTCTGAACAACAACAATTATTCATTTCTTGGTCTACTGATTGCTATGTTTTTAACAACACACACAAAACTTGAATTCCCTATATTGCATCGCGTGGACTGCACTTTGAAGTACTTCAATTATTTACATTTATTTTAATTTTACGGTTATTGTTGTTGTCATTTTTATAGATTATCATAAATTATTATAATAAATTATTGTCCGTTACTTAACAAGTTTCAGCAGTGGAAGAAATGAGATCATATAATTTTTAATTAACTACTTGCGTATAGAGCTCGATCTTTTGTTTTTCTCTAAAGGGGCTTTTGCAGAATCAATCTGGAGCCCAGAATCAATAAGTTTTATTTTACGTTTAATATAATAGGATATTATTATCTGAGGGTGGCAGTCAGTTGTACGTTTCGGTACAAATAAATATTATAGTCATTCATTTTCAATCAATATGTTTCGTTTGAGACTTAGTATTTTCGCAAAAATGCATTATTATCAATATCATTATTGTTCTGAATGTTTTCTTTTTCTCGACAATTATATATAGGCAGCAGTCAGGCTGATTTGCTTCTCAGCAATTAACACAGGGACTTCTATACTTCCTGTAGTTGAAGATGATCAAAGGGGACCGATGAATTAACGAACCAAAATACAGTTCATTATATTGATATGTTCACTTTCGTGTGAATATGCATGAACGTTAACATCCTACTGAAAATTTTTCTTTCTACAAGAGGCCCAATTTTTTCTAATATATTGAAAGCGCTTTTTTTCAATCGTCATCCTCCTCTTCGTCGGGCTCCTGGTCGCCCCCTGTGGGGCAACAGATGCCCTCGGAGCCGTCGTCCCGAAAGCCGAAGAGCAGTTTTTCCATCGGGGTTGCGTGGTGGGTGGTCAGGCCGTGGAACTCGGCCAGCTCCGCGCCCGGGAACCAGGCCCGCTCTTCGTCCTCGATGATGATGATGCCCATCGACCTGCAGATGGCCACCACTGGGATCCACAAGACCGACGCCAAGATCAGCGTCAAAATGAGAACGATGGACCAGGTGGGCCAATTGTGTCTCTCCGTGGTGCCCTCGGAGAAGACCCAGGCGTCGTAGCCGCTGCCGTCCAGGGCAATTTGCAAGAAACTGGCCACCAGAATCGAAATCATGGCCAAAGGGGAAAGGTACTTCCAGCAGATGAGCCAGTACATGCCTGGACGGTGGCCTGTCATCTTCTCGATGTCGTCTGCAAATCTGGAAATGACAAAGAAAAAAAATGTATACTTTATTGCAATAAGAAATTGGATTTTTTCCTGATTTTTTTTTTATAAATTGTTCAAAATTGGAAGCATTAAAATTAAAAATTAAGCTGGTTTTGTAAAACCCCTCTCTAAATTAGAATTTTTATTGAATCTTAAAACAATAAAAAATTAAATAAATAATTTTAATCTCAAATTTGCATCATAAATGTGAAAAAGTCATATAATTTTTAAATTACACACTTACCTTCGTAGCCCATAGACGTATGAAACACCGATGCACTCGAAAAATGCGATGATCAGCAGAGGAAAGTTGCCGCTGAAGTTGTCAAATAGGACAAACACATAGCTGCCAGCGCCATGAGCGAATCCCATTGAAATCAAACAGCAAACGAGGCAAATGCTCCCTAAAACCAAAATTTTGTACTCTCTAAAAAGAAAAATTATCATTAAAAATAATCTACCTGTTAGTATTTCCTTTCTAAGGTTAGGGAACAGTTTCATGTCGACGATGGAAGTGACCACTCCTTCGAGTGTTCCGAATTGCGAATCGATCCCAAGGGTGAAGAGCATGAGGAAAAAGAGGACCGACCAAAACTGGGCCCCGGGGAACTGGTTGATCGCCTCAGTGAATATTATAAACGCTAAGCCCGTTCCAGAGGCGGTCTGAAAATGGGTATTTATTTCAATTATATATAAATTGAAAATAGCGAATTACAAATAATAATGAGTCTTGATGTAACTTATGAAAATTAAAATATGTCAAAATCTCAAATTAAAACGTTTTTAACTTTGTAGAAATGAAATATTATTTTTAAAAACCTTATTTAGTCATTAGATTAGTTTTATGTAAATTAAATGAATTAAACGAAATTTTATTGTGTTTTCACTACATTTAAAATTAAAATTAATTCAAATTAACGAAATTTGATTGAGATTTTATGAGGAGTAAGAATTTTGGCTTTAAATTCATTGATTAATTGGCTTTTAAATCAAATGTAAAAACTCACATTGTCCAGTTCTTTCTGCAGATCGCACACTGGTGTCCGAAAGTTTGCTATGGCAAAAGAGGTTCCGTTGCCCATGTGCGACAGAATGGTTGCGTTGCGGTCCTCAAGACATTTATCAAAAGCCATGTGGGCTTTGAATCCGATTATGGAAAAGACGACAATCCCCGCAAACATGGAGGTGAAGCAGTTGGTCAGCGAGACGAGAATCGCGTCTCGATAGCAGTTGTTGTTGACAGGGTTGTAGGAGGAAAAGGCGATCAGCCCTCCGAAGGCGAGGCCCAGGGAGAAAAAAATCTGCGTGCCCGCCTCGAGCCAAACCACCGGATCAGTCAGTTGGTACCACTGAAAACGCAATTTTCTCATCATTCGGGTGATTTTTTTTTATATTTTGAAAAAGGTACTTTTGGTTTGAAAAGGTGCATGAGGCCATCGGACATGCCTTTTAGCGTGACCCCGCGAAAGAAGAAGATGATTAGCACGAGGTACGGAAAGGTGGCCGTCACGTACACAACCTGCAAATGAAAATTATTTTATCAAAGGGTTTTCGCGAGCAAACGAAAGCAGTCGCGACAGGTATTATCTCAACAAATTTGAGGATCATGCTACTGCGCTTAGCAAATAGCTGGTGATTGTTCGCGCAAGGTGTGTGTCCTTTGTGTTATCACGTACCTTTCCTGAAGAGGCGATACCCTTGATCATGCACATGTAGACCAGAATCCAGGCGATCACCAGGGCGAAGGCGATTTTGAAGTTGAAGTTCTCGGGCGTGTTGATGTCTTCGGAAATCTGCAAGGTTGTTCTGTACCAGAAATATTGGGTCGGGCTGCTCCTCTGGTTAAAAAATATAAATAAAATTTAATTGCAGAGATCTGATGAAAGGAAACCTTACCACACACTCTGGCTCCGACTCGTAGGATCCGTTGGTGTAGTACTTGTTCGGACACTCTGCCCACGGCAGTTGGGACTGAAAGCTCTGGAAGTTTTTTAAATGTGAAATTTTTGTTAATTTTCAAAAATTTGTACAGTACCTGGACGAAGTAAAACAGACACCAGGCGATGATGGTGTTGTAGTAGAGGGCGACGTTGAAGGAAACGACGGCACTACTGATGCCGATGCCTGCGAGGTAAGGGGACACTTGGCTCCAGACTCCGATGGCGCCTTTTCGCAGTCTCTGTCCGATGGCCAGTTCGAGATAGAAAATTGGCATTCCCTCGATCAGTAACATTATGAAGTACGGAATGAGAAAAGCGCCTGTAAAATTTTGTAAATTTTCAACTCTAATGTGGCATATATATTTGGATAAAAATGGGGGTCGTGTACATTTTAGTCATAAAGATCTGTGGAAAATTCCAATTTTTTTTTTCAGATCTGTAGATTTATTTGATGGTAACAAAAAGCTACTTTTAATTTTCAACAAATAAAAAAGAAAAATTTAAAATATTTTAACAATCCGATCTCTTTAAAAAATTCTTATCTTTAATCAAAATTCTGACCTCCTCCATTCTTCTGTGCCAAGTAAGGAAATCGCCAGACGTTTCCGAGACCGACTGCGTATCCGACGGTCGCCAGAAGAAAGGTCAATTTGCTGTCCCACGATTCTCTTTCCTCGCCTTCACCACCGCTCTCCGGACAGAACTGCTTTTTCTCGTCCTTACCCTCGATGGCGTCGCGCACTTCCTTAGCCTCACCCTGCAGAACCCGCGATCAATCAAATTCCGCTTTTATTATATAATAATTTATTTTTGTACCCTGATGACAGCCGCCTGGGCCGACGGACTCGTGTCCTCGAACGCGGCGTTGGTGGTGCCGTAGTTGACCGCGTTGCCCGTGGCCTGGCGCACCAGTCTTCCCCTCATATCTTTGAGCTCCACCCTGTCCAAGGAGCGCTGCGGGTTGAGGTCCCGCGAACTCTGCCGCCGCACCAGATGAGCCACGTTTGCCATTTTTCACGCCCCCGGTCTTTTCTGCAGTCCCCTTCGAAACCCAGCAGGCGCTGATCCCTTCTTCGACTCGATCACTTCTGCACTCTCTTCATCCCTAAAAACGAGAAACGAACCTCATTTCGTAAAGTAAATTAAACAACAAAACAAAGTGCTGTCTTGCAAGTTAAAAGATTATTTGGATTAATTGAATACCTCAAATTAAAGAAAATCCTGTGTCAAATTTTCATTACTTGGAAATAACTATAACTTGCATATATTTTTTTAGGTTTTAATAGTAAGAAAAAAAAAGGATTTGATTTAACGATTGGTGATTTTCAGGGATCTTTTCTTGCTTTTTCATCTATTTTTCTTTTCTAAACGTAGCGGGGAGCTATCAAATAATTTTAAATACTAATTTAAAGAATAAGTCATTTTTTGCATTGTACCGCAAATTTTTATGAAACCTCTCTCAAAATCAGAAATTAATGAGCAGAATGTTCATTAACAGTATTTTTCCAACTTGCAGACTACGATCAATACAAAAGTAATTTTGTTTGGAAGCACTTAAGGGTTGTAATAAATCTTCCATCCTAGAGTCCATTTTCCCAAATTTTTTTACCGCAAATACAGGGTAGAAAATAATTTTCTTCATCATTCATTCGCGTCAATCAAAAGGGTTAAGAGTGTACATATTTGTATTTGTGGCCATCGATCGATCAGTGTTTTGTGTAGAGAGGAAAATGTCATTAAAACAGGACGTGCTCTTTCAGAGGCAAAGCACGATGTATGACGCATACATAATCTCAAAGCTTTCTGTAAAGTAAAACCACTCATTCTCGGGGGATGTTTATTTCAATGGTGGTTGGAAAGAATGCGTGCTAATCCTTGCCTGGAGCTATACAAAGCAAAAAAATAAATACAAAAAAAAAGAAGTGTGATCTGCGGGGCGGTGTGTGTAATGTGCCGTCGCCACCCGCTTGCTTCTGTAACACAAAACAAAATCGATCTCGCCTCGCCGCCTGACCTTTTCGGCCCAACTTAAGACGGCGTGACATTTTCATCGTCCCCAAATTGGCCCAGTTGATATCCGCAAAAGAAAAACTTTGTGGAGTTAATTGAGAATCTTCTAAATATAATTTATATTTTAGGCAAATTATTTGAGAGAAAAAAATGTGTCAGAAGATTAGCGTGTCCCAAAGTTATGGGGATGAATTTGAGAAGAAAAGTTCTTCCAGAGATAAAGTTTGATTTTTATTAATCCTAGAATATTTTTCAACACAAAAATTCAATTTGCAAAATTACCTGAGAGTGGAATCGAGCGTTTTGGTGCGAAGAAGGGCCGGCCAAGCACAGGAACAAGTGCGCTCACAGAGGAGCTGCCCGAGAGTCCCTTTTGCAATCAATAACAGGGAGATGCCGCCGCCGCCACCCCCGCGCTGCCCCACGAGCACCTGTTCGATCATGCGCCCCTCATGCGCAACATTTCGGTCGCACAGCTGCTACTCGTTTCTGCGTAGATCTGAAGAAGCGCGCACAGCAACAATCGCAAAAATTAAAGCGATATTATAAATATTTAAAATTATTAAATTATTTAAAATTTTGAAAATTGAATGAATAAACCAATTTATTCATGTTTCAGTGTCTTTTATTCACATATCGGAAACACGAATATTCCACAATAATTTATTTTTACATTTAAAACTTCTGTTCTTTTTTCACCTAAAGGATTCTTATCATCAGTGTTTGGGAGTTATTCCCGAATAAAACTCCCCTTAAAATGCATCCAGTTGGAACTCTTGTGCGACTAACTTGTGACATTTTTTCTCGTTTTAGACATTGTGTAAACGAACTTCAGAAAATTACAGTTAAATTTTTAGACGTGTTGAAGTCTACACTGGTGTGACAAAATGCAGTAGATATTTTGTACTGTGATTTCGGAAGGAGATAAATTTTCTATTCTTTCGTGTGTATAATATGTAAATTAGTCGCACAATTATTGATTGCGAGTGTGTTGATTTCAAGAGTTTTCTCGTTTCAGTTTCTCGTCTGCAAACAAGCGGAAAGGAGAGAGAAAGAGAGATAGAGGAGCTTCATCGCAGGCGACCGGCGCGACTTGCACGTCCCGCGGGTTGCCTAAGCACAACTTTTCAGGTAACTTCGACCGCCTTTCTTGATTTTATTCATTCTATTCTCGGTGCAGCAAACTTTCCTGTCTCTTCGGAAGTTGAATTGAATTTCTTTCGCAAGAAATCATTCGTGGCTATCTCAGATTGGAAAGGTACTTAAGTAGGGATACGTTTAAATATAGTTGCTTGTGTAAATACAAATCTGCCTAAAAGCTACCATTACATTGATTATTATTATTATAATCTGGCTGGTTACGATTAGTGATTGCGAGTAAAAAATTACCGGCTATCTCTTGCAATATTTTTTGAATTATATCTTGTGCTCCGACAGCAAAAATGTTCGCTCGGTCTTGTGATTATTATTTTTCTTTTTTACCTATCCCAGCCGAATAATTTTTTATTTCTTTAGGCTTCGTGAATTTCTTAAAAATCTTTCCCTTCTCTGAAGCGGAACCAAAAAAATAATCCAACGTTCACGCGAGTTTCCATTGAAAACAAAACTCCAAAATACATTTGATGCATTTTTTAAAAAGAATAAAATTCTCTACTCCTAAAAATGGGATAAAAAGCAGGAGTGGTCCGGAGTAATAATAATATAGCTGCCTCTCTTCAGTGAGTTTTGCTGTACGAATCTTTGTTCTGGTAGCCCTGGACGTATCCCGAGCCATCTTTAAGGTCCTTTCGACCGGCGATGCCGCGACCTTTGCCCGTCTCGTCAAATCGCTGCTTGTGAGATCCCGTGTAGCGGGAAACGTCCGTCAATCGGTCGACGGCACTCGGAACCTTGGCACCCTAAAAATTTCAGTTTGTTTTAAAATCATAGAAAATTTGAATTTGACACGTACAGCTGTTGCTCCAGTTAACCCAGGTGCACCACATTCTGCCATTTTATTTTTTATTTCATCGGGTTCCATTTTTCGCGCTTTGGCCAACTCGGCGATGAACTTCTCATAATCAGAGAGGTTGATTTTTAGAGACCTGGAATAAGTAAAAACATGCTTTAATATTAATTAAAAATAATGAAATAAACAATGAAATTTTGATCTATAAGTTAGCATGGTAGTAAAAAATCTTTTTTTAAGTAAAATTTTATTTAATAATTTATAAAAACTTAATCTTAATAATTATTTCCAAAGTTTTATTTTTATTTAAATATATTTAAACTATTTAGGTGTTTTAGATTTGAAGATTATTAACTTTTTTTTTAGATTTACTTACTTGAATTTTTTGAAGTGGATTCCAGTGTCGGTCGTTGTGATTTTTGCCTTGTCAATGACACCAGCCTGCTTCATCCACTTGTCACTTTGCGATAGGGTGATCAACTTTCCATCGCTCTTCGTGTCGCCGAATTTCGAGAAGGCACGGAAATTTTCCTTGAACTTGCTTCCGCCGGCCGATTTCGGAGTTTCGGCACCGTTGGCTGCTCCGTTGGCCTCCGGTTTGGCTTCAGACTTGGCTTCAACTTTGGCCTCAGGTTTAGCTTCAGCAGGTTTTGCCTCAGGTTTTGGAGCGGCGGCTGCTGGTGCTGGTGCTGCTGCTGCTGCTGCTGGAGCAGCAGCGGCTGCTGGAGCAGCAGCGGCTGCTTTGGCTTCGTCTGACATCTGAAATTTAAAACGCTCAATAATTTCTAATTTTCCAGAAAATGCTGGAAAATCGGTCATCCTGATAAGATATTGATTTTTTGTAAATTTATTTCATGACGTTCATTCTTTTTTACTCTCAAACTTTTGTGATTTAAATAAAGAAAGTTTCCTCTCGTACAGTTCAAAACTTTTTGATCGACTTTGTGACTCCTTCATAATTACGAAAAGCGTCAAAACAAACAAAAACACGTTGCTATTTCTCTCGCGTCGCGTGTTCTACTGGAATCGAGTTCAAGTTCATGACTTTGCATGCCCGTAATAGAAACCTGCTCGCACACATTTCCCTCGTCAGCCGCGGCCATTAGTAATGCACCCCTGCCGCTCGTGGGGTAATAGGCCGCTGGATGCGTTACACCGCCCGAGAGGATAATATAGATTGCCAGAGCAGGGGAGAAAAGTGGGCTAGTGGAAAATTCTCGCCGCCGCCATAATTTGATTTGATCTCGGGCGTGCTCAGCCAGGTGAGTCGTAAATCGATACTAGTCTTATCTGCACCGGCTTAATAAAACACACACCCCTGTCAGGATTAATAAAAAAAAGGGGGAGAAGAAAGTAGGTTCTTCCTTTTCTTAAGAGGTGCAATTTCACAAATTGGTCAATCTGAAATTCATTGCAACAAAAGTTATTCTATATGTATCTTTTTATTGTTAGTTGTGAAATAAAAAAATGTGTAATGCTGAAGACTTCTTGAGCAACAGCAAGTGAGGCGCAATTTGCGACTTTTTAACTTAACCCTTTCGTGACCCACCGGCTTTGTGTGTTGGCGGTGTGCGAGTGAGATTTCAAAAAGAGCAAAAGTAGCTTGGCGCGCTGGCGGGATAATACTAAAAAATTCAAGCACGTCTTCGGCGGCGAGAGAGGCCGCTTATCTCAAAATTTATCATGCCATTGTTGCGACGAGGTGCGATGTGGTGAGCTTTTTCCACATTGGAAGAGAATTTCATTAGCTCATTGGCTAATCGGTTGCATTGGAATTTTCTCACAGTTTTTATGTGAAAGGAAAAAGTCTGCTTATTTTGATAAGAACTGTGGCGCCTAATACTTTGACAAGGTGTGAATGCTGATAGATTTAAATCGTTGTTATTGTCAGGAACATCAGAATGTTTTTAACTTTGTAGATCTTACTTCAAGAATTTATTTTATATTTTTATATCTATAATATTTTATAAAAAAGATTAACAATAAATTATTATTATTTTCAATTTTGTTCTGAATAATGTTGCAAAATTTGATTATTAATTTCCTTTTAATTAATTTTTGTCTTAATTTATGAATTTATTTGCAGAGAGAATAGAATTGTTGCAATTAAATTAATTTAATTTTTCTAAATATTTAAATAAATCAATTTTTGAGACAAAACAATATGAAACTTAAAAAGTTATTAAGTAGTTTTACGGAGTAGATTTTTTAAATATGCGAAGAAGTAATTCCTTTTTGAAATTAATAAAATGCGGACTTTCCACTACTTACATTCTAAGCACACCGCCCTAGCCAAGAGAAAAGCCACAGCGATAAGAATATACCGTAGTGGATTATGTCACGTGAAAAGCGTCGCCAAGCTCTTTAAAGCTTGGCAGTGTGTATATTAAAGTTTTTTCCAGCAATGCATACACACACGGTGGCTCTCCTGACAAAATAATATGTGAGCGCGTCCAACTGACCTTAAACGCTGCGACGGAAGGTGCGCCTTGGAGCGTGCTAATCAAACACCGAAAAATAATATTTGTTCTACAATCGTCACGTACATTAAAAAATACAATTCTAGCTGTGAGCAACTCACCGAAAAACTGAAACGAGAGACGCCGATTTCTCTGCGCGCACTTTCAGCTGGAACTCGAAACTGGTATGCTTTATTTTTGGAAGATTGCTCAACGGCGTCGGGTATATTTAAGCGCCGCAGTAAAAATGAGATGGTGTGTAAACACGGAGTCGGGCCGAAGAACCGCCTTTATCGCAAACTGCCGTTTTGAGATAAGACAAAAAGTGAAAATTGAGTTCTTAAAAACAAACAGTACTCTTTGAAATTATTTGAAATAAAAAAATTTGATTTTAAGTGTGGAATGTGGAAGGTCATAAATCCACCCTGACACTTTGGCTTTCCAGCCATTGCGCCAAAAACAGCAACTCGCGTTCGCCAAAACTCTTCCACCCTTGCAAAAATCATCCCTATAGAGATAAATAAAACTACCCCACTGAATTCTCCAATCAATTTCAGCCGAACAAAGAGCGTCAAAGCAAGCGCCAAACCAAAATAAAGAAAAGGCGCCCTTATAACACGGTTTGGTGCGAAAGAGCAAGGGCGGATCGATAATTGGGGTGCGCACCCCTGACGACAGAGCCCAAAAATTAGCGCGACGAAATTCGCTGTTTTTCGGAGGTTGTTTGCGTGTTCGAACAGGTGTCCCCGGTGGCTAAACAGGTGCTCAAAAGGGTGACAGTCCGTACCTGACACCTAGAGGTGTTGCGTTGTTTGTCTGGTCGCCAAGGGCTGCTGCTGCTGCTGCGACCTCCCTCCGTGAATGGAGCAGCCTGCTGACAGTCCAAGCAAGGCGAAGGCTCGATGTGCGCGCGCCCCAATCAATGGCACAGCCTCGTACAACGGGCACGCGCGCGCACTCTGAAACTCACGTCCCGCGCAAAAAAGCAGCTCGAGAGTTTCGCAATACAGAGCAACGGGACTTAATGGTCCCTAGATATACTGAGGAGGGAGGGTCGCTTTATTGTCTGGAAGCGGTGAGTCATCAACATCCAGCAGCTCCATGTGTACGAAGTACGAACGGACCCTCAATGAAATAGTAATTCAATAGAATTAAACAAACAGCACAAAAGAATAAAATTATGGTACATTAAAATCAGAGAGTTAATTTAGAAAAAAAATGAATTTTTATTCAGAAAAAGAGTTTATTTTAAACCAGAATAATCATACATTATAAAATTTTTGCCGTGGTTTCTTTTTTTATTCAAAGCGAAAAAGATTATTATTTTCTCGATCCGAAAGAAAACCACGTTTTTCAACACACTTAAGTGCGATTTTCTTAATAATATTACTTGGTGACCCTTAATCTTCTAATCAAAAATCGGTAACCCAGATATCAAGGAATTTGTTTGTGCATCCATCACATAATATAAATTTAAAGAGATTTTTTTTTTAAATTTACTCAGCAGTGACCTTACAAAATTCCCATATATTTAAATTACATTTTTTCCTGCTTCTATTTAAAATTATAGTGTGCAAAAATTAGTATGACTCGCAGAGTACTTCAGGGATGGAATCATAGTATCCGCCCATTTCTTTTTCCATGAGTTTAAATTGGACGCTATAGCGCGAGCCTATTGGTAAGGACAAGTTGTTTGGTGCTATTGTCAGGTTCATCAGCGCGTCCCCCGTGAAGCACCAAACAGGTCGAGTGGGATAACCAAGGCGAGAAGCAGCTGTCATCACTAGTGTATTAGTCGTGTTGCCCACTATTCAAAGCAATTCCGAATTAATTTTAATTGCAAGTAAAAAACAAAATGGTGCAGAGATGCGTTTATTCTTATTGAACTTATGAGGAAAAGAGGGGAATACCAAATAAAAATAAAATTTAACATTTTATTGAATTATGAATACTGTTGTAATTTTTTTTAGAAAGAAAAATGTGCTTAATTTTCTTAAATTGACAGAATGGACTACTTCTATTTACCTAAATTGCTGCTGATAATGCAGTCATACTTTTCAGCAGTGGGTATTATGACGCTTCGCAATCCAAAAAGGCAGCACTTTTCTAAAGCTCCTGTTATGTTTACCTGGCAAATATCACAAACTTCATAAATAACAAAATAATTTAAGCAAAATTTTACAATATATTTTTATTCAATATTTCCTTCCTTACTTCATATTTATATGAGAGATGCAAAAATTTCTTTCCACATGCATGCTTCACATATCCGAAGCCATCAGAGAAAGAAAAGTAAGAATCATTTGGCGCGGCGTCAAAAACTGTTTTTAGTGTTCCCTGCATTTATATGGATATTTAATGGATTGACGAAGGTGCAAAATTTGTGCGATTTACATCTATGTAACAATTAAAGTCTGTTGGACAGTATGCTTTGCCGGTCGGAAGCAAAATCGGAGGGTCCTGAGAAAATTTAAGTGTATACTTAATTGAAAATTAATAATATATATTTTACCGCCATTGTTTTTTCCAAATGATCCATAAGCTTGGCCATTGCCTCTGGTGCCGCTTGATCGCCGCATGCTTTAAGTTCTGCTGCTTTATCGCAAAGGTCCATTCCGCCTAAATGATAATATTTTAATTTATTTTGTAATTTGATCAAGGGAAAATTCAATACGAGTCATGTTAGAGCAGTAATCCATCGTGTTGTACATTGCAATTAGTGCTGTCAAATTTTCCGGCGCTATTTCAGAAAAGGCTGCGTACAATTTCTCCTCAGACAGTTTACCATTTACGTACTGTTGAGCGGCTTATATATGTATTTCATGTGAAATTTATTTAATGTTTCTTACCAGCCCGGAATTTTCTCCGAAGCATTTGAAAAAACATTTTTCTTGCAAATCTCTAGGACCCTCAGTCATCACCCGTTTGATATCCTCTATAGTTTGAAAATTAAATCATTCTCATGCACTGAAATTTTTACCTGACCTTTGGTCAAACTGAACATCAGGCGGCAGTCTTCTTCTATTGAAGTGGCTAGCAAAGGACTTACGACACGTCCCTGACAAATTGATTTTATTTAATTTTTTTGTTTTTTAAAAATTGTAGAATCACACCTCACAAATGTATCGCTGCCTTAAATTGCAATTGTCATCAAAAAGGAGAAGAGAGTTATTTTTCAGCTCCACCGAAATGCAGTGCTCCGTGCCGTTTGAATTGTTTGGCTCCCCAGTCGCCCATCTATTTTTGTAAATATATATTTAAAAAGGTTTAGCAAAAGTTGCCTAATTATTAAATTTTAATCGTTCATCTTTCTCTGAAAACAATTATATTGTACTATTTTTTTTAATATTGATTAATTAGTAGATAAAATATAAATTTAATAATATATTTCAACTTGCTTAGTGTCATCGCGCAGCAATGTGTTAGAACCACAAAATCCAAACGCATTTTCACATCCATTATCGGTGCCCGAAGTCCAAAATTTTGATGAATCCCATTTTGAAAAATTTCCTTCTTCATTGTTGAATGAAATAAAAAAAGCACTTCAATATATATGTATTTGAAGTAAAAGTAGGCTGCTCTACTTTGCATTATTAGTTTTTTTTAGACATAAATTAATTTAGTGATTTTGAACTTGTTTTTTGGCGAGTTAAAAATAATCAAAACGAGGAGAAGCCATATTTTTTTGTTAATTTTTCCAAAATTTGATATTACGCTTGAATGCTTGCGACACTTGTTCATATGCCAGACTATGGTGGAAGCTGATCAGTTTCATTCCAAGTCCACAGCATGTCAAATATGAATCTTCATACTGAAAATATAAGAATTAATTTAATAATATGGCTTAAATATATTATTATTTTATTATTATCACAGTTTTATTGAGATTTTTTCTGCTGAACAAGTAGATTTTTGATCCGACGGTAATCCACGTGCCATGTATGCTCAATGCTGCATTATCTCAGGATTAATAGAAACGAGCTAAAATAATTGTTCTCAAATTGCCTGCAAGAGCCATAGTTTTCTGATCGATAAATACATTGAAGTTGCTTAACTTTGAAAGGAGAGAGGCATACATTAAATGAGATTTTCTTTCTTGAATTCGATGCTTACATTCTGCGTGCAGTTTGAGTTAAAACGGCAAATCGGGGCTTCACAAGGTGGTCGAGGCGTCGGCAGACTCTAAAAAAGATGAGGACATATTTTAATAAATTAATTAATAAAGCAGGATTAACAGGAAATCTGAATTTTACTTGGCAAGCAAATGCTCGAACTGAACTACAATTGTAGCTTTCCAACAGTGCGGTACTGTTTTTCTTAGAAATAACCATTTGCACGCAGTTAGTCGTATTAGAATAGTTCGGTTGCCCATCAGACCAGAGGGAACCGATTTCTTTCCCCAAGTCGACCCAATTGAAAGTTGATGCTGAGCTTCGCAGCCCAGAAGTCCAGTAACGCGTATTGTATTTCCATTTTTCTCCTAAATTGTAGGCAATTAATATTTTTACTCACTTTTTATTATGCTTTAATACCCTGAATAAACTTATTAAAGCATTTTGACCTGTTTTCACTCTCTATAGATAACGGCTTCATGCCCAGACTACAACATTTGTCCACATTTTGCTCCCAGTTTGCCTATATTGTCGGATGAATGAAATATAAATCGCCCCCTTCCTTTATCATTTTTACAATAGTTTTTCCAAAAACGTAGAGCATGTCGCAAGCTTCAACCCAAAATCCAAAGTACATTGGATCTACTCCATTTTGCTTTTCAAGTAGATTAAATTTGAAAATAATAATACGACGAACCATCTAAGGATCCATCCCTCCTAAAATATGGCAGCTGAAAATATTTCACTCTGATAAAGTATCAAAATTTTTGTATTGACCGAGTAGAATAATTAATAATAAATAATTAATTATATTCAATCTTCTAATATTTCAATTACGTATTTGGTGCAATTTTGAGAAATCGAAGGCTGCACCTGATGCATACAATACGCAGAATTATCAAGCAGTTAGGATAAGTGAAAAATTAATTAATACTTTAGCTTGTGAAGTGGGCGCTACTGGAGGTGGTTGGTATATGGTCGGTGGTGTGACCTTTCCAGTGCTTTGTGTGGAGGTCCACTTAGTTGTTGGGCCTGTATGTCTTATGCTGGTGGTTGTAGGTTTTGCAGTTGTTGAAGTCGTGGTAATAATTGTTGTGGCCACGATTTTGGCCGTTGAGCTACTTAAATTTTTCAAAGTCGAAGCATTTATTGGGGCTGTTTTTGTGGCGGTAGAAAGGGATTGGGACGTCGTATGCGTTTCTGTTGAGCTTGCAATAGTTGTCTGTGTGGATTCGGCAAAGATGCCTAAAATATCTGCAGAAGTAGACCTCGGGTCCATGACAGATGAACTGAGCTCGGTGGTGACTGAATTGTGATCCACTATCGTAGTCAGAACCTCATTTGAATAATCTTGTGCCTGAAACAAATCAATTTAATTGATGTTTTATTCTCTGAGAGTCCACAAATAACTTAAAAACTGCTATGGAGAAGGCTAATTTGAACTCAAAACATCTCAAATCAAGCTCATTTGAGAAATTTACAAAATTATTTAAGATAATACAAGAAATTTTTACATCATACAAAAGCTAGGATATCAATGCATGTAAAAATTATTTGATTTTAGCTATTTTTAAATTTCAGTAGCAATCACGTTTAATATTTTCTGTTATATATTTTTAAATCTATTCTTCTAATAACAACAGAGTCTACATTTAAAGCGAATATGCGACTAATAATAAGCGTTAAATTAATTTGATTACCCGCCCCATGATCACACCTTACCCCATTTCCTACTGACGTGGAGGATTCTGTTTCCACATAATTTACGTCAGGGCGCGCTTCCGTTGTTGGCAGACTCATATTAATTTCAATATTTAATTTAGAGTTGTGCGCCGCATTTTCTCCCACTTTTATACTGGACAAACTGCTAATTGATTTGAAGCGCGTTGATTCTTGCTGTAAATTTTTTGGTTTTTACTCAATTTCGCACACATTTGAAGTTTTTCTAACTGAAAACTGTAGAGATTGGTCTTTAACAGGCTGTTTATTTTTCGTATTTTTCTTTGACCTGCTGGTTGCCAGGCATGACGAATTTCCACAACAAGATATCCGTATTCTTCTTTGAGAGTAATCTTGGTGCTTCGGATGATTCTGGATTAATTTTCTTGTCCCTGTATAATATTTTCTTTCATTTAAAAACCCTCCGCTATCTGATGATTCCTTTTTATGACCCATCAGAGCAAAATAATATAACATAAATTTACCTTTCTCTACTTGAACACTCATGTCTGATTCAAAGATCTAAAATATCCCAATTTGATTAATAATAAACATTTCAAAATTTCAACTTACAGTAAATGCTGCTATAATCATAAACGTGAAAATTTTTAAACTTTCATGCATGATTACAGCATGCTATAATATACTCTATCAAATGATGGTCATATACTGAATGCTCATACACAAAGCGCGCTTGTGTAGAGGTTATTGCCTATACGTCAGCGAATTCTGCAATTATACCAGCCATTAAATAAACTGCCATTGCTGACATTCTAAATCAAATTATTTGGTTTAACTTCCGGTAAAAGTTTCATTATTTGTTTAAAACAGAAAAATAGTTGAATGCTATTATTGTACCACAAGTGTGCTACTATCGAAACAGAGTTTGTTATTAAATTTAAGTACAAAAATATCTGTTTTCATAGGTTTTATTATGGATTGCCCGATATATTTATAAACTATTTAAAACTTTTAATTTGATTTTTTTACTTCTAAATTATCAAGAACAAATTTATGTATGTATCAAATATTAGGGAACATAGGAAATCAAATTTTGTGTGCATACTTTCTTTTAAAGGCTTGACGTAAGAATTTTGTATCAATTTTTTGTATTCGTGTAGGTCTTTAAGTAAAAAAGTCAAAGGATGATTTCTATGTTTCAAGAAGAAAAATGAATTGTGATTTTTTTCCTATTCTTGGGAATTTTTATTAAAGAAGTACAGTTTTAAAGAAAAATTTAATAGTTTTATGATAATATTTTTTTTGCGAATTCTGTTTTCACTTTCATTTCACTTCCATGTATTTTGTTTGATTGTAAAGAATAATCATTCAATATGAATAATCAAATTTCAATTTTTCATTATAATCGATTATAATCTAGAAATAATATATGCTTTTTTTATTGTGACAGAATGCCTGATCAATTATTATGGGTTAAATTCCTGTATTGAAAATATTGAATAACATGGACGCTTTCTCTTTATTCAAAAGTACAAATCTACATTTTTATACAAATCAAATAACCAGAAATACTTAATGCATTTTGTGCGCCGCTTCTAATTCATATTATTTTTGTTTATTTATTATAAGTTTAATTCAGTTCAATTGTTTCAAGTAATATGATTCACAGTTTTCTTTCTTTCAAAAACACACACTTCCAGTTTTATGAAAATCAAATATCTCACAATACCAATTTTTATACATTATTCAATGCTTCCAATTAAAATCAAAGGTTGTGCCAAAGCTAGTATGATTCGCAGAGCACTTCAGAGATGGAATCAAAGTAGGCGCCCATTCCTTTTTCCTTGAGTTTGAATTGGATATTGTAGGGATACCTACTATATAGTGTGGATAGGTTGTTTGGTGCTATCGTCAGGTTCATCAGCGTGTCTCCCGTGAAGCACCAAACAGGTCGAGTGGGATATCCAAGTCGAGATGCAGCTGTCATTACTAAGGTGTGGGACGTGTTACCCCCTATTCAAAACAATTCCACAATAATTTTAATACAATTTAAAAATTATGTGGTGCAGAGAAATTTTCACTTTCTTTACAGGAGTAACAAAGCAAAAATTTAAATTTATGAAGTATTTATTACTCGGCGTTTGTAAATTTTTAAAAAGCTAACGTTTTTCAATTACTAAAATTGACGACCGTATGAAATCCTTCGATTTACCTAATTTGCTGCTGATCATGCAATCATACTTTTCAGCAGTGGGTATTATGACGCTTCGCAAACCAAAACGGCAGCACTTTTCCAAAGATTCTGTTAAGGTTACCTGGTATATAAAACACGAATTTGAAAAATAAAAATTTCCACAATATTTTTCACTTGCCTCATATCTATGCGAGAGATATAAAAATGTCGATCCGCAAGCGTGCTTGACGTATCCGTAGCCTTCAGAGTAATACATGTAAGAGTCATTTGGTGTAGCGTCAAAAAGGTTTTTTAATTTTCCCTGCACATAGAGAATTTAGGAAATTAAATAGCAAAATTTGTGTGATTTACATCTATGTAACAATTAAAGTCTGTTGGACAGTATGCCTTGCCAGTTGGAAGCAAAATCGGAGGGTCCTGAGAAAATTTAAGTGTATACTTAATTAAAAATCAATAATATATATTTTACCGCCATTGTTTTTTCCAAATGATCCATAAGCTTGGCCATTGCCTCTGGTGCCGATTGATCGCCGCATGCTTTAAGTTCTGCTGCTTTATCGCAAAGGTCCATTCCACCTAAATGATAATATTTTAATTTTTAATTTGGTCAAGAGAAGATTCAATACGAGTCATGTTGGAGCAGTAATCCATCGTGTTGTACATTGCAATTAGTGCTGTCAAATTTTCTGGCGCTATTTCAGAAAAGGCTGCGTACAATTTCTCCTCAGACAGTTTGCCATTTACGTACTGTTAAGTGGTTTTAACAAATTCAATTCACATTTTATTTTATGTTTCTTACCAGCCCGGAATTTTCACCGAAGCATTTGAAAAAACATTTTCCTTGCAAATCTTTTGGACCCTCGGTCATCACCCGTTGGATATCCTCTGTTGTTTGAAAATAAAATCAGGCTCTTACTTTTCATTTTTACCAGACCTTTGGTCAAACTGAACATCAGGCGGCAGTCTTCTTCTATTGCAGTGGGGAGTGAAGGGCTTACGACACGTCCCTGACCCATTGATTTTATTTTTTTTTTCTTATTTAAAATTGCAAAATCTCACCTCACAAAGGTATCGCTGCCTTAAATTGCAATTATTGTCATCAAAGAGTAGAAGAGAGTTATTTTTCAGCTCCACCGAAATGCAGTTCTCTGTGCCGTTTAAATCGTTTGGCTCCCCAGTCGCCCACCTATTCCAACATTATTTTTAAGGAAAATAGTTAAAAATATTAACCTTAATGAGCTTTTATTGTACAAAAATGATTTAATTTGATTCCATATAAATAAAAGTAAAAATATTATATTAGTTGATTTAAACTTACCTTGAGTCATCACGCAGTAATGTGTTAGACCCGCAAAATCCAAACGCGTTTTCACACCCATAATCAGTTCCCGAAGTCCAAAATTTTGATGGTTCCAATTTTCCTTCTATTGTTATGTAATCATGAAAAAACTTGATAAGCACTTAAGGAAACATGTTTGAAGAAAAATTGGCTTATATATGCAGAAGTTTTTGTTTTCTGTGCATTTATATAAATCACTTAGATTATATTTTAAACAATGTCTTGATGTGTTAAAAAAATATTAATGAGGAAAAGTAGCAAGTTATCATTTAAATTTTGGATAAATATACATTGGAAAAAAATCCCAACCAGTTTTTACTCCAATTTTAAATAAATTTGATATTACGCTTGAATGCTTGCGACACTTGTTCATATGCCAGACTATGGTGGAAGCTGATCAATTTCATTCCCAGTCCACAGCATGTCAAGTATGAATCTTCATACTGAAAATGTTTGAATCGATTGAATTAGGCTTAAATATATGTTTTTTTTAAATAACGGTTTTATTGAGATTTTTGCTGCTGAACAAGTAGATTTTCGATCCAACAGTAATCCACGTGCCATGTACACCCAATGCTGCATTATATATCTCGAAGTTATTAATAAAAACGAGTAAATTCACTAAAATATCTCTAATTGCCTGCAAGAGCCATAGTTTTCTGATCGACAAATACATTGAAGTTGCTTAACTTTGAAATGAGAGAGGCATACATTAATTGAGATTTTCTTTCTTGAATTCGATGCTTACTTTCTGCGTGCAGTTTGAGGTAAAACGGCAAATCGGGGCTTCGCAAGGTGGTCTAGGCGTCGGCGGACTCTAAAAAAGATGAGGACATATTTTAATAAAAAACAGGATTAACAGGAAATCTGAATTTTACTTGGCAAGCAAATGCTCGAACTGAACTACAATTGTAGCTTTCCAACAGTGCGGTACTGTTTTTCTTAGAAATAACCAATTGCACGCAGTTAGTTGTATTAGAGTAGTTCGGTTGCCGGTTGGACCAGAAGGAACCGATTTCCTTCCCTGAGTCGACCCACTTGAAAGTTGATGCTGAGCCTCGCAGCCCAGAAGTCCAGTAACGTGTATTGTATTTCCATTTTTCTCCTATTGTAAGTAATTAGTATTTTTGCTTTATTTTTATTGATATTTTTTAATACCCTGAATAAAATTATTAAAGCATTTAGACTTATTTTCACTTTCAATAGATAACGGCTTCATGCCCAGACTGCAGCATTTGTCCACATTTTGTTCCCAGTTTGCCTTTTATTATAAAATTTATGTTACTGAACAAACTCCGAGATCAAATTCTTTTAAATATCATTTTTTTTTTTTTACAATAGCTTTTCCAAAAATGTAGAGCGTGTCACAAGCTTCAGCCCAAAATCCAAAATACGTTGGATCTACTAAATTTTTGCTTTTAGAGATGAATTTAAAAAATATTTATTGTGCGATGAACCTTGAAGTGATCCATCCCTCCTAAAATATGGCAGCTGAATATATTTTGATCTTTTTGTTAATATCACAATTTTTCTTCTTCTTATTTTAAATTACGTATTTGGAGCAATTTCTGGGAATCGAAGGCTGCACCTTTGGTGAATAAAATACGCAGATGAGATCTCGATTAGGTAGGAAAGTTAAAAAATATATACTTTAGCTTCTAAGGTGGTCGCAACTGGAGGTGGTCGGTATGTGCTCGTCGGTGTGACCTTTCGTGTACTTTGGGTGGAAGTCCACTTGGTTGTTGTTGTTAGGCGGGTGGTCGCATATTTTGAAGTTGTTGAAGTCGTGTTTTTTATTGTTGTGGCCTCGATCTTGGCCGTTGAACTACTTAAATTTGTCACCGTCGAAGCACTTAGGGTTGTTTTTGTGGTGGTATTAGGAAGGGTTTCGGACGTCGTTTGAGAAGCGGACTGCGTTTCTGTTGAGCTTGCAAAAGTTGTCTGTGGGGATTCTGTAGAGACGATTAAAATTTCAGCAGAACTCAACCTCGGGTCCATGACAGATGAACTGAACTCGGTGGAAACGACTGAACTATGACTCTCTGTCGGAGTCGTAGCATCAATTGAATAATCTTGAGCCTGTATTTGAAACAAATTTTAATGCTATTTTTGTTGTGAGATGCATAATAAACTATAAAAAACTTGCAAATCTATCGGGCAGAAGGTTTAAACTTCAACCTCAATCGTGAAATTAAAAAAAAAAAAAAAAAAAAACAAACAGAACAAAAATAAAATGTAAGATTTTTTCTAAATTGCATAGAGAATGTAGCTAGTGCAAGAAAATTTCAATTGTTTCAGCTTTTAATATAAGTACATTTGTAAGAAATATTATATGTTAAGTTTGTTTCTATTAAGGATAGTGGTCACTGGTCACATTTAATACACAAATATTGAATTTAAAATTAATTGATTGCCTGCCCCATTCATCACACCATACCCAAGTTCCTTCCGACGTGGAGGATTCTGCTGTTTCCCCATTTTTCACATCAGGAAGAGCTTCTGTTGTTGGCAGTCTCACGTTAATTTCAATATTTAACTCGGAACGTTGCTTATTTTCATCCACATTTTTACTAGACAAACTACTGATTATTGAGTTGAATTGCGTTGATGCTTGCTATGAAATTTTGGTTTATTTTTGTATTCAATTTCGCACATAAAAAGATTTTTAACTGAAAACTGAAGAGTTTGATCGCTCACAGACTGTTTAATTTTTGTATATTTCTTTGACCTGTCGGTTCCCATGCATGACAGATTTCCACAGCAAGAAATCCACCTTCTTCTATGAGATGAATCTTGGTGCTTTAGACGATTCTTGGAGAATTTTCTTGCGCCTGCTATAATTTTTTCTTTAACCTGCTTTTCCGTTATCTTTTTTATTATCAACTATCATATAAAAATAATATTAAATTTTGCGTTCTAAATAATAAAATTTACCTGGGTTTCCTTGCATATTTAAGCTTATCACTAATTCAAAGATCTAAAACATCTCATTTTGATTCATTATAACGACAACCCTAATTTTAGCTTACAATGAGAACTGTTATAATCATAATTGCAAAATTTTTAAAAATGTTGTCCATGATAGACCTGAATCCCGAATGCTGTTCTATTAAAATTTTGTAAACCACTGAAGCCTTGTTTTACAAAAGCGCTCGTGCAACTACGTCAGCAATTTCCTCTTTCAGCAAATACCATCCTAGATCAGATTTTTTTTTTTAATTTTACTTTGGTTAGAAAAATTGCCAGTTTGTTATAATGTTTTAATGCTGTTTTATATTTCTCCGCGCCATACTCTGCCTATCCTTTTTTTTTATCTATATTCTTGACTCTCAAACACACATAATTTATATAAACAAAAATCAAATCTTGGAAGAACTAAAAAGTATTGTTAAGGGGTAAAAAAAATTCAAATCTGTACTTGAACTAATTGTATAATCGGTCTATTTAAATTTACAGAATTTTATTATTTATACTAAAATTAAATTGAGATAAGTTATATTGTTTCAAAATAAAATGAAAATCAAGCTAGATTCACGAGGGTCGATGTTGTCTTAGAATTTGTTCTAGAACATCCCTGATGGTCCAGAACTAAAGGACAAAATCCTTTAGATTTTCAATTTAATTTTATTCTGAGGAGCACAAAACACATTATATGATTTGATTGGGTTTCTTTGAGAGCGTCCAATAAAGATCATTTTATAATACTCTCCATTTATTGGGGTCATTAGCCACAATTTTTAATAAATCAAGTTAGCAGGAACATAGTTAAATAATTTTAATTTTTTTTTTTCATTTCTTATGATGGAACGTGATGGAAGAATAATTCTATCAACCTCATCTATACAATACTTGTACTTAATAAATATAGAATCATTTTTATATAATTAATATTCATAATTGGTATGTTGAAATAAAAAACACATTGAGAATTACGGTATGTTGAAATAAAAAACACATTGAGAATTACAACTCTTGCATTTATCTCCGCCATTCATGTTTATTAATTGTCATTAACATCCTTCCTTGGTGGCCGATGTTGTTGCTCGCTATCATTTTTGCACGGTAATAATTATTTAGTCACATAATGTTATTATCGTAGTAATGATCGTAATAGTAAAAATTAACACGCGCGCGCTCTTAAAAGTGCATGCAGTGAGAGCGTGTCTAACAATAAAAGCGAACCTATACAAGTATGTACACGCGCCATTGTTGCCGACCCCGCTTTCCCAAAACGGAAAATGCGCAGGGGGTGGGCGCTCGCTCGTCCGCATCCGCAAAAATGAGAATTCGTTTCCGATAAGAAAATACACAAATTTACCTCGCGGGCGAGGTGGAAAAAAAATTACGCACGGATTATTAGAACAAAATCAAGGGATGGAAAAAGGTAAGGAAGGGGTGTGTTTGTGAACAAAACTGGAACGCACCCTCACATCGATTCTTTTTTGTTTTGTGTGCGATTAAAAAATAAAAGCATCTGAAAGCATCCTTGGCTTGTGAGAGGGTCGTCCCGGCCTGATTTAAAAAGCACGGATAGGGGGTCAGTGGGTGAGGCAAGGGGATTGAGGGGGACTGCGCGGGGGCTAGAAGGAACTGCCCTCGGGTGGCTGCGAAAGTCGCATGTTTTCCTTGACGGTCATCAAGCGTCGGAGCTCTTGAAGCAGCGTTTTGATCGTGTATTCGCGTTGCCACCTTGCCAGAACGGGCACATATCGACTATCAATCTGCAAAATCAAAACAAAAATTAGTTTGAAAATTCTGCATTTTAAAATATAATTTAATTGAGTGAAAATAAAATTAATGAATATAACAAATAATCCTAGTTTGAAGCCTAATTATTATATAAGATCAAAATTCTCATTTCAAATGCAGTGTTTATTTGGCTATTCACTCCTCTTTGTGAGAAGTTTTGTTTTTTATTTAGTTTATTACCAGATTTTTTTTAATTATCTTTGATTGTAAACATAAAAACCATAACAAATTTGTCCTTACCACTCCATTAGAACTGTTTATGCAGTTGATATTAATTCTTGAAATAAATTTACAACTAGGAGGCTCTTCTGGATATCTCTGACCACATTCTATCTTCAGGCTGTACATTTTATTTTCATATGGCGTCTGGAAAAGAATACAAAAAATTTCAATAAATTGAATTCAGACAAAAGTAAAATTACATACAGTGGATAAACTTTTGCTACATGAAATTGACAGCTAGGGAAACAACTTTTTCTATTGAAAAGTCCTATATGACTTTAGATTAAGCTTATTATTACATATTCAGCTTTTAAATTAATTTGGAAGTTATCATCAGCTTAAAATTTAGGCAAGGTTTGATCAAAAATAATTACCCTGGGGGGTCCAATAATCATTCCCGTCCAGTGGGTCAGGGTCATGTCATCGTCGTTCTCTAAACCCCAACTTATGGTTCCGTCTCCGACACCTTTCTGGCCCTGCTCCAGCTCTTCCAGCAGACGGAAGTTACGAGGCACCACTGCAATCGAAACAGACAAATTATTTACAAATTCTGGACACGCCGGCTGGTGGGCTTTCATATGGGCGGAGCTCTTTACGGAGAACTGAAATTGCCACGATTCTCGCTGGAAACGCTCTTGCCGAGAAGTTTCCTCCACAGGTTAGGAAAATATTGAGAAATTTTAAAGGTTTTTCAGGGAAAATTGAAAGGCATGTGAATGAGAATAAAAATAAAACGCGATTCTGGGTCGCATGGTCCGCAATGCATCAAAGATTAGACTTCAAGAGCTTGGTTTTCGGCTTAGGGTGGGCCAGGACTAAAAATCCGGGTTCTGGTTCGCGAGAAAGGACGGGGGTGACGCTGCTAAGGTCGGCTTTTTGAGCATTGGGGTCCAACTGTCCGGTAATTGTGGCGAAAATGACATGAAAATGTTGCTCACCGACTCCACTCTGGGTGGCCATGTTGCGATTTTGCCAAACAAACGGAACCGCTTTGCGGCAAGAATAGTGTTGTTCGGAGTTGTACTTGCAGCCAAGAGATGGCTCTCCAGTGGCGACTATCAAAAGATTCCTCTCCAAAGGATAGTCGCTGACGCCATTTTTATATTACTAGTAGCGCGAATCTGGCCGTAATGTGCAATTTTCTCAATATTTTTAATTTTCCCGCTTTTAGAAATGGCGATATTCTCATCCCCTATGAATTTAAAACAATACGGGCGACGAATCAAAACAATTCTTTGTATTTTTTCATCCCACATGGTTTTCCACTGAAAATATTGTTCTTGGCATTATTTTTTTAGTTTTCCTACTTCTATATTTACATTACCGCACGCAAGTTAAATTGATCGAAAGTGGACATGGCTCCGGTCAAAAGTGACTCTTTGTCCGATTCGGACATAGAAGAGGAGTATTTTGACTGGCATCAAAACATTGCCAGAGCCGGTTTTGCAGACATGCTCTTTGACACTTCCAGGGTAGGTTTAAAATTTCATAACTATGTTAATTAATTGTTTGCTAAACTTTTTTATTTTCAACAGAATGAATTATATAAAGAAGGTCTTCAAGCTGCCATCCGTCTGAAGCACGAGCAAGGCAAAAAAGCAAACGTGCTTGACATTGGGACTGGAACTGGACTCCTGTCGATGTTGGCCGTCGAGTGTGGGGCTGATTCTGTGGTTGCCTGTGAAGTACTAAGATTGATATAAATTAAAATTGTGTCTCATTTCAAATTTTTAGGCGTTTGAACCCATGGCTGAGTGCGCCGCCAAAGTGATAAAACTGAATAGGATGCAGAACAAAATTAAAATAATAAAGAAACATTCGACTAAACTTAAAGTTGGTGTTGACTTGGAGCAACGAGCTAACATCTTAGTGACTGAGGTTTTTGACACAGATTTAATCGGCGAAGGTGCCATTGAGACCTTCCGACATGCAAATACTAATTTATTAGAGGTTAATTCATTTAAAAAACATTACGAAGAAAAATTTTATAAATAATTTTCCTTTTCGTTTAGCCTGACAGTTTTGTTGTCCCTCACTTGGCCACAATACATGTCCAGCTTGTCTCGGGTAAAATTTTTAACAGCTGGATGAGAATAGATCCTGATAAAGACCTGGGATTGCAGGTAATTAAATAATCTCAATAAATTTTATTTTTGTTAATTTGAATTTTTGAAGGTTCCAAAGGAAATGTCCGAATGTGCATTTAGCAATTCACACGACATGCAAATCTCGTCGCTTCTGCCCACTGAAGACTTCAAAGCTCTGTCTGAACCGATTCCTGTGCTGGATTTTGATCTGACCTCGCCCTCTTTAGCATTGAAACGACTTCAAGAGGTGGAGGTTGAAGCAACACAGGACGGCTTTTGCCCTGGAGTGTTTTTCTGGTGGGACTGTAAGATGGACCCAAAAAGTGAGGTGACGATGAGTTGTGCGCCCCACTGGGCTGGGAACCCAGAGTGGCGAGACCATTGGATGCAGTCCTTCTTCTTCTTCCCGCAAGAAATTGAGGTCAAGAAAGGAGAACAGGTCAAATTGACTAGCTGTCACGATGAATTCAATTTCTGGTTTTTCACTGACGTAAGTTATTTTAAGCTATATGATAGCTAAATAATTGTATTTAATTAAATCTTTTTAGAAAAATTCAACAAAAAGCACATCTGGCCCTCCACCTTGCACCTGCGACCTTCATCGTCAACTTTCGTTGACTCGCCTGGGCCAAATTAACGACCCCTCTCGAAGATCACAATTAAAAATGGCATTGAGTGAAATTTTGAAGTCCGCATCTCCCGATAAGCAAATTTTGTATCTGGGTGATGATTCTCTGCTTCCCATATTGGCAAGCAAAATATCTGGCAGGACAGTCACATGTGAAGGTGACGGTCGTTGGTCCCAAAAGATTGCCGAAGTCAGTGAAGGGGACGTCACTTGGGCAAAGAACGTTCAAGTGCCAGGAGTGGTACTTCTAGAACCTTATTACACAGAAGCGTTGCTTCCCTGGCAAAATCTGAAGTTCTTGCCAAGGTTGAGGAAGCTTGAATGTGACAAGGTCATGCCTATGGCAGCCTCAATTTGGGCAATGCCGGTTCAGTTCACCCACTTGTGGAAAATTCGAGCTCCGCTGGGCACTTGCATGGGATTTCAGATGCAACCCTTCGACGAATTAGTAATGGTAATGATAAGGAATATTTCATCTTAAGTATTTTTAATTATTAAGAATTTCAGAAATCGATTGTACTGTGTGATGAGCAAGTGGAGCCGCAACCTCTGTGGGAGTACGATACTATTTGCTTAGGAATTCCGAAGAAAATTCTCAACCTTGACTTTTTGGATAGTTCTAGCCTATTTGAAAATAGTGACTCGGGAAGTTTTGAGAAGTAAATTGAATTTTTAAATTGAATAGAAACATTAATTTTGAAATATTTAGAGAGGGAGTCTGCCATGGATTTGCTCTTTGGATGGACTGGCATTTGACTGCAGAGCTCACTGTGTCCACCGGGCCTACTGAGCCACCAAAAGTGGGTGAAAAAGTGAAATGGGACAAATTCACCAGGCAAGGAGTGTATTTTTCTGACGAGAGGCACGAAGTCACCTCTGAAGACTTCTACAGGTTCAGCGCAACTCATGAGGTAGAGTCTTGCAAAACTGACTTTTCTTTTGGCATCTTCCTTCACTTGTGACATGCATTTCAAAATGAAATTTACTGATTATTATTTTTATTTTAAATAAAACATAAGTTGGAAACATAATTTACAAAAGAATCACACATATAATTATTTTTCTTATCATTCTAATAATTTCTCTCTCATCGTGTCTTGTTCTCTTTGGTGGCCGGCTCTGTGTAGTACGGGTTGTAGTAGAAACATGGGCCATGTAATTTTGGCTCGCAAGGTGATTCGAGGTTGCAATGCCAGCATCTCGAGTCAATCACCCACAACTCCAATGGGTCCGAGCACTGTTTCCCATAACACACGCTGACTTTGACAAGGGCTCTGTAACGGATTGATTAGATGTGAAATTATATTTTAAATTAAATTTTCAACCTCGTGCTATCCTTGTTAAAGTGTTTTCCAACTGAGTGAACAGGAAGTGTCGGAATTGTGCAAATCACTGCTTGGAAACTCAGAAATTCCGCTGCCGAATAAGCCACTCCCTGGGATATAGCTGTGTGGTCTCTGTCTTTAACCTAAAATTGCAATCTTTGAATTTAGTATATTTTTAATTTAAATTTTTACATACAACAAAAACTTCAATTCCACACCGGAGGTCCATATTTTCTGCAAATTTAGGGCCCGAAACAACCACATATTTACAAGAGGTCTCTTGCACATCACAAGGATTCATTGTGAGGTCCGAGATGACAGGGGGTAAATTCTGATTAATTGAGCAATCACTTCCTGTGTAACCACCGCTGCACACACAAACTCCTAATTAAACATAATTAGATTTTTATTTATTTATAAAAGTATTTCAAAATGAACCGTTTTTGCAAACGCCTGCACCGCTGCAGTTATTAATGCAAAGTGAACTCAGGAGGTCCGAAGGTGGCACTATTTTCCCATCATGCGTTTCCTCCCACAGCGATAAGTTGCGGTAAATTTCTGTTTTGCAGTCGTATTTTAAATTGTTCAGGGCTACAGCTGCCCAGGACGAATCATTTGTAATCTAAAAAAAATCTAAATCAGAATGATTAATTTATAAAAAATAAAATTTTTACATGGACGTCACTGGCACACTCGGCTATCCTATCGTTGACTTTCATTTGCGCCACGTAATCGCACTGCTGAGCAGCCAGACTGTTCGCTACATAATTTTGACAAAAGGTTTTCGCGTTGTGGATACTCCAGTCTGCACTGTGGTCAACTTGGATTTTTTCATACGGTTGCAGCAATATGTCATGTTTGGTCTCTAGCAAATCTTTCACGGTGAAAAACTAGAAAATCAGGGTTGAAAAAATATGGAGATTATTTAAAAACTAATTATACCTCAGATGCGGTGAATTTCAAATATTCCTCGGACATTTCAATTCCGTTTTTGTGGAAGCACTGAGACGACTCGCACGCAATTATGTCATCGTCACTTCTTTTTTTAATCACGTTTGCTGATAAAAAATTAATTAATTAAAAAATATTAAAAAAAATTAAGACTTACTGGACTCGTGTTCTAAAAAGGTCAGGGACATATTTGAGGCGGCAGGTTGGAGGTGGTCGCCGAATGGGCTACGACAGGCGCAATACAAGCCTTCTTCATCATCAGACCTGTCTATCTGTCCATTTTCCGTCACTTCAACTAATTGATATTCACCAACCCTAATGAAAAAAAAATATATAATTAAAATTATACAAATATTTTTTCAATAACAGTTTTGAAATTTGCTCATCATCACAACTTCATTTCAATCTGGCTGTTTTAAAATTGTAAACAGGAAAATCATGGTGAGATTAACTGACAAGGAAAATCAAAGCTTGTTTTTGACAAATAAATAGGACACTTGGAGCATGTCCGAGGGGCTATTAATTATACCTCCAGTGACGCGAGAACGCTTCGCAGCTGGCCCGTGGCTGGTACTTGCAGGCACTGCCGGCGCCGTTGGGCAAGTCGAGGTCATTCGAGCTGTCTCTGTCAAATGAGCCACACAGACCAGACGTGCGACCCATGTCGGTGGCAAAGACGTGGACGTTGACAAAAGACAGATACGGTCCGATCACCACTGTCGTGCCACTCGGGAAGACCAGCTAAAACAATGAGATCAGTTTAACTGTGTCGCTGATGACGTTTGTGCGCAGATTATTATTTTTTAATTGCGTTTCAGAAATGTCAAAATGGCAAAGTCAAACAAACACAAAAGCTATTAAATTTTTCACCTTGTAAGATCGACCCTCGTTCTGCTGAATGATGGTAATGTCCTGAAGGGTGTCGTCCGAGTTTGTCGACTCACTCCACACCTGAAGGTAGCCCTTTTTGCAATAGTCGGCCACAAATGCCGAATACTTGGCTTGCACTCTGACAGCGCAATTGCACATTTTGCGATAGTGGCACGGCTGGTAGTCGACGTGCACCTCGTGCAAATTATTTTTATACAGTAAAAAGTTGCCGCGCAATTCGTGCGAGTACACCAGACCGTCGAAAGTGTGGATCATAGACGAGGACACGCACTTTTCGCTCACGTCAACCCCCAAAACATGCACCTGCGGGAAAATATTGATTTAAAAAAATTTCTTTTTAATTCTGGTCTTGCCTGTTGTTTTGGCATTGTGTATTCGGCCCAGTCTTTGTGTTCCACGGTGTGAGTTCTCAGTTCGATTTCCAACTCCTGATTTCCGTGGTAGAGGTTGTCAAATCTGACCCTGAAAGGTATCCCGTGAGTTTCGTTCCAGTCCTCCTTGCAGACGTTCCACAAACAGTCTGTGACTCCCAACTAATATTTAACCAATAAATTCATTATTTGAAATATAATAAACCAAAATTATACTATGAATTTTGAGTTGGCTTTTCCTTGTTGGGTTTTTTTGAATTTTTTATTGTCTGATAAAAAAAAAACAATATCCAGCTTTGATAAATATGAAGCAATTGACTACTCAAAAATTCCACTGCCGGCTTCAAATTAAAATATCAACCCTAGAGGTTTTCTAAAAAAAATGCTTACTCTATCCAAAGGTTCTCCTGTGGGGCAGAAATAAGTTTTCTCAGGGTAGACAACGCTGACTTGCAACTGAATGCAGCAGTTGTCCCTGATGCAGCCCACGGGCAAGGTTGATGTAAATTCCAATTCAACTGGATCCCCCCCTAGAGACAAAAGAAAAGTTTTTTTATTTGTTTTTTACTGACCAAAAAGTTTGAAAATAAGATAAATTAGAATTTCCTTCTTTCACGGATGAAATTTTTTCATTCATATTTTTTATTTCACAAATCGAAAGTTGCTACGGTATTTAACCAGTGGCATTGCTGATTATCTCGTCAAGGATTAAGAGTGCACGATAATTTCAAATGAAAGCAGGTGGTCAAAATGTCCAGAACTTTTTGCACCAACCTTCGATGAGTTGCATCGGGTTCGGAGAGAGGATTTTAATGCCCGCAAAGAATTCGTCGCTCAGCACCTGAGGCGTGAAGGTGTTTATCGAAATGTGACGCACCCTGGCGCGGCACTGCAACTGTAAATCACACACAAAAACGCAGTTCAACACAAAAGACCCAGTGACTTATTTTTAATTTTAATATATAACAATGCAAAGTCTAAAAAATTATTCTACTTACACCAAAAAAGGTAAAAAATCCTCGGCGTGACTAATTCAAATTTTCTGCATTGAGCAGATTAATTCAACATTCAACATTGAGAGAGAGCATTTTATTTCTTACCGTTTGTCCGAGTTTCCACGATTTTCTGGGGATGACCGCGTACTGCTGCTCAGCTGGCATGTACTTTTGTTGGTGAACGACAATTCCTCTGTCCAGCCAGTCCACTTCAACGACGACCGTCTCCAAAGCTTTTACTTGCTCGATCTCCGCCTGGCACCTTATTTCAATGCCGTTTGCTTTGTTCAGGTCCACGGAAATCTTCACATCAACCAACTGGACCAAAACTAAAACACGAAATTTATTTGAGGGAAAAAAACTTGAAAGTATTTCAAAAAATTTACCATGGTGCTCTGTATGAAATTATTTAACGATTCTTTTTTATAGAAAAATGAATGCAAATTTATTTTTATTCGGCTAAAAATGTCCCTAATTTATTCAGATATCAATCAATTTATTTTATTTATTGTAAATAATTTTTTACGTTCCATAAATAAATTTTCAATTTATTGTGCAATAATGCTTCAATAAAAACCGCAATTCGTCAAAATTTATCCATATTTTCCTTTTGTTCGAGAACCTTGTGGAGTGTGCCATCGTCTGGCTGCATTTTCATACGCTTTTGTGTTTAAATAAGTAACCTAATTTCAAGCCCACTGCACACTCACAAGAGAACTAGGAAACACGCGGACAAAAAAGCCGGAGTCTCTTCTCCGCTTCGTCATGATAATTGAAGGCACGCATCATCGATTTTACGCAATAAAACCGTGTTACACTTGCAGCGGCCAAAAAAAAGAAGAGCAGCGGCGCATTGTTTTATTTTCGCGGTGACCGATTTGAATGAATTCTTCTCCGTATAAACAAATAAATTGGAAAACCACATGCTGCGATGGGTGGTTTGCACATTTTTGTGGCAATTACTCACCGTGTCTTTTCAACACTGACCGAAGTTATTTATTTTTAATAATGAGATTTTGTCGGTTTTGTACACATTCGGGGTAAAAAAGTAGTTGCACTCATTCATACTCCTTATTAGACTGACACGGATAATTTGAAAATAAACGAGACCGAGATAACAAGACCAGTTGGCGGTCGAGGTTGAAACTGCGTTTATCAAAAAACGAATATATTTATTTAAAATTTGTACAAGATCTAATTTGAATAAATAATTATGGAGACAGTTCATGAAAAATTAAAAAAATTAATAATTAACAATTAAACTTTGATGTAATAATTTAATAAATTTCTTTAATTGTTTATGTAATTGAAATAAAATATTATGAAATCATAGGGAGTAAAAAGAGATTGTTTTCGAAAAAATTCAGAAAAATTTAGAAACTTACACTGGCAAGGGGTGAATCCTGTGTCCGATTCGAGGCCTAACGGACAAGGGACCATGTGTCCAGCGCAGTAGGCCATGTCACAGGCGGGCGTCGGCTGCAAAAAGTAGACCACGAAGTCGGTGCAGTTCTTGAGCAGAATAGGCATTGTGTGGCCACAACAATCCTCGTCCACGTGCACGCAGCCCTGACTATTTATAATTCCTTCCTCGATTTTCGGCATCTCTCCTGGAAAGTAAAAGCAAACCGTTGGAAATTTAGAAAACTTCCTCTACGATTGGAATAATATTCGGCGTTTCACTGATGATTGGTTCGAACCACAAAATCATTCAATCAAATTTCTATCAATCAGTGAGCGGCAACTTTTCCTTTTTTGTGGGAATAGAGCAAAAACAAATTTTTTTTCGATTTTAATATGTGAGAAAATTCATTCTCGTCGGCACAATATTAGTCGGATTTCGACGCCCACGGCTGTCATTGTTCCATTATTTGCGTTCGTATTTATGAAAAATGGCATTTGGCGGTTGGGCACACATGAAATGCAGCCGACAATCGAGCGCAAGAAATGGTGTGTGGCTAATGCAGCCTCTCATCTATCTCGCGCGCGCACCGCATGCAGTAACGAGGAAAAAGGCGCCGTTACTTCCTTTTTTTACTTGCTTTGTGGGCAGTTAAGGAGCTTTTGTGTAAATTGGCCAGCTCTGTGTGTGTGTTTCAGCTTTTCCGCCTCAGTTAGCATTTGGATTTGTGTGCTACGTAAAAATGCAAACGATCCCAGATGGACATATTTGCGTGATTGAGGGGACCGTGGTCGATTTTTTTTAATATTAATTAAAAAAAACCAATATCAGCTTTAAATAACACCAAGAAACAAATTCCTTAAGAAATAGGCTTTTTATACAAAATAAGATTCTGTATAAAAAAAAAACAATATTCAAACATTGTTTGCTAAAACTTATAAATATTATTTTGATTCTAAAAATAAAAATTATAGTAAACAGTAAAATTATCTTCTTTTTCCTTTTTTTAACTTATTTATAAATTGTTCTGGATTTAAAAATAGATTGAAAATGATTCAATTTCTAATTATTAAAAAATAATATAAATTGTAAACAAAAAAATAAATTAAAATTTACAGTCGAAACAATTATTGTTCATGTTATAAAATTTTTTTTATACTATTGTAATAATTTTTTGTATTTTATTAATTAAAAATTACCTCTGAGCCAAATTGGGTATTTTGTGCCGCAGTGGTTGACGGCGGGGCATCCAGTGGGAATAGTAGTGCCTGCAAGACTCTGAAATTGATACCAGCCGGGGTCCAGATCCTGATCGCAAAGGGCGCCGTGCTCTTCGTCGATGGGCTGGTTGAAACTTCGAAGGGTCTCATCTCGGAGAACTACATGGTTGTCCGGGTGACAGGGGTCCGTTCCACTACTACTGTAAAAATTCAGAAATTGAGAAAAACAAGGCTCTTTTCGACCACTTTGGAAACAATATATGATTCGGCAAATTTAGAGCGGCCTTGTCTTACTTTCGAATTTCATTCTAATTCAGTTGCCGCAGATCGTGAGATTGTGTTCTCTAGAAATAAATGGGCACCGCCATAAACATAAAAGCATTTGAGTAATTATTTCACTAATGCACCGTGACCGCCGTAGATTTTTACGAGGTGTTTAATTGTGCATTGCGCTGCACTTAAAATATCTTAAATTAAACTCTACAAAGATTTGCTGCTACTGAAAGAGCTATAAAATAATTGCAAAACGTGAAGAACTGAAGAATCAATGAAATTTCATCGCTTTCTTTCTCACCTGCTCGAAATCGAACTTTTCTATTCTAATCATCACACGATGATCTTGTACGCAAAAAGGTGAGCAGTCAAATCGACCTATAAAGCACGCCACGGCTGATAAAATTTTGAGCCACGTAAATGTTGTGGGAAAATCACGATCTCGATCGGCAATGATTTGTTCAAACTCATCTTCTTATTATTTTTCGCTCGCGCATTGCTCAATACTAAAGGAGCCGCGATACATAAAATATTGCAGATGGTTTCAAAATATATGTGTTTGTTTGCGAAGAGAGCATTATTGATTGAGTAATAATTTTTTAGTGATTTTGCATCACAATTTAAAATTATGGAACTCATGAACAAACGTGTGACATAATGATCGAATAAAATTTGCAAAAGATATAGAAAGAAAATGATTTTCCATGCAGATAAACTTATGAAATTGATATTTAAAAAAAATTTTAACCCAAAAAAAGTAATAAAAATTTTAAGAAATCTTTTCAGTTTCATTTAAGAATATTTTAATTACAATTTTAGTTCACAAAAATTAAAATTGACCTTTTAAGAAAGGATATTTTTAAAACTCTTTTTCGTCTTATATAAACTGACCTTGACTTTTTGAACTGAAGAGTGGCCGGGGTGCTGATGGGCATGACTATTGCGAGGCCGCCTCCAGCCGGTTGGAGCACCTCCACTTCCTCAACGGGCCGGTGGTTCTTGGGGATTACGGGGGCCGTTGTCGTTGAGGTGAGGTTCTCGGGGGCGGCTGCCACCCCTAGCAGAAGGCAGATCGCTGCAACCACCGACAGCAGCATCGCGTTTGGCACAACTGGAGTAAAGAGAAGAATCTTCGGAGGCATCGCCAGGAGCCTGCCCCACCGCTGCCGCCCCCACCTTATCGTCCATCACCTGCGGAGCGAAGAAAGAGTTTCTTCGGGCGATTGTGCTCTTCTTGGTATTCAATTGATTTTTTTAGGCGTGGTTGTTTTGAGAATCAATTTTCTTATGAACTCGAGAGATAAACTTGTATTTGACTGATAACCTTTTCAACTGAAGATGAGCGGGAGCACAAAAGATCAAAAACCTAAAATTCAATAAGAGTATGCCATGATGTAAAGAAATCTTTTATGGAGTGAGAATTTTTCCGTGTTTGTATAGAGAAAAACTGGAAAAAAAGAGAAAGTGATAAATTTGCATAATTTTATATAAAATATAAATGTTATTTTTTATTTTAATTTTCATTTGTATAAATTATATGCTCAGGTATTCTATTCTAATGTACTCTATTCTAATTTTAGTAGAAATCAAACCAGATATTTTTTTCTCCTTAAATAATTGGCAAAAGCACGGAGAAGAGAAAGGACGACAATTAAGCTTAAGGTTAATTTGTTTCGTCAGCAGGCAAATCGTTGACAAATAAAAGCAGTGACTTCTCCTTCACTTTCATTAGTGTGACGGACGACATCTCTTATTATTAAAATCAATGGCAGAAAATGACAAATCGACACGGATCACAGTGAATCCGTCGGTCCAAGTAAAAAACAGCAGAGCGGCTCTTAAATGAAACTGTTGAGGAATAACAGAAGTGAAACCGTCATTGTCTTTTAAAGTTAGCTTAAAACTTTTGCTTCGGCTACTGAAATTTCCTCAATTAAAAAACTGTTTAAAAAATATGTTAATTATTATTTTATATTTCCTATTATCAAAAAATCGCTGTCATTCGTATTTGTAATTATTATATTGTTGTCCACCTGTTACAAATACATTATTAAATTTACATTCAATGTAAAATGAAAAATGAAATTATTTAGATATATTTGAATGTAATTATTTTTTATCTGTTAATCTTTAGTATAATCATTCACATTACATTATTAAAATTTAATTGCGTTACTGTAAGTGTGGCGTGCAAGTTCTTCTTATTTGAAAAAGCAGTTGGGCTAAAAAACTACATAAGGAAAATGATACGAGTTCAATTAATTAATCAGCGTCAACGGCCAGATGGCATTTTGGTTCTCGGTCGTATATAATTAAGTAGTACAGAGTTATGAATTTGTATTTAGAAAAAAACCCAGCAAGGCAATGTGTTAATTTAATACGCGATTAGCACTTTTGCCGCGAGCACAAGTACTGCAGCGAGTGTGGATTCGGTTGCGGTGGCTGCTGTTTTTTCTCGCGACTGAGCTGCAAGGGTGATAAGGCGCCGAGCAAGCGAGGGACTTATCGGCGTGACCAGCCACAGGAAACGCGCCGTTCCTGGACGGGCTGCCGATGATCAGTCAGAAAATGCTGACACTCTCGCTGTGACCACCGCACGACGCGAGACGCACTTACCCTCTACAGAGCAGCTTCGACATCCAACCCCACACAATATGGCAGGTGAGTGTCTTATAAAAAAATTGACATGTTCGAAATTTGCTCAAGTACATTTTCATCAATTGGGCATCAATTTAATTTTTTTTTACTTTTTTTGTCATATATTGGGAGATAATTCACATTATAAGGGATTTGTTGGCACTAACTGTTTTGCATATGAATATCCCCCATTATTTATTTTTATGAACAAATAATATGACCTAGACAAAATAATTAAAGTAAATAAATAAATATTACCGGCGTTTTCCTTTAACGTTCTGCACTTTTTTTGGAATGAATTTAATACTTTATTAGTATATTTTATTTTAAATACGTCTTTCTTTTTTAATATTCCCTCAATTGAACCAACTAGATCCATAAAAGAAGTACAATTAGATGTTTGCTAATTATATTAAAAAAATTGGGAGATGTTTTATATGTTTTTAAATTACCTGTATATTATGAAAAGCTTGTTTAGAAATCGCAATTTTTGTAAAAGGTGGATATCGAGGTGTTTTTTTTTTTTTTTTTTTTTTTATGATAAATTGGAAAGAGCATATCCTTGTTGTTCTTTTACTTTTAAAATTATTTAAACGAAATTGAGCACAGTTCCAATTTTTTTATAATATCCATAATAATTCCAGAAAATTGAAATTGTCCAAAATTTTAATGGAAAAGTGAAAAGTTATTAAAAGCTATTATAACTTAAAATAAGACGTTTGTGTTCTCAAGATTTCACATATCATATTTTTTGCAGCTTGGAAAAACTTAATGCTTTCATAAAAAATTTTCAATTGAAACTTTTTTGGCATTAAAGCCTAGGGTATGGTTATTTTGCATAAATTTTATTTGTTATCAAAGTCATTTATGGTTGCTCTATTTATAATTATATCAGTTTTTCAATAATTTACCAAAATATGTACGTCCCATATTTTCTCTAATAATCATTGAAATATGCAAGAGTAAATTTAATAACAATAAACTACTAACAATAAGATGTATTTTGCTTTTATCTATGATAAAAGTGAATCATTGTACATCCTTCTTGATATCCAACAAGGACAATTGTATAAACTCGCGGGATTTTCCTTTGCGCCCACGATCAACATTTTATCTTTCATTACTTTTCTGTTGAATATGTATTTAAAACGTGTCAATCACAATGTGGTTTGATTTTTTAATGCATGATATCGATTTTCAGGAGAGGATATGGACAAGTTTACAAGTATTTTCTTGTCCGGATTTTTGCCACCTGGTGAGGACGATTTCTTTGTGGCAGATTTACCACCTCCGCTGGATGAATTTTCCAGCCCCGACTACGGAGACAGTCTTTTTGACAGTTCAGACCCTTGTTGGAGCACAACGATGGTGGTTGACACTCAAAATGATTGGTCAAATTTTGGAGGTAATTTAATTATTTTTAAATTTTTTATTTTTATTTATAAGAGAGTTATACGTATATTGTACTTACTTCTCTTTAAATTAAAAAAATTTCACATGGTAAATTGAAAATAGTATCTGAAAAATAAATTCTCAAATTTTTCTTGTAAAGAATCAAAAATTTTAAATTTTCACACAGGATTATTTGGTGAAAGCTTTGCTGACACTTCTGCGACCAGTTCTCTTTCAATGCCTGAGCGAACACTTATGTGCACCGACGACTGCAATGACTATCTCTCCGAGCTCAACACCGCCCTGCAGCTAGTGCCCGCTTCAGACTCCCCGCTGATCGAGCAGCTTGACTCACCCTCGGTAGTGCTGGGGGTGAATCTTGAAGGGTGCATCGACCCACCGGAGGTAGAGAAGGAAGAAGACGAAGTCCCAATACGCAAAGCAATTGTCATCAAAACCAAGCAGAAAAGCGGCGACGAGCCAAGGACTTTTATTTGCCCCTACCCAAAGTGCGGCAAAATATACGCCAAGTCGTCGCACCTCAAATCGCATCTACGCCGACACACTGGAGAAAAGCCATTCAGGTAATGCTATTTTTTTCTGAGAGTCAGGCCAAGACAAAGTCTAATCGGCCTGTGCCCTTTTCTAGTGGTGCAGAAGGCACCACCTAAGTTATTATTTTTGGGTTCAACATTAAAAAAATTCCAAAAAATCCAATCTTTGTCAAATATCATTCTTTATTATAATTATAAAATTTTTGAGTTATCAATATTTTGAAAAATTTCTAGTGATTTTTTCATATTCTCCTAATTCTTTAGCCACTATGCAGACGTACCTGCATTGGCAGACGTACCTGCTTTGGCAGACGTACCTGCATTGTTGTTTTTAGGCACTTTTCGGTTTCCAGGAACTTGCTTAGCTCTGCTGGAGTTAGACGATTTTGAAGGAGAATCTTTCTGTTTGTTAGCCACCTGCTGCTTGGGATCGGTGCTAGAAGAAATTGCTGACTGCGTTTTCGCTTGATTTCCCGTACCACTAGAAGCTGTTTTTGACTGATCCTTGCTTCCAGCAGGTTTATTAGCGCCAGTAGGCCAGGTTTTAGCGTCAGACGACTTTGCTCCATTCTTATCAATCTGTGGCTTGCCTAGAGAGGAGAGAACTGCTTGTTTTGCTTGATTTTCTGCACCACTAGAGGATTTGTTTGGCTGATCCTTTGCCCTAGCAGGCTTACTACCGTCAGTTGGCAATGGTTTAGCATCAGAATTCCCTCCATTTGTATCGACCTGTGGATTACCAAGAACTTCTGGATTTGCTTGATTTCCTTTACCACCAGAAGACTTTTTTGACTGATCTTTTGTTCTAGCAGGCTTACTACCGTCAGCAGACAGTGGCTTAGCATCAGAATTCGCTCCATTTGTATCTCCCTGTGGATTACCAACTTCTGGGTTTGCTTGGTTTCCTGTACCGCCACTAGAAGACTTTTTTGATTGATCCTTCATTCTAGAAGGCTTACTTCCGTCAGCTTGCAATGGTTTAGCATCAGAATTCCCTCCGTTCGTATCTCCTTGTGGATTACCAACTTCTGGATTTGCTTGGTTTCCTGTACCGCCACTTGAAGACTTTTTTGATTGATCCTTCATTCTAGAAGGCTTACTTCCGTCAGCTGGCAACAATTTAGCATCAGAATTCCCTCCGTTCGTAGCTCCCTGTGGATTACCAACTTCTGGATTTGCTTGGTTTCCTGTACCACTGGAAGAAGGTTTCGGCTGGTCCTTTGCTCCAGGCTGCTTATAAGTGTCAATATGCAAAGGTTTCATTTCACCGTTTGATTTTCCATCAGAAGGTTTCTTTGCCGCTGTATCTGTATCTGTCTTGCCTGCAGGAGGAGGCGGAGCATCTGCAGTTTTTAAAACAGCAATCTTGTCAGTAGAGCCAGGGTCAGGTTTCGTAGCAGAAACTTCCTTTGGCTCGGTGTTGACCTTCTCCTCTGTTTTTAATTTCACACTGGTTTCACCTCCAGCAGTTGCTTTCTTTGCATTTGCGTCTTCAGGTTTGTCCTTAGCGGATAAAACTGTTTTATCTGCATTTTTTTCTTGTGCAGCCAACTTAGCCTTTGAGGCGTCATTGCTTGCGATCGGATCAATAGGAGCTCCTGATGGTGAGGCGAGTTGCAGCGGTTTCGTGTCTGATTTAATGTCTTTGGTTATGACTGCCGCCCGCTCTGGCACCTTTTCTTTATCCGAATCTATCTTTTTTTGTGCTGTTGGTTGAACAGCATTTGCGCCATCTGCTGTCTTGCTTGAGTCACTGGGGATTGGAATATTTGTCTTGGGTGGTGTTCCATCTTGTACTGTTCCGGCTGGTTGCATATTTGCCAAGATATTTTTATAATTATCAGGTAAACCAGGCGGTAGATTCATCGACCCTAAGATAGATTTATCCGGGCCAGATACAGATTGCATTCCCATTAAGGCTGCTGCGTCTGGTATCACTAATCCAGTTTTCATTGCCGTATCAAAGGCTGCTTTATCCACTCCATTACTGCTAATTTGATAGCCAGTTGGAATACTTGGAATAGCCTGTGGTGACATTTCTGGAATTCGTTTAGGATTAGGAATTTACTTAAGATCTGCAGGGGCTAAAAATTTTCAGGATTTCTCTGTGTTCTGTTGGGATTTAATCGATTTTATTTAAAGTACCTTTAGTTTGTTCGACAACTTTTGGAACTGACATCCGCGTTTGCAAATTTGTCGACTCGACTGGAGCAGCGCGAGCGTTAAATGTTATTGCCAAAAAGGCAATGCCGATGGAAAAAATAACCTAAAAATTTTTCATAGTCAATTTTACAAACAAGACATTTAAGTTAATAGCTTATATTATAAAATTTTAACATTCATTTTCAAATTTTTTGTCGAAAATTCATTCTACCTTAATCATGGTCTTCAGTTGTTCAGAGTAGAACCCAAACTGATGAAATAGTTTTTGGTTTTTTAATTTTATGCTACTTTGCGTTAGATATTGCGTTTGCGAACGTTTAACATCCTGTTTGGAATCTGCACCAGATTCGTCCTTGGAAAGTCACGTCAAACGATTTCCAGGACTTCAATTTGCGTCGTCATCATTTTTTGAAAATAATTTTTCTTTTTCATATCGTTCTACCAACGACTCATTAAAATTGAAAAACGGAAATAATAACTGATGAACTAGAAATCGAGTATCCTTGGAAACCAAAACATCCGTTCAGATGATTTTGCTGTTGCAAAATAAAATTTTCAATATTCGTTCGAAATGAAAAATTGAAAAATTTACCAACTTTTGAAATATTTAAAATAATTTATATTGATATCTCTCTAAACTAGGATTTATGAAAAAATGTTTTTTAAATTATTTTCTCTAATATAATTTTTAAATTACAAAAAAAATTATTTTCTAAAATTCAGTATCAGGATCAAATATTATAAAAAAAAAAATTGCAGCAATTTTTTTATCAATTTTATTATAAATATCATTCCTGGTGTGTAAATAATCCTCAGCGAACATTGGAGAAATTGGTTCATTTCAATGTTGGATAATTTAAAATAAATAATAAATTGGTAATAATTATTATACAAATATTGTGTCGATGATATTTTTAGTGGGTAAAATTTCCTTGAAATAAAAGTTTTCTAACTTTTACAGCTTTAAAATTATACTATCTCTAAAACAAATATTAAAAATTAGCTAAAAAAAAATTAAATTTTCCTCGCTTTTGTGTTTTTCGTTTTAGTTATTTTACTTATTTAGCTTGTGTAGAAAGTATTGCTGATATTTGATTTTATTTTGCAAAACAGGTGCACGTGGCCAAACTGCGCGTGGCGTTTCAGCCGTTCCGACGAGCTAGCGCGTCATCGGCGCTCCCACAACGGCCACAAGCCATACGAGTGTCTCCTGTGCGAAAAGCGTTTTGCCCGATCTGACCACCTGACCAAGCACATCAGGGTGCACCTGCGCCAGGGCTGCTTCTGCCTGGGCTGCGATCTGACCGCCTTGCAGAACGGAATCCGCACGCGGCTTCCCGCGCCTGTGGGAACGAGAAGGGGCCGGCCCCCGATCTACCATAGACTGCCTCAGTACTGCAATAATGCCGACTGCACTAACAAGTTCAGGGCCAGGGCCGCCCAGAAGTCGTGAACTTGTCACAACTTCAAATTTGAACCGAATGAGCAATTAATTTTTCCCTATTTTTAAGTGGACTCTTTAAGATTTTCTCTCCAAAGCAGCAGTTTTGGGCAGCTCTAAAACTTTTGACAATGAATTTTTGTTCCCGGTATTATTCAATTCTTAATATGTGTGCTTCGTCACTGGCTTTCTATTTGCGGCTATTATACCTTATTATATGCAGCATAAAAATCGGTTTCTTCCCATTTTGGAATTTAATCATTGGAATTTAAGGTCTAGGCAGCGTTTTATGTTCCAAGAGCAAGATGAAAACTAGCTTGCGTTGAAAATGCATGTATGAAAATAAAAACACTAATGAAAGACGAGTCGCCACTTTTTGATCTCAAGCTTTGATAAATCAATGTTTAATGCTAAATAGAGTGCCATTTTTCTTGTTTATGTGTTCTGAAATATGCACATTTTTGCTTTCGTTGTAAATAGGAATTAAGTATGAACCATTTAATAAATGCTGACAAAAACAACAAAAGTTTATTTTCAAGCATCTGAAATTTTTATTGCGTTCTGCAAAACAACATCGAAAAGCCTTCAAGGTTTATCCAGATGGATTATTGCTCTTGTTAACGTGTTTTTTGTTTGCTTGAGACTTGATATTTTTACCATTGGCGTTTTTTGTGTTTGAAGCTGAGTTCTTGACGTTGGCTGCTTTTTGCTTTTTGTTTAATTTTACCGTTTGAGGCGCAGAAGCTTTGACAGTATCACCGGCAGGCCCAACACCTGAAGGAACACCGCTACCAGCGCTACCTCCGCCGACAACAGCGTCAGAAGGAGATCCATTTGTACCTGTTGGATCTTGGTTGCTTGGGAGGTTGTCCCAGGGAGCGCCACCTGAACCTCCCATTGGAGGAGGTGGAGGTCGAGGTCCTCTTTGTCTGCGCTGACCTTGTCGTTGACCCTCGCCGCTTCCACTGTTGCTTCCACCGCCGCTTCCACCGCCGTCGCTGCCACCACCTGGTTGGTCACCTGGTCCGGAAAATCCTGATTCCTCGTCAGTTCCAGCGCCAGCAGTATCACCTCCAGCTCCTCCGGGAGGCCCTTGTTGAACATTGGCGGCGTGTCCTCTCTTTTTCTGTTTATTAGGTGCTGCGGCTGCATTGGCGAGCAGAGCGCAAACGACCAGTAAAAGCTAGCCAAAAGAATATTGATACATACTGAGAAATCTTTACGTACTTGAAATATTTCTAGTTAATTTTTCGTTCATAATGTTTATGGGTTTTAATATTATTCAAAAAATTAATAAATTTAAATTCCCTTTTTTTATTCATGCTGAATTAAATTTTTTATTACATTATGTATAATAAAATGAAAGAAAAGCTAGTAGTTGCGGACCTAGTATATCCAGATTTAATTCAAGTGGACAAATGTTACACTTTTAGTTTATTTTCAAATGAAATTTATTCTTGATCTACCCACATTTCGTTATCAGAAATATAGATTAACATAAAAAGTTAATAAATCTTATAAAAGTGAGAGGAAAAAACTAATTCTATGGATGGAAATTAATCAATGCATTGAGAAAGCTTTAAAAATTAAAGGGGAATAAATTTTTTTTCTAGGATATGAAAAAAATGGAAAAATTTGAAAATTATTTAATTTTAAAACTATGAATAAAATTAACTCTGAGCAGCGCTTGGAAATGATTTATATTTTTGAAGTTTTAAAAAACGACTTTATAAGCTAATTATTAAATAGTTTTTACAATTATGTGATTGAAAAATATTTTACAACCACTAATGCTAATAACTCACTGTGGACTTCAGCTTCATCATTGTCAGGCTGCAATTCACGCTCGATTCGTGAAGTAGAGTGGCCCTTATATATACTTTACCCCAGCGGATGGTTCGCCAAACTTCCTGTCCACTGCAAAAGTTGGTGCAATTTCCTTCATATTGATTGCTATCCGCAGCTGGGAAAGCTAGGCGGGCCAATGAAAAAGCCTTGCACTTCCTGAATAACAACGTAGTTAATTCAACAGAAGTTGTGCACGATTGTTTGAATCGGTTTGAATAACGTCAAAAATAATTAATACAAATTGAAAATACTTAAATTCACAGTGTTAAAATCAAGCTCCAGCATATTAGACTCTGCTTTGTGAAATAGATTTTCAAACACAAATTAGGGAAAGCAAAATATTTCAAAAAAATTTGTAATCGTCCATTATTTCTTTTGCAACTAGAAAAAAATATTATTTCATTAAAGTTTTGAATTCATTTTGACGTTTTTTCGTCCTTCTATTTATAAGGAATAGATAGATCAAATTGGTTTTTGAAATCAAGTTTTCAATTAGAAAATTGAACTTCTAAATTTTTCCAAACTAATTTACTAAACATTTTCAGCATATAGAACTACTTGTAAATTATTCTTTTTTGTAATTTAATTTATTCTACTTTTAGGTAGCAAAATAAAATATATCCAACGCCTTATGCAAATAAATTTATTTGTTTTATGATGTGTTTATTAATTTTCATCCAAAAATTAAACATATGTCCCTCTATTATTGTTTTTTATTTGTCCACATTGTTACAAATACTTACATTCAATTTTTGAAAAACAATTATTTAAGAAAAAGAGATTGTTGGACAAAAAGGCATCATCACTAGCAAAAATTTTGCTAAAACTTCCGAGATCAAAAAGACCTCTCATCATCTACATTTTTCCAATGATTTCACCTGCGTTAAAGTTTCTCAATTTTTGAACTCGCAAAACATTTGCACGCGCAGGCCATTCACGTGGCGTTCGTTTCAGCCGCTTCCAACAAGAGTTTCCATCGCGCTTGTGCGTCAGAGCCAAACGAAGGCCACAAACACAAACCACACGTACTTGTGTGCCTGCTGCGAAAACTACAGTTTTCGATGGGTGCTTTTAAAAGAGTTTTTCCCAAAATGTAGAATATAAACAACAATAAATGTTCAAGAAATACTATAGCCAAAATACATAAATGAACCTGAAATCTGATACTTATGTGTGCTTTAGTACATTCAAATATTGGTTTTTATATAATATTGACAAAAATGGCCATGATATAGAATGATAAATTGGATTTTATTTATTTTATCTATAGCCTGGTATTATTTCAAATTATATATATTGTAAAGAAAGTTTAATAATTTTTTTATTTTTGGCTATTCCCAAGTTTTCCTATGTTATTTTGCTTTTTAATAAATTGGAAAAATTCGCTCTTCGAAAAATAGAGCAACCCTGATGTTCGTCAGCGGATGTTTCAAAACATCCTGCGCACTCCAAACTTTGTGGAAATTTTCATTTGCATTGATATGTGTTTGTGTCTATGGCGCAGTTGTGAATATGTGACGGCCGATGAAAAGCCTTGCATTGACTGAATAAAAAACATTTTTATTTGAAATTTTTAAAGCTGATAGACGTAAAAGATATTAAAATTTTTCAAATAATGCAATTCCTTGTCATAAATCTCGACAAAATGTTTGATATGGTTTACCATAGACTTAATATTTTATTAAATTAAAAATTAAATGTTTGCATTTGAAAAAAGATAATTCCTGAAAATCAGAAAACATAATAATTTTTAATTCAAAAAAGAAAATAATGCCCAAAGAACTACTTTGCACTTTCAGGGGTTGAATGCAATACAGCCTTTTTGAATTAAGAATGTCAGGGGAGTGTTTCCTTTCTTAGATTAAAATAATAATTTTTAATCTCTTACTCGTTGAGTGTTAAAATCAATAATTTGAAGAAAGGGCCGCAAAAACAGTTTTTACTTCTTTTCTATCTGCTCCAGTCTTTGTTTGTCTGGGGGATGGATACTGATTACGACTTCCCCTCCCCTGAGAAACCAAACTCGAACTAAACACAAGAGCTCCTTCTTTCCCTTCATTCATTTGAGCTCTGCGAGATGCTGCGTGCGCTAAGTGCCTTCGTCCTGCTTGTCTATTCTCTGGAAACCTCCAGGGCGGCAGGTAATTTGTCATTTTTTTTTTAAATATCACAGTCAAAGCACATCAGGCTGGATGATTGATTCGAGTTTAAAAATCTTTTCCTTCTCGATAGATGACTTTTGAAACTCTAAGCGAAAACACACCCAACACACTTTGGATTGTATTACATTTTGATTTCTGTTAACTTTCCCTGCTTCCGCGTGGGAAAACAGCCCACACGCATTTTCACCATTACAAATTGCAGACGTATTTGTTAATTCATTGAAACACGTTGATTTTTCCTTATTTAAAAAAAAAAAATGTCTAACCGGTAAATTATTCTAAAGTTCAATTGGAGCTTCTGTAAAATTATTTTCTTATTAACATTATATAATAATTTCCTTGAAGATATTGCAATAAAATGCCCATCTGTTTTCTGCACGCGTCCTCTCGAAATTTATCCTTGCACCTCTGTTAACCCTTGACGTCACCGCGCTTTCATTGCCTCCAATTTACCCAACGCAGACGGCGCGTTAATCTACATTAATTACGTCGAAGCAACAAAAGATGCTCTCGGCTAGATAATTCTAGACCAGAAGCATTATATGGAAACAAATTTATTTGCCAATTCATTCAATTTGTGTAGATTCGTTATTTTAAAAGCTTTTCCTTGTGTCTGAATTATTTCATTCATGTTTTCCTTGTTGGGTCTGTTATGCAAAAAAGTTTGTCAATATGTTTAAAATTTAACGAAAATTTCATGGTATTGCTGAGATAAAAGGAAAAGTCCTTGTCAGGTGTTTAGTTGAAATTTGCGGAAGCTTTTAATCATGAATTTTTTAAATGTTCTTAATTCTAAACCATATAACAGTAATGCTTATGTTTAGGTTTTCAATTAGTATTTCAAAACAATTAACCTTACTTTTAATTAATGTTTAGTTAAACAAAGCAGAAATCAAAAATCAAACTGCCTCTTTTATTTTTAATATCTTGAGTAAAAGTATGTCTTATTTTAGTTATTTAAATTAATTTTTCAAAAATATTCTGAGACATTCACTAGAGATATCTTCCCCGGCTAGATATACTTATAAAGTGATTAGCCCAGGAAGTCATTTCTAGTGAATGTCCCCCATTATTATTTGATTAATTTTAATTATATTTTTCAAGATTTTGCCAAATTTTAATTTTAATTAAAAATTTTTAATTTATTTTAACTTTGAAAATTCAAATAAATACATTTGCCCCGCAAGGTTTGAGGACAGTTCAGAAACTTGTGTTACGGGAGGTTTGCTTGCAGTACCGCAAGACGCTGTGTTTTGTTTACAAAGAAAACAAAGCGTCCGTTCTTTTTCCCTCACTTTAAAGAAAATAAGAGATGCATCCTTGTTTGCAGGTGGCTGTGCAGCTCTCATTTTATCTCATTTAAAAAGCTGACAAGGGTGCGTTTTTCTTATCGTGCCTATCAAAACAAAAACAAAAACGACTAACATCCTTTTCATATTTCACAAGAAAATATACACCAGGATGCATTTTAGACAAATCACGAAGAATTATTAAAATTGTCTTAATCATATTGTTTCGTTTATTATTATAGTTTTAATTCAGGTGCGCTGCAGTTAATTTTGTTATGCTTAAGCAATAAATCAATTCCTAATAAATTTAATTTTTTTTTCTGTATTGGTCAGTTGGGGATTTGGAGACCACGCTGAGGCACTGCTGCAATTTGGGCCGGCAGGAGTCACGTTGCTCCAACATCGTGGCGCCGAAGGATGTCCCGCAGGAGCACCTCAGCATGTGCCTGACGGCCATTGAGATTTGCTGCGTCGAGGCAGACAGGTAGGAATTTTCAACATTTAAATCACTCTAAAGTAATTTTATTCAAAGGAATAAAAAATAAATACACACTCCTCTTTAATGCAAATTTCCGCGGTCTTCAAATCTTCACTTTTATGTTTGTCAAAGTCAAACAACTGATACTAGCACTAAAGGATGTTTTATGTTTCTAGATACACAGCTACAATATTTTGAAAAAATTTAAATTTTTCTTTGAGAAAAAAAGCTCTGCTATCATACATGTATGAAAAATTCCACTGAGGCTCAAAATTCCAAATTTTTAAACAAATCTTAGAAAGTATTTAACGCATACTTTTTTTCTACTTGAACTCTCAAGACGTCTCACAAATAAAATTCTTGATGGAATTCACGCCGGCCGACAAATTTGCGTTTGCGAAAGAAAAATAAACGACAAATTGGCTTGTATCGTTCGACATATTGTTTGCGCCTAAGTTGAAGTCAAAGGGAGCGTTTGAGTAGCACCACACCGGTTTTTGCAAATTGCCCATTCGAGAAGCGCCAACTGCGAACCGCTGGTCCACACCTAACTTATCAGCTGCAAGTGAGAAATTTAAGCTTTTCAATCTCAAACAACAAGCATGAGATTTAACTGATTTTGTTGTCAATCATGCAGGTGTATTTTCTTCTGTTGTCGACTGTCGCCAATCGTAATCCAAATGAGCAACATGTTTGGAGTGCGGTTTTCAGAGGAACCTAGCAAAAATATTAATTATTAAGATGCTTTTTTTAAATCTATTGTACATTCTTTTCAATTAAAAATTTAATAATATTAAAAAAAATGAAGTGTTTTTAATTATATGATAATTTAACACTGCGAAGAAAATAAATGGCATAAATTTCTTTGTATTTTCTATTGTTAAGAAAAAAATTTCCACGCCTTTAGCGTTTTATTATTATTATTATTAAATCAATCAATATTGTAAAGAAAAATTAGAAGAATAAAAAAATCGCATTTTAAGCAGCGCAGATGAAATTATGAATTATAATTTACGTCATATGAGGTTTGAAGGGCAAGAAATGTATTCATGCAAGCAGGAGTGATCTGTCCTTTGATTTCTGAAGGAATTTCAAACGTAGAGAAATCTGAAAATTAATTACCCGAAGTTTAAAATTATCTAGTTTTAATTTCAAACATTTCAATCTTACTACTTGCGGCCAGGAACAGCATTTGTCGCGTTTTCTAAATTTTCAAATTTTCATTTCGATGAAATGCGATATTTATTTTTTCACGTTTATTTCACATGAGTAGTCCACCGGACAAGCGGACTGCGATAGCATGGGCGGAAACAAAAATGGGGTCTCCTGAAAATGGGTGAAACGTGCTGAAATAATTTCAAAACAACACATATTTTTTTGTACGAACGACATTGGCCGATTTTTCCACGCGATCCCTGAGCAAGTTAATCATTTCTGATGCCTTTTCTCTGCCACACTTGAGCAAACTTCCCGCTCTCTCGCACGGCTCAAAGTTTTCTAGAAAAGTAAAAAAATCGACTTAAAGCCTATTAGTTGTAAAATAAATTCTTACTAGTCAAATTTAAGCAAAAGTTAACAGCGTAGTACATATCCTTCAATTTAGTTTCATTTCCTTGAGATAATTCAAAGAGTATACTGAAGATAGCTTCCTCGACCAGTTTTCCATTTTCAAACTTTTACGTCCGCTTATTATTAAAAAAAAAAAAAAATATTTCCAATGATTTGAATTCTAACCACTCCAGATTCCTCTGCAAAGCACCAAATAAAGCAATTTTCCTTTTGATTGAGTGGCCCAACCTCAAGAGTCCTTCGAACGTCGGCTATAGGAAATGAAATAAATAAAATTTATTTTAGAAAATTTTATTCCTAACGCATTGCTAGTCCATATAAAGTAGCACAATCCTGTCTTGATTCAGCTCCTAACGAAGGTGTTGGCAAACGGCCCTGGGTTTTAAATTAATTTAATGACATTTAATTATAAACATTTAACCAACTTCGCAGATGTATCGAAATTTAGAATCGCACGAATCTTTGCTAAGTGCCACGTTTGCATCCAAGGATACGCAATTTGGAGATTTTCCAGAGACATTCATCTGTGTAGAAGACCACCTATATTTTACAATTTTGATAAAATTATGCAGCTCCATACATTGCAAACGAATTAAAAAAATTTCACCAACCTGGCCTCTGCACCGAGTAGCTTATTTGTAGTGCAAAAAGCAAAATTGCCTTCACATTCCATATCGGTGCCGGATGTCCAAAACTTACCACTTGTCACATTCGCACCTTAATCGCATCCAGTTATTTTGTTAATAAATAGATTTTTTTTTTGTCAATTAACCTGTTAGTGCTTTTTTGACACTCTCGTACAAATAGCTTTGTTGGAGACTAATCTGCTTGAGTCCTATTGAGCAGCAAGCGGCGGCCGCCTCTTGATACTAAATCATTTTGTAAAAATTGATAATCCTTTTTTTCGATAAAATAATATTTTCGAATTACAGTCCGTAAATCACTTTCATTGCTGACCATGTAAGTTCTGGAACCCACATTGGTCCAAATTCCGTGTTTTGCTGGTTCTGTATTTTAATTTTTGATGGAATACAATTATTTTGAAATCGATGATTTACAAAAATTAGTTACCACTCAAGTACATAGTTGCATCATCCAACATTGCTTTAAAATAGGTTGGCTGTACAAAATAAAATTATTTCTTTAGAACGTTTAGGGATTTATAATTAACCAACATCTTTTGAACAGTTGGCTCTTGGGCAAATTGGTGTTGCACATTTAATGTTAGGCTTTGGAGTTGTTGAACCCTGAAATTAATTTGCAATCATAATATTTTACAGTACATAAAATATATTGATAATTATATTTAAAAAAAAAAAAAGTATTTGTTGGATTTAAAACTAAACTTTCCTACCTGGCAAGCAAAAGCTTTCAACATTGTGCACTCTTTTGTCAGCAATAAAGCTTGATTTGCCACAGTCGAGATCTCCATTTGCAGGCAACTTTCAGTTCCGTTGGCTTTACTTTTATCAAGCCAAAGTTCGGATGAAATCTCCTGGTTGTTGCTGCACCAGCGGAAAGTTTTGTCCATGGTGCTTTTCTGGCTAAAAAGCCAATAGTATTTGTTGTATTTCCAACTACCACCTTAAGAATCGAAAATTAAAACTTGTTAATAATTAAAATGTAGCTATATAAGTTACTTTGGATATATTTATTAAAGCATTCCAGTTCGTCTTTGTTTTCGAATGCAATCGGCTTCATTCCGAGGCTGCAGCACTTGTTTACGTTTTCCTCCCAGTTCACCTAATGTAATTTTCAAATTAATTATGTAAAGAAATATTAGAATAGAGGTGAAGTAGCTAACCAACGATTTTCCAAATACAAACAGTTTGCCACAAGTGGTGACCCAAAATCCATGATATGACGAATCTTAATATTGAATGAGTATAAAAAAACTTCCTAGAGCTGAATTTTTTGTATACCTTGAACAGTCCCGTCAGAATTAAACAATGAACTCTGAAAAAATTAACAAAATTTTTTGAAATACTTTGAAAAAAATTAGTTTTGTAAGAAATACATCTTTGTTGCATGAAGGTTGGCATACCGCAGGAAGCTTTTGATGGAGTAAGTAAATTTAAAAAAAAAAAATTAATTGGGTGTTGATTTTGAATTTATAGTAGAAATTACAGTTGAAACAACTGTTGAGGTACTTGTAGGGTTGATCATTATTGGATTTGTGCCTATAGGAAGCTCAGGAGAAGCCTGCTTAATATGTTTCTCTGAATTGAAATTATTATTATTATTATTTTTTTTTTTTTTACTGAATTTTGTGTGTTTTCTGAAACTGGAGGTGGTTCCATAGTTGTAGAATCTACACTCTCATCTTTTTGAGTTGATGCCTCGGCATCAGGTGAAGTGTCTTTAAATATTTATAAATATATAGTTTAAAATTGCAAACTCTACAATCGTTGATTTAATTTTTACCTCCTGGTAGTTCCCCTTCAGAAACGATTGCAGCCGTAGTTTCACCACCCTCAGCCTCATTTGGTGATGCGTTTTCATGTGTCGGATTTTCAATCATTGTATCTTTAGTACTACTTTCATCTTCCTTCAATAAGACACATTAATAAAAAAAAGTTTAAGATTGAATTTTAAAGTAATAATATTCAAACTTCGTCAATCATTGTTGTTGATAAGTGCCTGATTGTAGACCTCATAGAAACGTTTTTTCTTCCTGAAGGAATTGTACATGACGAAGTTCCGCAGCACTTAATTACCATGTTTCGACTTTTCGATAAACGCTTAAGGCCTCTTTTTCTTGCATTTACTTTATAACATCATATTTTATCAACATATTCAAACATTTAAATTACGTATTATATATACTTCTTTTCTTATGTCTGTTGCACAGAAACTCGTCCTTTTTATGCAAAAATAAATTAAAATTTAACAAGTAATTTGTAGAAAAATTATCGTACACACAAGAGTAGCAGCAACAGAAGAAATAAGAAGTGCCTTGCCAAAATCATCGTGTCAGCGCAGTTGATTCTGAATGAAATTTTTATCTCAAATACAACATGCCTTCATGGTGTGTGTAACTTGACTGCGTCAGGCGCTAGATTGATTTATTGGTAAAAAACGATTGAGTGGAAAAGCCGAGTCGCTGTTTTGACATTCTCTCATTTGGCACGTATGCAGCTTCCTGCCTGTAGTTAAATAACAATAAAAACATAAAACCCATAAATATGCCCAATTTTACCTGAAATAATTCATGAATCCCTTAATCAGCAAAAATAACTTTCCATAATTTATTTTATAGTAATAATTGAATATATTTTAAACTATTAATATCTTTCAGAGCAAAAGAGTGCAGTTTAGGTCAGGAAGACGCCAAGGCCAAACAGGACTGCATCATTTTACCAGGAACGACCGGCAGATATCGAAGGGTAAATATTTTTCTGCCACACATATTTATTTGAAAATAGGTCGCAATATTTCAAAATGTCTCTAATTAAAATTCGACCCATTTTTATTTCTAACTTATTTTTAGGATTGCTGCAGTGCGTGCAAATTAGGGATGATCGTTTCATCCATGGGGATGACATGTGCAAGTCAGGAGTTCCTCTTTGGATCGCCGTGGAACGTGGCTTACATGACCTGCTGCTCAGGGATTCCTTATACTGGCAGGGCAGTGCACGAGCCTCCTCGAAGTCCATTACTTTCGAATGTCGGTGGAAATTTTCCCACTCAAAACCATTTGGATGACAGCGAAGAGGCTGATGGAAAGTTATTTTTTTAATAAAAAAGGATTTAAATAAAATATAATTAATTTGATAAACTAATAGATCTCTGTGACCAATTTCCTGGCCAACTTTGCCAAGATATCTGCATTCCGACCGAAGGCTCTTATGTTTGCGCCTGCAAAACAGGTTTTACTTTGGACGCAGATGGAAAATCGTGCACAATTTTGCCTCAAAACGACAGGTTTTTTAAAAGAAAATTATTAATAAACGGAAAAAATAGTCTTTTTGTTCTAAATAGGTGTCGGTCAAACAACCCTTGCAGCCAGAAATGCGTTGATACGGGCGTTTCAATTGCGTGCTCTTGCCTTCCTGGTTACGTGCTTGCCCCTGATAAGAAAAATTGCCAAGGTAAATTCCAAAAATGTCCTCAATCATTTTAAGTATTAATTTTGGTTTTAAAATGATCAATTTAAATATTTAATAGGTGGTTAATTAATTTTTTAAGCCACTGAAATAATATGAAGAGCCAAACTAATTTTGAATCTCTGCAAAAATTAGTAATATTAATATGTATATTTTGTTTTTAATTTAATTTAGATATAAATGAGTGCACCTCGGAAGACAACGTTTGCAAACTTGCGGGAATGCAGTGTCGCAACGAAGTAGGCTCATTCGTATGCCTCACTCCCGACGGCTCGGTTATGCAACCGGGAACGCTGCAGAGTCAAGCGGGTCACGGTATGCCAATTAAGCAGGCTCTTTAGCTCTCCTTTTTAAATAATTTTTATTCACTCCCGACTAGACGAGCACATCAAAGAAAGCGTCACTCAGACCTCAGTAGACAATGAGGCCACTACCAAGTGTCCCCCTGGCTATGTCGTCAACCAGACAACTCACTACTGTGATGGTTATAAAATTATTTTTTTAAATGGTTTGTTAAATGCTTAAAATATTTCTCTTTTCAGATTTAAATGAATGTGTGTTGAGTAAAAATATCTGCGGTCTAAATACTACTTGCGTCAACACTGTCGGCTCTTACTTTTGCGAAGATGCACCGCCAGAGGTCGTTTGCAGTCCTGGCCTCAGGTTCAACAGCGAAAGTGGAAAGTGTGAAGGTAGTTTTTTTTAATAATCTTCCTATTACATTATTTACCCATAGTTGGATTTATTCTGGGTTTATTAATAAAATTGGAAGAAAAAAAAATTAACCCAGGATGTATGTAATGATAAAATTAATGAAAAGTGGCGTTTCGTAGATGTGGATGAATGCTTAGAAGAGCTGGATAACTGCAGAGAAAAAAATGAAAAGTGTCTGAACACAATGGGCAGCTACATTTGCCACAGACCCGCATCCAGACGTTGCCCAGCTGGTTTCAAATATGACATTTCTTTGAGACAGTGCTTAGGTTTGTACTGATAAATACAAATCTTTATTTTTTAATTCTCGTGTTCAAAGACGTGGACGAGTGCTCTGAAAAAATTGACAGCTGCAATAGGGAACAGGAGCAGTGTGTGAACACAAATGGTGCCTTTGAGTGCATCACAGATCAGAGGCCATTCACTGCGTGGACACCAGTGACGCCAACCCCTCGTCAAACAATTGTGACTTCGCCTTCTGTGCCGGTTTATTCAGTTCCGGCTCAAAATTGCCAGCAGGGATTTCAGTTCGATGTCAATTTAAGAAGATGTATAGGTAAAATCTTTTATTAAATAATATTTTAACCCGAAAATTAATAATTCAACATTTCCTCAGACATTGACGAATGCTCCGAGAGGAATGCGCCTGTTTGCGATGGAGCTCAAGATTGCGTTAACAGTCCTGGCAGTTATACTTGTGTGTGCAAAAGAGGATTCCAGCAAGACCCCAGTACTTTGGCCTGTGTTGGTAAATATATTTTGAGTTTTTTTATGACCTTTTACATGATTTTGTTTTTAACTAGATATTAACGAATGTCAGCTTGACACACACGACTGCACGGTGGGCCAAAGGTGTGACAACACCATCGGGTCTTACAAGTGTTTCAGGCTGACGAGCTGCGGCACAGGCTACACCTTGAACGCCAATACTGGATCCTGCGAAGGTGATAATACATATTTGTTTGAATTATGTTAATTTAAGTTAAATTTCGTTTAGATGATAATGAGTGTTTGCTGAGAACTGACAACTGTGCCGAGCTTGGACCTCGTTACCAGTGCAGAAACACAGTTGGTTCGTTCAGGTGTGTGCCTAAAATTTGTGAAGGCAAGAAAATTCTTAGCGCCAGTGGCCAATGCGTAGACCAGGCCTGTCCGTCAGGTTTTGAACCTAGCCTTCTTGGAAAATGCGTTGGTAAAATAAGTTAAAATTTCATTTCCCGTAATTTATTTGAAAAATTCAAATAGACATTGACGAGTGCAGACAAAATGCATGCCGTGAAAACGAAAAATGCATCAACACCCAAGGGTCTTACTACTGCACCCGCAAATTGGACTGCGGACCCGGTTTTGAGATGAACGAACACGGCAATCAATGTTTGGGTATGTCTTCAAATGAATTGTATACATTTCTTTTGTTTTACGGGATTGTTTAAAGATATCGATGAATGCGCCAAGGGCACCCATCAGTGCGCGTCAGGTCAGCAGTGTTTCAACAGACAAGGTTCTTATGCATGCCAATGTCCCCCCGGCTATCAGATAAACCAATTCACCAAACAGTGCGTTGATATCGACGAATGCACATCTTTAAGAGGAAACTTTCAGGTACCCACAAAATTTTTAGAAATTATCGTTTTGAAACAAAAGTATTTCTAGCTTTGTTCTGCGAATTCCATTTGCCAAAACACGCCAGGGGCATACAGGTGTAACTGCAAAGAAGGTTTCCGCCATGAAAACGATGATTACAAAGTTTGTCACGGTGAGTGGAAATAATTATTTTCACAATTTAGTGAAATTAAATTTATTTACTAGACATCAATGAGTGTGACAGCGGCCCTGGTTTGTGTCAGCACACTTGTTTGAACAACTGGGGTTCCTTCCGTTGCGCCTGCAACCCAGGTTTTACTTTACAGTCGGACGGAAGGTTAAATTTTTACTGTTTAAAAATTGTGAGTTTAATAATAACTGTCAAAAAAGGTCATGCTTCGATATTGACGAATGCTCCGAGTTTAAAGACAGAAATCTCTGCGTCGGAATTTGTCAAAACACGCCTGGCAGCTACAAATGCCGCTGCCCTGAAGGTTATAAGTTGGGCTCTGATGAACGAACTTGCATTGGTATGTTTTTTGCATTTATATTGCTCAACTTAAATTTGTGTATTTAATAATTTTTTTTATTAATTAAAGACATTGACGAGTGTTCGGCCAATTCGGGTGTTTGCCGTTCAGACCAAGTGTGTCTGAACACAAGAGGGTCATACCAGTGCAACAATGTATACTGCCCTCCAAACTACTCAAGAGAAACGGATCACAAAAAGTGAGTGATTTATTTTTTCCTTATAAGTATATTTCCTCTCTCTCAAAACTGTTCATGGATGGAAGTTGTTTATTCTTAAACCTCTTATTTGATTATTTTACCATTTTAATCATATTTGTATGACTTATCGTTTTTAATTAAAAATATTACGAAGAATTGATTTTCAAGTCAGCTTTTCCTTGTTGCACATTATGAGTCATCAATTAAAAAAATAGCACCAAGAGGAAAAATATATTCTGCATTATAATTGAAAATAAAAAATGTTGAGAAAAAGCAAAAGAGGTAAAAGAAAAATATCAATCAACAGGGACAAAATAATATGAAGAAAAATTGTATGCATTTTAAAATTGTTTTTATTTTTTAATTGAAATATCAGAAATCTTTAGGTCGTCAAAATTTCATATCATAATATGTAATGCATTAATTATATTTACATATTTATTTCTTTTTAAAGCCGGTGCAAGAAAAATTCCTTTTACTGCCGAGATGGCGATGCTGAATGCATGAAGGAGCCTCAAACAATATCAAACAACTATATGACTTTCGTTTCCAACATTGGAATTCCATCTATCGGCTACCTCGACCTGTTCACAATGCGGGGCCCCATGTGGCAGAGCACGGCCGTGCGCTTTGACCTGCAGCTGGCCAACGCCAGGGCACCCCAGCACGTACCCACCGTTACCAAAGACTTTTTTAGAATCCGCAGACAAAGTCACAATCAAGTAATAAATTGTTTTTTTTTATTTCCCGAGAAGATAAATTAATAAAAAAAAATCCCGCAGGCAATTATTTCGATGGTGAGGAGCATTAAAGGACCACAGCAAATCGAATTGCACTTGACCATGGATATTTTGCACAATGGCGTGTTTAGTGGGACAGTGTTGGCCAAACTGTTCATTGTGGTCTCTGAACATGAATTCTAAAGAATTAGATTTTATTCCATCTAAAAATAATAATATTAATCTTGAAATTCGTACACATGTTGTGTTTAATAAAATTTTCTAATCTAATCTAATCTTGAAATTAAAAGAAAAGTTTTCACAATAAAAAAATTCATTTTTTACTTTAAAAGAACAACCTTTTTCACAAATATTTATCAATCATACTTGTTAGTGCAAGTCAGCTACAAAAAACTAATTACTTCACATTTTCCAGCATTTAAAAATTATTATTTTAATTGTATTGCTCAATTATTTTTAGTTTGTAAAATTTCACGATCGAATGTAGATTTATTATGTTTGAATTGAAACTCGACTTTTCCTCCTTGGGTTTTATGAGTCTTAAAAGTTTCTTAAGGTTTCACGATATCGAGAAAAAGCCTTCCTGCCCTGGATGTTAAGGCTGTGAGCTGCATCCTTAATTTATTAAATTATATATTTTGAAAATATTAAATATAATAATTAATTTAATGAAATTTCTAACAAATAACCAATTATGATAGGAACATCATTATATCTTTCATGATTAAAATCATCATGGATTAAATGTGAAAAACACTATTAAATTAATGAAGAAAATTTATAAGCGCGGATTTTCAAGATTGGTATTGTGCTAATATAAATATACCATTTATTATACAAATAATCTTGGAAATTTAAAAAAAAAAAACGCCGCTTTTTTATAACGTCATGAGCAAGAGCATTTACTTTATAAAAATAATACTTTTTCATGTGTTTTGAAGCCAATGGCCAAAAGAAAGCCAAATAGAACATAAAATAATTTAAAATTTATTTTATTCAATCTGGCTTGGGTTTCCCTTAAATCGTGATTTAAGACTGAGTCATGGCATGCAATTATCACACTTCTATTGTGTTAGCTATCAGAGGCATACAAAATAAATGAAAAGTACACATAAAAAACTTCCTTGTTGACGCCGCAAGAAAATCTTTTCGGTCAGTCGAGAAGAGCCAACAAGAATGGCCCGAGTGGTTCTCCTCTTTCTCGTTACTGCAGCCTTTGCCGCAGGTATATTAAATTAAATTAAATTCTATAACTCTTAAAATTTTACGTAAAACATTAGGTCAGCCTGGTTTTCCTAATTGTGTGACCGAGTTGAGCACAAATATCAGTTGCGATAGTTCCAATTCCAACCAATGTTACTGCGTCTCAATCAAGAAAAATATTAGACTGGAATGCGTCAATGAAAAACTTGAAGTTTTTAATACTGCTTGTAAGTTTAATTTTGAAGAATTTTGTTAAATTGTTAATTTTGTTTTAATAAATTAATAATACTTAGGTGGCATACCACACTGCCCCCACGAGATTTCACCATCTTGTAACAAAGAAGCTTACTTTAATGTAAAAACCTGCAATGAATGCCCAGAGGAGTCAAAGTTTAGACTCGAACAGCGAATGAAGAACAAGTCTTTGCAGACGAAAATCAATCAGCAGTCCCTGAGTGATACTCGGGAAGCAACCGCGGTGTTCAAGATTGACTGGTTCTGGATGGCGACAGCCTTTGTGGCTCAGGCTCTTATCCTGTTCATCCTGGTTGCCAAGCTTGCTAAGAAAGAGTTGGCTTTAAAAAAATCTGACAAGGGTGGAAAAAATCGTGACGACCCAATTTATCAAGAGCTGAATCTTCAGCATGACGCTGCTCCAGTAGCCATGTCCAAGACATTTTTTGAAAACGTCAAAAGCATGCCAGCAAATTCTGAATATCTCTCTTTGCATGGAAATGCTTAAATATAAATTATATTCATATTATAATTGACCAATTTGTATTTTCGTTATAATTAGTGATGCAAATATTTCAGAAATAAATTACATCAAAATAAGCTTATATGTATAAGCCTTGTAAATGAAAAGCTATTTGATGAAAAATAAATAATCAAATAATTTGGCGCTTTGTGTGAAATTTAAAAATGTGCTTTTTATATAATTCCCTCTATGAATAGTAATGATAATGAAAAATTCAAAATCGCACTGATCTGTTTTGATTCCAAAAACTGATTATGTTATGATTGTTTATTTCTACATTTAATTTATCATACATCATAAATAATTAATTGTCATTAAAAACGTGTGATGGAAGGCTGCGATATGGGCAGCTAATTAAAATATTAATTTTTTTTTTTGCATAAGCTCCAGATTCCAGATAATCCACCTTTTTAGGATAAAGGCCTCAAATCACAATATATGGTGCATATGCATAATTATTTTAAAATTTTTATTCTCTCCATGTCTCTATATGCATACAATTAGCAACAAGGAAGTAAAATTCCATTATATCAGAATCGACCGTACACAAATACAGAAAACCCCATTTTTGTGGTTGCACGTATATTTAAAATATAAAAAACAAAGTAATTAAAATGTTTTTTAATGATTATCTGTGGCTACACCATTCGAAATTTCCGCATTAAATTTACTCTCTGGATTTGTTGAAATACTAAGTCTAGTCTAGGTGACTAATTCTTTATCTCAAAACAATTTACTGCGCAATAAAATTTAAAAATTTAACATGTATTTTAAAAATACAAAACTGAAATGAAGTTACAAATTTGAATTTTCTCTTTTTCTTCTGATTACACGATCAATGAAAAATATTACGTATTGGAAATCGGTTTCGCAGAATTTTCCTTCCATGAAAAATCTGGAAATATCGCATAACGCATAACCAAAATATAATAAGAAAATTATCTTAACAACTAAAAAGAGCCTGTAAATATTCCAAAAATACATTCTTGTACATGTTTCATAAAATTTCTATGATTCCGTTCTTTGTAGGAAGAAACAGTCATAAAACAGTAGGTCTTCTTCCATCATATATAAAATAACGACTAACGACAGCAATTAAAACATAAAGTAAACCATATATTTTTTCATTGAAACAAATCAAATTAGATTGCGGAAGTTTTCAAAATTCTTTAATAAATTAGAGACCATAAACAAAATAATATATGTTTTAATGACACAGAAAAATCGCATTTTGCTATAAACCTTTCAAAGTCAAATCAAATTTCTGAGTCTACTGTTGTGATAATATTGTATATTTAGATCACAAAGATTTAAAGCTAAAATAATGCCATATTAATCTAAACATCAAATCAAACGTTTTCAAAAAATTTTTATGATGAATAGGTTATTAAGGAAGGACTCCTTATTGACAAATAGTCAAATCAAGTCTTTACAACAATGGTGATTAAAATTTCCAATTGTCTTTCAACAATCGCAAAAATCTGTTTATATTGTTGTAAGGACTTGATTTGACTATGTTAATAAGAAGTCCTTAAATATTATTTTATCTTTCTGTAAAACATATTATTTGTAAAAAAAAATAGTTTCGAACATGCCTCCATATCATGGAATTTCCTGGTTTGTTGGTTGAAAATCCCTACAAAAATCAACCTTTTTGTTATTTTTATCATTTTTATTCCACCACACAAAAACTTGAAAAAGATTTGATTCGTGGAATCTAATGCACACAGAAGTGGAAAGTGGGGTACGGTATTAATTTCCTTGTAGAAACAAATTACTCATAAAAACGGTGAGCTGCCTTCACTGCACTGTTGACCACGAAGATGGCACCGTTCCCTTGGGCCGTCCTGACCTGGTTTGCTACCCAAATGGCTTTGACTCTGGGTATGGATATTTTCTGTTTAAATTTATTCTTCTATTGTTTAATTCCTAATCGTACCAGGAATGGCTGAGTTGGAATCGTGTTTGGCCACACCTGGGCTTGCATGCCCAGTTTTCACGGGCATTGCGAAACGTTGCTTACCGGATATGGACAATTGTCCAAAATTTACATGTCATTGCGAGTCGACAAATGAAACCCTCGATGCTAATTTCTTCCTTCTCCATGGAACCTGCAATTACGAGTTTTTTGATGGCTCTAGTATGTTGCACTATATTTTTATTCGCTACTGGCCTTAATAAAAATTTGAAATTGCTTGCTATAGCTGGAGAATTGCTGTGCCCTGCAAAGGTAATTCCACTTATTCCTGAGAATCCGGAGCCGAACTGTCCGCAGAAATTTATTTCTCAGTCCCAGGTACCTTTTTAATTAAAAAAAGTTATTTAATTTATTTAACTTGCATTATAAAAAAGGAACAGGTTGCTGAGCAACAAACAACTGCTGCTGTTGTTGCCTCTGTCGCCTCGGTTTTTGATACCATTCTGATTGGAATTGCAATCATCCTCCTTCTCACCACGCGTTCAGACAAGTTCCAGACTGAGGGTACTAAGCCAACAGGCGGACCTGCAGATATGGAACCTCTTTGTAAAATGGAAAAAATTGATATCGAGAAGATCCAAAACGTCTATCAAGTGACAAGCGTTGGTCCTGAAGTTCCCCCACCTAACAAGGACAACAATAATGGTCTCTATGAAGTTCCGATAAAGAATGACGCATAAGCCATTTAATAGCCTTATTGGCTACACAATATTATTTAATGACATTTAAACAATTTTGCTTTGCTCATGACCTGTATTTGAAATTTTTCAACCATAAAAGAAAAATATTCATCATTATAATTATTTTAACCAAAATATCGCAAAATATAAAAATTTGTATTGTAAAAATAAATTTTATAAATGCTTTTGCTAACTTTCTTGATATTTTATTAAGATTATTAAAATTGTATTTCTCTGTATTAATATTATTTCAACTATGAGTTAATTTTTTTATGAGCACCAGAAATGTTTTGGAAAGTTGAAATCATTTTAAAACTCTAATCAACTTAAATTGTTACTGTATCGAATAAAAACAAATTATATTCTCTCATTGGTCAAATAGAATAATTTTTTATTTCCTAACCACAGGAGGTTAATCACTTAAAATTTCCCACGTCATTTTAAACTCTTCAGAGTTCCAGACTGAAGTTTCCGGAAGTTTCAATCACTAGTTTCAATTTCAATTCAAGAACAGATAACACAATCATAATGCATGTTTGCACGCTGCTTTGCCGCTGCAGTGCAGACTCTGTAATTTGATTGGCCGAGAGGAAACTACTTTCGCGTTCTGATTGGCGCACAGCTGCGCAGTCGCATTCGTATCAAAATACAGTCCGACAGCTGAAAAAAGAAAATGTCAAGCAAAGAAGAATCTTCTGCAACTTTTCTTGCGGAATTCAATTAAGATCGACGCCGAATAAGTTTGAAAAATGGGCAACCAGTTGGTGGGCATCGCCCCCTCGCAGATTTTCCCCGTCGAACACTACCTGACCGAGTTAAATGACGTGCAGTTCGACGTCAAGTGAGTGATATTTTATGTCGCATGATATTTAAAATAACATAATTTATTGTCATTGAATTTTAGTTTGGGCAGTACGCGGTTTCTCAAGGTGGCCCGAGCAAAGTCCCAGGAAGGTCTGGTCGTGGTCAAGGTCTTTGCCATCCACGATCCGACCCTGCCTCTGGCCACGTACAAGACCAAACTGGAGGACATCAGAAGTAAACTGGCCCTTTCTGTCAATTGTCTCCCTTTTCAAAAAATCATGGTACACGTATAATATTTTTTTTTTATAAAACAAAAATAGCTTAATACTTTGAAATTTTAATTTCTCGACTGCTTAGCTCTCTGAAAAATCGGGGCTGATGTTCAGAGAATACGTCAAGTGCAGTTTGTACGACCGGATCAGTACCAGGCCCTTTTTGTGCCAAATTGAGAAAAAATGGATTGCGTTCCAAGTCATCTACGCTGTGCACCAATGCCACAAGCTGGGGGTGAGGATTAAATTCAGGAGATAAATTTTTCAACTTATATCTTGTCCCTCGAAAGGTTTGTCATGGTGACATCAAGTTGGAGAATATCATGATTACAAGTTGGAACTGGGTCTTGCTGACTGACTTTGCTCCCTTCAAACCAACCTATCTGCCAGAAGACAATCCAGCAGACTTTTCTTACTTCTTCGACACTTCCCGCAGACGAACCTGTTACATTGCACCCGAGCGGTATTTAATTTAATAAATTAGGAAAGAAATAGGATTAAAATCTCTATTTAGTTTCATCAAAACCCTTTCCTCTGAGGTGGGCAGCCAATTAATCCTGCCTGAGGAGAATCTGAAACGAGGTGACCTGGTGCCCTCGATGGACATTTTCTCTATGGGATGTGCCCTGACGGAGCTTTTTTCCGAAGGGCAACCTCCATTTGACTTTTCTCAGTTGTTGGCCTACAGAAGTGGAGAGTACAGTCCGTCAAAGCTTATTGAAAAGCTGGAAGATGAGGATATTAGAGTAAGAAAAGCAACTTGAATTTGAGCATATATAAAATGTTATAATTTTATTGATCTAGGGTTTGCTTCGGACCATGATGGAGAAAGATCCAAACCAAAGGCTGTCGGCTGAAGTGATTCTTTCTCAGCAGAGGGACAAACTTTTCCCTGAATACTTCTACAGCTTCCTCCAGTCCTACATGCTAATGTTCTCTACTGCTCCAATCCTTTCACCAGACGAGAAGATCTCAAGGTTTGTTGCAATCAAAAAGAGTTGAGTAAAATTTAATTGCTTCCTATGTTATCCTTCAGACTGACCAAGGACATTAAGAATGTGATCAAACTCCTAAAGGAAAATGAAGGCGGGTCAGACGGATTGGTCATCATCACCTCCCTGGTCACTTCGTGTGTTCGAGGCTTGCACCACTGCTCCTCAAAACTGCAGTCACTTGAAATTCTGATGGACCTTGCAGAAAGTGTCTCATCTGAAACCATTCTTGACAGAATCATTCCATTTATTGTAATTTTATATTATTCACTTTATCCTTGTCAGACAGGAGACCAGTCGAGACCATTGGTCTCAGCTGGTCTGCGACAATGGACTGAATTTTAATCATTTATTTATTTTAGTTTTGTTTGGTCGAGGACAATGAGCCTAGAGTTAGGGTTGCTGCCATCAACACCCTTGCAAACTGCCTCAGCGCTGTTACTCAAGTTCCTTGCAGTGATGCTAACGTATTCCCTGAATACATTCTTCCGAATTTGTCAAATGTAATTGTAAATTTAGTTGCAAATTGTGTTTATTGATCTATCACAAAGGCAATTGCTGCCCATAACGGGATACATCATTCATCCATTTATTCATTTGAAAATCTTTAATATTGTATTTTTAGATTTATCAAGACGAGTCGGTGTTAGTTAGAGCGGCCTATGCAGCTAGAATTTCTGAATTGGCAGAAACAGCTTTGAGGTAGATTTATTTTATTGAAAACATTGTTTTTATTAAATCATAAAAATTCAAAAGGTTTTTGGAGCAAAGTCAGCAACATCCAGTGGCAACTATGGCTGAGGGAAACAGACCTAGTTATGAAACAGAGTTGAACACTTTGACTGAAATGATTCAACATACCGTAGAGCGCCTGTTGAAGGACCCTGATAACCTTGTCCGACAAACCTTGCTGGAAAACGGAATCACAAGACTTTGCGTCTTTTTTGGCAAACAAAGAGGTACAGATAAAATTTTAACCTTTCAAGCTTTTTAAACACTTATTTTTCTACGCAGCCCATGATATTTTGCTCTCTCACATGGTCACTTTCCTCAATGAGAGGGAAGATAAGCACTTGCGTGGCGCCTTCTTCGACAGCATAGTTGGAGTCGCTTCTTACGTAGGTTGGCACGGGACAACTGCTCTCTTACCATTACTCCAACAGGTTGATAACCTAAATAATTTGATATTCAATTTTCTCACATTTTGAATTTTAGGGCTTGACTGATCCTGAGGAGTTTGTGATGGTGAAGGCTGTTGACGCTGTGACATCATTAACCGAGTTGGGCCTAATTTCAAAACTAAACTTGTATGACATGTTGCACGACATGGTCAGTTACCTTGTCCACCCCAGCCTGTGGATCAGACAGGTGGGTGAAAGTTGAAATAAATAGCCATTCTTCAACGGAAATTGATTTATAAATTTCAGTGTGTTGTCGGATACATTAGTGCTGTTGCTCGCAAGTTAGATTTGATTGACGTCCATTGCAAAGTCCAATTACTGATAAAGCCCTACCTGAGCAACAGTCTTATTCAAGTAGATAAAGAGGTAGGTGTGAGTTTTTTTTAACAGATGATTTTGTTTAAAGGATGCTTTTCAGCACTTGCTGCTAAGCGCTTTGAAGCCACCGATTCCAAGAATAGTCTATGATAGCGTCATCAGGTGCAATGACATTGCTCTTTTCTTTCAAACTCTAAGAGAACGGAAGATGAATAGGGAGAAGTTAAAGGCAGGACATATGCCTTCTCTTCAAGAGACCCAGAAACAACCTTTATCAACCGTAATTTAAAAAATTATATTACTAGGTAATAACCCTTCCCACTTTTTTAGCTTTTCAGAAGACTTGTTTCAGAGGGCATGACTGATTCAGTAGAGGAGTTCCTGTTGATCATGGCAGATCATTTGACTAAAATCAATCAAAGAAAGAGCAACTTGGATGGCAAGACAACACCAAAACAATATTCCGATGGCAAAGTAAGAAAGGAAAACTTAAAATTTGTTACTATCAAAAGTTTTAATCTCTGTTTTGAAGGTCAATCTTGCAGCTCTCAACATCCAGAAAAATTCCATGAGCTTATTTCACGCAAACAAAGGAGATCCTCAGAAGGCTCGGGGTAAAAAGTTAGACCTTCAGTATCTGCCTTCAAGTGAAGACTGGCGGCCAATGTACAGCTCTGAGCCACAAAATATATCGGTCAAAATGACAGAGTCGGCTAGTGTGTATGTACACATAACACGATTATTCGTACAAATTTTTATTTCCAAATAATTGATAGATCACCATCCAGTAACCATTCGGGAGGAACCTTGGCCTCGCCTCTGATGGACAGTGCAGTTCATTTGGTTTCTTCGCAAAAAGAAATCGAGCACAGTATTCAAGAAAAGTCGTTCATTCAATGTAGGTTAATTTTAATTTGGCATTGCTCAATTAATATTTTGTGCTCTTTTGTAGATCGTTGCGCTCCTTGTAAGTCGGAATTGCGAGAGTTGCTCGCTAGAAAGCAAGAGCAATTTGTCGAGGCGTGCAAAGGCATGGGTGTTGCTGAGTGGTGCATGGAACAGCCCCTAGCCTGGGAACTTCGGAACATTCCACCGCCTGGGTGGAGACTTCGAGGCCTTCTTGTGGCCCATCTCCATGAACACACAAGCTCTGTTAATAGGTTAGTAAATTTGTAAAAAAAAAACACATTGAAATAAAATATGGAATTTTAAAGAGTTGTGACAGTTCCCGAGTCCACCTGCTTTGCAAGTTGTTCTTCCGACGGCTGGCTGAGGCTGTGGGACTGCGCCAAGATGGAGGGCAAGAATGTTGCAAACAAGTCTGTCCAAACCTACCATCAGCTCGGAGGACCTCTCGTAGGTCTCGCCTCTTGTGAGGGGAATCTTTCCCTGGCCAGCGCTTCACAAAATGGCTCAGTTTTTATTGCAAGGCAAGTTTAACCTGTTTTTTCCCCAAATTCTTACCCAAAAATGATCCCTGGAACCCCTTTTTAATTTTAATCATCCTTGTTTTATTAATTCATTACCTTTAGTTTCAACTCATGTTATTTGAATCTCCATTAAAATATAATATTTCCACATTTAGAATGGGTCTTGGAAGCAGCAAAATGATTGTAACTCAGTCAAGACAGCTGGACCTAAACGAAGAAGGCTGTGCCGTCGATGTCAATTATTACGACTCTGGTTCTCAATCAGTCATTGTCTACGCAACAATGTATGGCTCTATAATCGGCTGGGACTTGCGGAGCCCTAACATTGCTTGGAAATTAGACAATGACCTCAAACATGGTAAGGACATTTGTGATAAGTTTTGACGGATTTATAAAAGCTTTTGCAATTGCTAGGCGTCATAACATCCTTTTGTGTGGACTCAAGACACAGTTGGCTCACTCTGGGTACAAGCAGTGGTTACCACATTTGCTGGGATTTGAGATTCCAACTGCCTCTCTCCACAGTGCCCCATCCAAATGGTAAATATTTACTGAAATCTGTGAAATTTATATTGATCGAGCTGGATAGGTGCCAGAGTACGCAGACTTGCCAAACACCCAACTGAATCTTCATGGGTTTTGTCTGCCGTTCAAGGCAACAATGAAATTTCCATGTGGAATATGGAGACCGGATTCAGACAGGTCGTGCTGTGGGCCAGTCACACCCCTCCTCTGTCTCAGACTCAGGTGAAATAACTTTTTAATAAATTTCAAATTGGCAAATTTTGTGGGAAAGAAAATATTTATAAAAGTTCTGTTTAATAAATTTAAAATATTTATTTAATATACTTGAAATTTCAGATGTCGCCTCACTCTGTCTGCGGAATGTACACTGGATTAGCTGACAGAGGTGCACCATTCCTGCTGGCCGGTGGATCGGACATGCGAGTCCGATTCTGGGATTTGGAAGCACCCTCTGACTCTTTCATTCCCATAACTGCTGCCAATGAACATATTCCCCAAGGCGGTGTTTCTTACAAGTAACTGATTTATTAATATATTTTCAAGTGTAAATATTTAGTATTTTTAAATTAGATCAAGACCTATTGATGGAACAAACGTAGTGCAAGAAGTGATCTCGAAGCACATTTCTCGCAATGCAGTTGGCACTCGAGTGGTCGGCTCTGAAGCAGACGCTCCTCGGCCGGGACCAGAACAGCCTGCGTCCGGACACCACGACTGGATCAGTGACATTACAATGTGCCAGGCGTCGCAACACTTTATGGTTACAGGCTCCAGAGATGGAGTAATCAAAGTTTGGAAGTGAAAAAGGGTAACATGTGATAATTAGGAAAGAACAAATTAATTTTAATAATTTTTAAAGGACCAAAATTGTTATTTCGTATTAATAGTTGGATTTTTATGATGCCTCGGTTGGATTTGATTGAGAGATCACTTTATTATTAATACACTAAGTATGCGGAAAAAAGCGAATTTTATTTTGCAATTCAAGTCTAGGGTTAACGAACGGGGAATTTTCCGTCTCAGGGGACAAAGGATGGGGAATCTTGGAGGAATGTGCATGTGGCGCAGAGCCAAAAAAGTGAATTCAAGGGCGTGGGAAGTAAGTGGCTCGAATGCAAAACTTATTTAGTTGGTTTCGCATGCAAAACTGAGGTAAAAGTTTAAATTAACACATGCAAAGTTTGAACCTTTGTCCTCTGGGGGAGAGTTTACTTGTTTGCGGAATTCATTTCCAACAACAAACAACTTCTTGCTCTCTCTCTCTACGGTTTTAGGATCTTTCTTTTCACACGTGTAAAAGAGATAGTGAATTTTGCACTTTGCAAACAGTTTGTCAAGTGTGCCTCTTTGTTGGCAAGAGAAGATGCTGTTGAATGAGTTATACGCAAAAACTTTAAATATTCAGTGAAAATCTTCTCTAGTTTCTGCACAAAAGTTTGTATTGTTTTGAGTGTTACAACTTTTGTACACAATCCAGCAGTTTACCCGTCTCGCGCGCATTTCATTACAAAGTTTTCTCGGCTGTGGCTCACTATTGAAGTTGGCAAGCTACGGATGTCGTTCGATGGAGATTGAAATAATTAAAATTAAAGAGCAGCAACTTTTAATAACATAGGGTGTCAAAGATAAGCATTGTTTATTCTATTCGTAATTCAACTCACAAGCTTAATTTTTCATTCATTTTACTTACGGAGATGAAACTTTTAATGCAGCATTGCGCTTTTCATGCGCATAAATTGATGGTTGAGTTCGGTGAGTTCCTCAGTTATTCCTTATTATTTCACTTAAGAGAAATAAAATGTTTCATTTGAAGAAAATTAAAAAAAAAATTATTTATAGTATATTACAAGTGTTATATCTGTTTAAATATAGAAAGTCTTTATTTTACTCTGTTAATCTCTGGTAAAAAAGTTTGGCAAAAGACTATTAATATATTTTAAACATTTGTTTTGAACAAGTACGTTTTTCTTTTCAGGAATTTTACCAGAATAATGACTTTTACCAAGGTGTTTTTCCTCATTTTCAATTGATATAAAATAGTTGCAAATTAATGTCATTGTCAGCCCAAATCAAGATTTCATTTTATACTAAAGCTTTTGAAGCTATTGCGGGAGAATAATTTGTATTTATTTATTTTTACCATTGATATTGTTAAATTCTTGCAAGTGGTACTTTTGTCCCTTCCCAATATCTGCTTTCTCTTTCCATGCTAAAATATGCAACCAACAACGAAAATATAAATTCAAGTAACAATTTAAAAATACAAAATATTTGTTCAAACTCTTTATAATTTTTTTTTATTACATGTAAATCACATTTTTATGTTAAAAAATTATTCAATTTTAATGACTAAGAAGAACACAAAAGTTCCCTACACAACTAAAATTTCACACTGAACTCACTGGAGCACGATCGAGTCATAAAAAACAACGCAAGCGAGACCGCAAAAATTGCACGTCCATTCTCGGACGAAATCCTCTCCTCGTCGTCAGTCAGGCTGATAGTTTTGAAAAGTCTTACGCAAGTAAAATATCAGTTATGGCACAAGAAGAACTGCAGAAGCGAGTCCGATTCACCCAGCGTAGGAGCAAAGTGGTCCGGAGGGATAAGGGGCCCGTCCGGGGAAGGCGTAGGGGTCAAAGTTGTGCGCCTTGCACAGTTGGTCATACCGGCTGCGGCCCTGGCGTTGGCCGCTGGTGGCCGCCGGCCGCTTGGTGGCCGCGGAGGGCTGCAGGAAGCCGAGGAGGCCCTGCGAGCTGAAGATGGGCCCGGCCTGGGCGCCGACGAGCACAACAAGGAGGAACACGGAGAGCACCACGCGCGTCTGCATTTCGAGTGAAATAATGCGGCGAGCGCCCAATTTTCGCCTTTATAGTTTCTCCCTGTGACCTTCATCGACAGACACCAACGATGGAGGCTGATGATAATGCTGCGCTGCTGTAGCTGCCGAGCTGATGGGTTGAGGAAACGGATTGTACGTGAGAGGGGATTTATTTATATAATATTATGGTGCCTTACCAAGAGATGTGGTCAGCGTGTCGCCGTTTCGGTGCCACGCCAGGATGTGGCATCCCTCCGGTGCTTGGACCAAAAAAAAAAAAAGAATAAAATTAGGGCAAAATATCCTAATTGTATATAAAAGTTGGCTTTATTTTACATATTATTTGTTTTAAGGAAAAATGAATAGCATATTAAACATTAAATTTACAATAATTCATCATGTAAATACAAAATCAGTTATAATTATTTTAACATAAATTTAAATTATTAATTTTACTGTAATTTTGACAGTTAAAAACAGCCTTTTAGGACGATTGATATATTTATGCTTTTTTTCAATATAGTATTTAATTTTTTTTAATACAAAATTCGGAAGGAATAATTAATTTAACTGAAAATTTGAAATTTAAGACCAGTTGCACAGGTACCTTTTAATTGAAGCAAAAATTGGCAATAATCATTATAAAGTGTTAATTATTTTTCTTCATTCTCAATCAATGAATTATGAGATAAAACTACGGAGTAAATCTTTTCATCAATTTTTATTTTAAATCTTTGAATGACCATTTTTTTAAATTATTAATTATTTTTCAATCCCTCTTTTATTTCTTTCATTTTGACCACTCGTAATTTTTAACCTTTTTATAGCAGATATTTTATTAACTCTCTTTTATTGGTATTGTGCTTTGTAGGTTGCAAAGACGTACTCTTAAATTTAACTTTTAGTGCATTATTATAAGTAAATTCAACTCAGGGCACTCCGGCCAATAATAACATGGAAAGATAATGTACCCAGATACACCGCCCTAAATGCGATCGAATATACCACAACATTATCATAACAAAAGCGCAGTACCACGTTGACATGCAAGCATGAAAAGCCGCTGCTGCGCGTATGAAAATATCTCTCACCGATGGAATTCTACATGAGCTTAGCCCTGCGGCATATTTCGATGCTGACGAAATTTCTTGTCGTCAGCCTAAATTATAGTCTAAACCAGAAAACCAGAGTTAAAATTAAAAGACAATTTAAATATTCATTCATTATCAAAAAAAGAAAACCATTTCGTAGAAAAAATCTAAGGTCTCTGATCGTTTGATTCATTCGGCCTATGCAATATAAAGGTGAAAAATCACCGCTGCTGATTTGCATGAGGGCTTCAATTATCTCTCGCACGCACGGCCTTACTTAAATGCTCATTGCACTAATTATTATTAGACTTGAAAGGCCATTGCAATTAGAACAATCGAAAAATTGCGTCTAAAAATTTCTCCGAGCCAAAGTAACCGAGGAAACTTCTTTTAGCACTTCCGTATATTTGAGGTAAGATCGTAAGTTTTGGTTGGACCTGAGACGTGTGCTGATCTCAGGTGCAGGTGATCGCGACCTTGGAGCTTGCCGCACGCATTTTTTTACACTAACTGGCCGCTTTCCTTCTTCCTGTGCGTTACTCATATTAATAAAAAAGATACCTAAAACAGTTCGTAGGTGACCTTGTTTAATTGTTCACTTGAAACGGGGAAATCCCCATTTCATTTCCCCCAAAAATATTTTATCCCTTGTTTAATCATGATTTTTCATTTGTAATAATTAAAATTTGTAGTGAAGATAAAGGATTTTGTAGTTCAATTTTATTTAAAAAATTATATCGAATATAATATAAAATTGAATTTATAAAATTAGTGTTAAATTCTTGACAATAGTGCAACATACATTTTATTTTTAAATTCATAGGATTTGTGACACTTGAGGCAGGAAAAAGATTAGAATATAAAATCTTTGTAAACATTATATTTTTTTATTAATTTTAAAGTGAGATTTGAGAGCTTCAAATAAATATTATTTATAAAAATTTAAAGCAAAATACACTTTAAAAAAAAAATTATAAAAAATACAATAATAAATTTAAGTATTATTATTATTTTAGAATTTTTGTAATTATCATTAAATTTTTATTCACATATATAACATAATTTTTCTCTGTGTGTACCTTCTTTCTTAAATAAAGAGTAAAGAATAAAGTACATTCTGGAACTCATCACGGTTGATCAATTCGAGAAAACAAATTTTTATATTTCATACTTTTTGGTCGTCCTTCTGTTTTCAAGATTGTATTTTTATTCTCTCACTTTCGGCCTTCATGAAATCTACGCGCCATCTGCTGATTTCATTGAATATCGCTTATCAATTTGTTCTCTCTCAATGATTTCCACCCTGGGATAAACGCAAAGGACAAACGTCCCACAGAATATAAAACGCACGTCCGGCTCGTTTATTTCCATGAACCGCGCGCGCCGATAACTCTTGCTTGCTCGTTATCAACTGGAAATAACGCTGCACTGCAGAGAGTGATCAATCCGACTTTTTTTATCGTCTCGTCGGTCCGCTTTTCGTCCCGGCGGAGTGTGCCTGACACACGCAGAAAAAAAGAGTTCACCCTCAAAAGTTCAATGCTTTACCAACTCGAATAAAAAAAAAATACAACCATATGCGCTGCCTTGTTTACGTTTGTGTAGCAATGACCCCTGAAGGCCGGCGTGAAATTGGACCGAAAAAATATCTCTCGCGCGCTTCTGGTCAAGGTCAAACGCGCGCTCTTATTATGATGTTGATTTGCTTCTCGCGGCTCTTATTCGATCATATTAAACAATCATTACATGCATGAGCACCGGTTGTGTAATTTATGCTAATTATAATTATTTCACTTATTTTATGGACACTTGAGATTTTAATGGCTATTCTTAAAATAGAATGAGGCGAGTCCCTTCAAATATATTACAAAAGAGTTAATGTTTGGATTTTGGTACTTATTTTCTAAATTAAAATTTGACACGGTTACATCGGAAAAACGCAGAAGTTACACTCACGGAATTTACCATATTTCCTGCACAACCACAAAATATTTTTATTTGTTCTAAATGTTTTTAAAATTAACTTAAAACGTTGGTTAACTAATTATATATAAAAATAATAAAATAATAATTTAAATATTAAAATAAGTTTATAATATGAAATGAAGAAAAAAAAAGATTTTTTTATTATAAGACCACTAATAATTATTATGTTTGTATACACTTTAAAAAATTTTTAATTTTGCTTTTATAAATTTAGTTCTTATTTTAAATAATTTAAGTAACAAATTAAATGCTGTTGAAAAATTTTTAGCTTTACAATCTTTACATATTCTTGAAAATTACGAGCAAATTTTCTTTCAAGATCAAATTTAATAAGCACAATATGTACTTTGCAAAAGAAAAATCCATAAATTGTGCGCAGTAATAAATCTACCCATTTTTAATTCAGTATGTATGGAAATATTACATCTAATCATTAGATGCAGTTTGCAGATTGTTTGTGCTACTTTTCTAATGTTCAAGTAAAGCAATGCGAAAAAGCAACAATAAGGTCAATGCAAACATCGTCAAGCGCAGATATGAACCAATCCTCGCAGTAGGGGTATATCAATTTTGCTTTTTATCTTACATAGAATTTTGCACGCGACATTGCACGTAACGAGTTTCGTTCGTTTTGCGCTGCGCCGGACAATTTAATTGACCAAGTAGTAGACCTTTCCTGCGGTGATCTCGAGAGCATTACCCGAAGCACTCGAGCGTGCCAAAGTGAACATTTCGTTTTCTTACAAAAAGGCCGAACGCGCTTGCATGCGCTTTGAAAAATATTTCATTGGTGGCGATAATAGAAAAAGCGTGCAGTATAATGTGTATTTTATTAGATGGCTACTATAATTATCAGACATTATAATATATACTATGAGCATGATTTAAAATTTCTATACTCAGTTCGTGTTGCTGTGAAAGGCGCAAGTTAAATTAAGAATTAATTTTATACATTTAAGACGTTGTTATGCATCGAAAACACTTTCAATTTAATTTTATACTTATTTCAACATGTTATATAACTTTTCTCAGCAGCTTATTTCTCTAAAACAAGAGAGTAAAGCTAAATAAAAATTCATTACCCGCGGCGAATGCGTCTTCTTGTACGTCTGCCTGGCGGGGAGGACGAGAGTCGTCGCTAAACAACCTGCACCCACAGCAGTGTGCGCGACAATTATTATTTGTCCGCTGTTTTTGGCGAGCTGAGAGGACGACATGGAGGAAAAGGAGAGCCAATTAGGGTAATAGGCCGGTTTTGGACCGGGCTGCGTACAGGGAGACACAGAGAACTAGGGCCTGAAGGGTTGAAACAACATCTGCAAGCTGCAGCAACACAGGCGAAAAGAGGAAGGGAATCTGCGTCTAATGTTTGCATGCTTTTAATTAATCTGCTAATCCACGGCGGGACAAGGGCGCAGCTGAAAACCGTGAAATTAAAAACAGCGAGTGAAAAATATCCTGATTTTTATACTCATTAAGAGCGGATTAGGGTTTTAATTAAATTTTAACCGAAGTTTAAAAGGACTGAGGCTAATTTACTTTATCAATTAATTTCAGCTAGTTAATTAATTCAATTTGGTTTCGTCGTTTCGGAAACATAAAGAGATATTTAAAATTCCATTTTGCACTTAACAATTAATAAGAGGCATTGCAATTATGTGTTTATTAATAGTTTTTAAATTCTCAACTTTATATAAAAAAAATTAGTGTCAATAGCATCGACAAATTAAATTGAGTCAATCTAAAATTGAAACCCAGGCTAACTTAAACCTATATAAACGACGAGATAAATATTTTTACTTATTTTGAAGGTAACCGCAGTAAAGAAAAAAGGTTTATTATAATAATATAGAGAGGTTTCAATAAATTGAGCTAGCAACATCAGCATGAGCCTGCAATTTACGTAACAAATTAATATAATTTTCCCTGATTAATGGATAACAATAATAACATTAACATCTTTTTATTTTATATATTTATAAAAAAAAATCACCCTAAAAATTTATATTATGTTCTCTATTTTTTTTATATTATTTTAAAATTGGCTTGGTTAACTTTCATTTGAACAGGATGTAGCTCAGTATACAATAAATATCTTTCTTTCGTCAATCAAGTGACTCCAGCGCTTTGTCGCCGCAAAATAAAGCTTACGATCGCACAGAATATTAATTACCCTAAATGGTGTGTGCTGGTCTTACGTTAACTTACTACAAAACGATGCGCAGTTTAGAAGCTGTAAAAAAGCCGTTTGCGCGACGACACGCCTTCATTTCGC